TGGTTCTCGCTCCAAATCACCCATTTTGGGGTCCAGTACTCGATCGAGCGGTTGCTGGCGCTGAAGGAGTACACGCGGAACACGTCCATCTACCGTGTAACGTTACTGCTGGTGCTCGTTGTATCTCCACTCCCCGTTATCGCGTTGTGCCAAGAATTCATTCCACTCCAGGACCCGGCAGCAGGTTAGCACAAACTACGGTTTCTGGATCCGTATGGGCATTTTAGGGTTTGCAGTCAGCCCCAACATGGCCAGTTACGTGGAAATCTTTCTCGATGGCATCAGACTCTCGCGGCGCCAGAAGATGCTGTTCTGCTCCTATGTTGTAGCCAGTCGCTCGGCTTCGTCGATGCCGGTTGCGGCGTTATAGGTCTTTCCGGTTCCGTTCATCAGTAATACGCTTGACGCGTTTTTGATGTTGGCGCTGGGCATCTCGATTTATGCGGTTTTGGGGGCTGAAGAGGTGCAGCGGGTGCTCTCCCAACGGCAGCAGCTCCGCCGAATGAGCAGATTTGTCATGGTGCAGCTTGTGAGTTAAGAATAGATTAGGAAGATAAAAATTTCTTAAGATTAGATTAGGAAGATAAAACATCGAAACTTAACAACATGAGGTTCTCTGCAGCACTAACCTGATGCACCAGCACACGCATTGAAGATTGAAGCCAAAGTCAGTGCTGACGGCTTGGTCGGTCCCTATGGAGGAACCTACTAGTGAGCGAGTTCCTTTGGATATGAGGCATCTGGTCAATGAAAGGGCATCAATTCTGGAAAGGACACTTTCATTAGTGGGTCTTAGTTCTGGCAGCAGCAAGACAGCGCTCTCCGAAAACCCTCCAAATTTCTCCCAATCAGAGACGGAACGAACTGAGACCCCCTTTGCAGTTCGGCAGCAGCAAGATGACTCATGCGCGGTCTTCTTGCTCATTTAGCCTATTGCTCAACTCCATAGTGCTCTCATACATATATACATGTTATAGGTGCCCAGCAGCGTGCTGCAGCAAGTTGTCACATGCTTTCGATGCGAGGACTCACTGCTACGGGGTCGGTGGAGGTCAGATTGACCCAGCGGCGGTCGATCCGCTCAACCCCAGCAGCCCAATGCTATCTGATCTAACGAAAGCACCTGTGGAGGACTCATATACGTCGGGGGAACGTCGGCTCCCGCTGCCGTCGCTCCTGGGGCGGTCCGGCAATAGGTGGGATCCATCTTGCTGCTACTGCCGGCGCTATACTGCACCAGAATCGTGGCAGTATGGTAGTATATCGCTGCGATTCTAACCCCTGAAAAATACCTTAAAGTTTGTATGGTGCTTCCGGCCAATAGGAGTGTGTCGTCTACGATTCTTAGCATTTACAACCAATAGACACTACCGTTGCTTAAAATTTCGACCAATTAAATCGAGGGAATGACTGTCAACCGCTGATCTGAGCATTCCAACGATATCTGGTTGGAAACGCGATTTGATATCGAGTATGCCATACAAATATCAAGTGAACTACAAATAGAATAAATATTCATAGGTTTCCAACCCCTGCCAGCTCATCTCCGACTCCATTCTGCGTTCCGACGCACACAGGCATGTCGGTGGCATCGCTAGTTCCTGCGAACAGCCAGAGAAGCAGAGCGACGGCTGTGAAGTCCTTGAAGACTTCCTTGCGAAGAAGGAGGTGACGCTCACAGAAGTGCATGATCGTATTTCTAAGGACAGCACAGGTAAGAGTTTGTTTGTCATTCTGGATAAGTATGGGTGGTTCTTAGTGAAAAAAGTAGGAAGGCAAGGAGTAGCTCTGTCCAAGAACACTGTGCTATCTTATTTTGGCAATGTTAAGAACTGGCTGGCGGATCTGTACCCGCAACAGGGCCAATCTGTAGCTAAGAAGCTGCAAAAGATGCTATCAACTCTAGATCGGTACTGTGAAAAGAGGCCGGAGCAAGGTGTCACGAAACAAGCGCCACCATGTACTAAGAAAGATATAAAGACTATCATCTCGGCTCTCTACATGCACGCTTCCGCCAACTCCGACTACCTGGATGTGGCGCAAGTGGCGTTGATGTGGTACCTCTACGGTCGTGGTTCTGAGGCTGAGCAATTGGAGAAAGCGCAGCTGTGTGTATACCCCGGTACGAATCGTGCAGGATTTTGAATTTTTGTATTAATTAACCCCACGATTTATGCTGACAATTCTGTGCGTATATGCTAGGCGGTATGATATTTCTCCGCTTTAAGCGTGTGAAGACTGCTTCGCAACAGGGAATCTCCCTGTTTAAGGATCCTAACGATCCCTTCACGTGCCCGTTACACGTGCTAGCTGTCGCTCTCGCCCTTCAACCCGCTCCAGGAACTCGCATCTTCCCGCAATTTGCTGCCGTACCTGCGCTGTCCACGTCCGACGACCAAGACGACGATGGCGAGCTGGGGCTGATTGCGCAGCTAGACCGCGAGCTTGCGGAAGCACCTACATGCAAGACTCCACAGCCATGTCGAGCCAACTCGGCCCCTGGTGCCCAAGCTTATATCAATAGACTATTAGTCACGGTTAGTGGGCTGCCAGCAGCAAAGGAGAGTGGACTCACGAAGGGACTTACCTCGCACTCCTTCAGAAGAGGTGGGGCCATGTACGCCAACGCCTACAGTCGCATTAGCCCGAACTGGGTTGTTGAACGCGGGGGCTGGAATATGTCGCGCGTGAGCAAGGCGTTTTCCTACAACACACGAAGATCAACAAGTTGCGCGCCAATTGAGCGGGTGGAACCCGCAAGCGGGCGCCCGACTTCCAGACCTTACCGCCCTGGACGGAGTTGTCCGAGCGCGCGTGGAGAAGCTGCAGGATCTCCTCTTCGCTGCTGTCACTGGTTTCCCGACAGTGTCTTGGAACGTGGATCCTCACGTGCTCGAAGTGTTGATGGCGACCTTGATCCTTCACTTCCCCGAGATGGAACGCCATCGCTTGGATAGCCCGTACGTCCGTCGCATTCATGAAGCCCTTGGTGTCTTCAACATACAGGCCTCCGAGCTGTTGGCATGGTCGATCACCCTCTGAGCTGCATTCAATCCACCTGCAGAAGAGAAACAAGAAACAGTGGCCGAGTCCTCTCAAAACATGTTCCGTGTTCTCGAAAAGCTGTTGCAGCAGCTCGACGAGCTATTGCTCCGCCAAACACGCGTAGAGGAAAGGCTGGCTGTTTTGGGGGCGAACGCAGAATCTATTGACAAGAAAACAAACACTACCGAGCAGCAGCACGAAGACGTTGAGCAGTCGCAGCCAAAGCGCGCGCGCAAACGTGCCTCCAAAGCGCTATCGACAGTGTGGTTCGAGTGGTTCACTGCTGTACCACGCATGTACGAATCAACAACAGTTAGCAAAGCCATCCTTCACGAGTCACGATACGCAGTTGCATTCATGATGCTCTGCTTACCTTCTGGGTTCAAGCTGGACCCGGCCTCGCCAGCGTACAAGGCGGAGGTCCACGCTGTTGGAGTCGAAGCCGAGAAGAAGACGCTTGAATACTTGGCTGCACAAGGCTCACAGGCTGTAGCCGTTGGCTCGGTCGTCAAAGCCATGCGTGCGCTTCACAAAGCAGGCCACCTTTCCGTCCTCCTTGACCAGTTTTGCGAGCGCTACTATGAAGGCGAAGTCGTCGACCCGACACCCAATTCCGCCCTTCCGCCATTCCTGCGCTTCACCTAAATGCACACGCAGCACACTAAACAGTCAATAAGATACACAATACGTACAACAGGAGTAGCACGCACTCTCTTAGCTGACCTGTCCAAAAAGAAAGCAAAAACACATAATACTTTATACCCATGTCGGGGTTTGAACCCGATCCTCCAGGCCCGAAGGCCTGCCGCTCAACCTCACGAGCTCCATGGGCGCGGGTAAGTCGCATCCATCGACAGCACCATACTCGTCCAAACCCTCGGCCACTTGAGCCACACGCCACGAGAGCGCACAGGCGCAACCCAATACACGTCCCAGCAGCGCACATAGCCCAGCAGCAAGTGGCCCGGCGTCAGTAGCACACACGGCCCAGCAGCACACACGGCCCAGCACTAGCAGCACAGACGGCCCAGCAGCACACACGGCCCAGCAGCACAGACGGCCCAGCGGCCAGCAGCGCCTGTGTACACGCAGAGACAACAGCAGCACAGTCAGCACAGGTAGCACAAGCAGCGTTGCACGACTCGCTGCACTAACCTGGAAGCTTCTGGACTGTTGGCCGAGAATCCAATCGGCGGTCGTGAGGTTAAATATCAGCTGAACAAAAAACCTAATACCGTTGCTAGACCGATTTTGGTTGGACCCCGTTGGAATTTTGACGGTATGGAAAGGGGTCGGCAGCAAGATAGCAACCGAGTTTTAACCAATCACAGCTCATATCCTTCAAGATTTGTAAGAGCGCTATCTTGCTGCTGCCAGAACTGAGACCCACTATTGTACTAGCTCTGAAATTACAAATTTCAGGGCTTCTTCGGGCCTTGCACGACACGACCGAAGCCATGTCGTGCTGCTCAACCTAAATCAGAAGATTTAGAACCAACAAAGTCGTTGTCGTTCTCAAGCTTCTGATAAAGTCCTGCGGGGCCCGAACAACCCCTGAAATTTGTAATTTCAGAAACCAATAATTGGAAGCAGTTGATAAAATTTCGATGGTACTGTCGACCAATCAAAGCCTGATTTAAAATAACAATATTTTCGGGTCGACTAGTCTGACCTCCAAATTTGCGTAAAAAGTGCAATTTTCATACTTTGAAGGCTAGGCACGAAGTCAATTTTTATCCAATCAACACCACAGACCCCTGTAATAGACGTTTCTCATTGAGTAGAATTCGTTGAAAATGATAGTTTTTCGTCAAATAGCGTGTAACATAGATACCCTAACCCTCCCATCAGGTCAGACTAATTACTGTAGCCGTCGTGGATCTGTCCTTCGTGCTTGGTGCTCAGCTGCGGAGCGAGTGGTTGCTTGGCCCCATGGCTCAGCGGTCAGTACATACCGACGATGCGGTTGGAGAGACTTGCTGGCAGCAGTAGCAGTGGTTCCAGTCGTTCTCACACCGACTGCAGCGACTGGCATCGCTGTCGGCCATCGAAGCGCTGGGCCGGTCGTTCGCGGGGCTCTCGAAGCCGTCATTTGCTGCAGCGACGTGTACAGGAGGAAGCACGCTGTCCTGGTCGCTGTTGCAGTAGCAGTGCGTCCACTTCTGCAGACAGAGATGGCATGTATCCGTGCCGACCTGGCGCTGAGTGCGGGACTGCTTGGGCTGCGCGTTGTCGCCCTGGTCCGACAGCGTCGTGTATGCCAGGCTCTTGCTTCGCAGGCCCGCAGCCTTGATCTGCTGCTGTCGCTTCTCCTCCATGGCCTGCAAGATCTCGATGGGGCGCTGCTTGGACGCCATCGTCGGGAACAGCGTCTCGGTCTGTTCCATCTGCAGAAACGACTTCAGAATGCAGTTCTCGATGTTCTCGCACGCCTGCGAGCAGTCCTCGAAGCTGCGCGCCATGATGCACAGCAGCATGTGTCTGAGGAACAGCCCCAAGCTGTCCATGCGCTCCTTCACCACCGCCGCTCGGCTCGAACGCAGCAGCCTTCGGCGCGGAAACGGGTACTCGGCGATCTGCTGGAGGTACTGCTCGCAGTAGCTGCAGTGGCCCCAGGACACGAGCTCCATGAGCTCTTTGCGCAGCTTGTAGAAGTCCGAGTATCGCCTTCGCACCACGCATTTGCCGCCCGTCGTCACGTTCCGCACGAAGACCGTGTACATGGTGTACTTGTGGCCCTTGCCGTGGCCCACGGCGCCGCCCTCGTCCGTGTCCAGCGCCTCGCCGCCCTCGACCTCCTTGGAGGCCGTGATGACTACGGAGATGGAGTCTTCATCGATCATGCTTGGCGCGCCCACAGCCTCGTAGCCAGGCGTGCTTGAAGAGGAGGTGTCCTGGGTCCTGCGAGGGGCGAGCTGCTGCTGGCTGAAGTGGAGCTGCGCACGGCCACCAAGACGCTCGACCAGCGAAGGCTTTCGCTCTGCTGCTGGTTCGTCCTCTGTTCTCGACTGCACAACAAGACAATCTGTTCCAAAATTTATAGAGATGGGCTGCAGGTTGCACGAAGGTGCCACATCGGGGTGTAGCCATCTCGTTGACAGCATGGCGTCCTGCTGGTCAAGGTGCTGGTCAAGGGTGCTGGAGATCATTGTTGAGCAATGGATAGCCGACGCAAGCTGTCCGAAGCCTGTGGGGCAATCTTGCTGCGCTTGGTTTGCCGCGGCGGACGCCATGTTGCATCAATGTTGCGCGCCACATTCCCACGCCCCTCACGTTCTTTGAAGCGACTCTTTGCCAAAGAGTCTCTGGACGTAGCGTTTCGGTGCTAGGCAGAGCCGTGTAAAGACGATCTTTTGGACCCCATGATGGCGCTAGACACTACCGCGTAGCGGTCATGGCGCCTCTGTGCCACACTACATGTAGACTCGAGCAGTATTGAGCGTACGGCATGCTCATTCTTCCATTTGCCGCCCACGAACAAGTCTCCAGCACCGACGGTGACTTCAACGGCGTCTACGTGTACTTCCACGTCTGCAATGCATGTTGCGACGGCCAAACGCGTCGTGGTCATCCTGCCGAGACGACGACGAAAACAGCGACTTGGACCTGGAGCTTTTGTACACAGAGACGGCCGCAACCGAGACAAATATCGCTTCGAGATCATAAGCGCTCGTATCGAAGCGGCCATCGTCCAACGCCAACTCAAGGTGAAAAGTGCCAGGAACCGGGCGCTACGCAAGGCGAACGCGGAGCAGCAAGAAGAGGTCAAGAGGATGGACGCTTTTATCTCGCAGCAGAGAGTTGAGATCCAGAGGCTGGAGAAGTTGAAAGCTGAGCTTATACGACTTGAGGACTAGCTCTCGGCATGAAATGCTTCTGCTATGCAAACGACCAGAGCTACAACTGCATGGCGGCGCCATCTACACGAGAGAATGCTAAGCTATTGATTTCTTTAATCTAGGTGTCGCGCCACTCCTATTGTCTTAAATACTAGTTTGTACTGCCGCCTGCCTTCCTTCCTGCCTACTTCTGCTTCGCACACACTTCCGAGACGGGCCCCGAGATCGGCATCCGCTCCGCGTTGGAGAGCGACGCGGGCCGCGTGGCCTGCTCCTGTGTCTTCTCTTGCGCGCGCTCCTTCTCGGCCATGCGCTCCAGCGCGAACACCAGCAGCGACCTCTCTTGAAGGAAGTCGCGGCTGACCTCGGCCTTGCCAAAGTCGCTCACGAACGCCAGCAGCTTCTCGCAGTTGCGCACCAGGAGCTGCTCCACCTCGGGCGACTTGTTCGGGTTCGCCACGAAGATCTTGAACACGTGGAAGGCGTCCATGCGCAGCGCATCGCTGGGCTCGCGCAGCAGCAGCATCACCTGCTTGAGGTTATTGCGCGAGGCCACGTACCGCTGCATGACGGTAAAATTCACGGGGTCCAGCAGCAGCTCCGATAGCAACTGCAGCGCCTGTCGCCGGGTGGCGTAGTTCTCGGACGTCAGCAGGCTGTTTAGCAGTCCGAAGACGCGGTCGAACGACGTGTCCAGGATCTGCACCGTGGCCTTCTTGTGCACCGTGAGCAGTCGCGAGATGTTGATCAGCGCGTCGGCCGAGATGTCGAAGTTGCTGTTCTCCATGGTCACCTTGAAGAGGAACTCGAACTCGGGCTCGAGGTCCTTGAGGAAGATCATGGTGAGCGTCTGGTACTCGAAGCAGTCGCGCAGCATGGAGCCGCAGATGAGCGCCGTCTCGTTGTTCCGGTAGCCCTCCACGAGCCAGCGCATGATGTCTGGCCGCTCGCCGATGAGCTCGATGAAGCTGCGCAGGTTGTGCACAGTCATGGCGCGGAACACGTTGCCCACGTACTTGCGCGTCTCGAAGGTGAGCTGGCCCAGCACCTTGGGCATCAGCACCTTCTCGAGCACGCGGTAGCGCAGCAGCAGCTCGGCCATATCGTCCATCTTCTTCTCGCGGTCGCCCTGCTCCTCGTCCCAGTCGTGGAACACGGTGCGGATCTTGGCCCACTTGCGCTCGAGCTCGCCGGGCACCGTCTTCTCGGTGGCCGACTCCTCGTCGCTCGACTCCTCCTCGAAGTCGGGCTCGCACGCGTCCGCGTCGCCCGCGTCTCCGTCCGCGGCGGGGATCACGGCCCCCTCCTGCTCGGGCTTGCGCTCGGCCAGCGTGGCCGCGCCCGAGCTCGCGGCGATGCTGAGGCTCTGGAACGCCGCGTCCAGCTTGTCGTCCGGCACCAGCTCGCGCAGCAGCACGTCCACGGAGCGCACGAGCTCGCCCGTGGGGTTCAGCCGCGACCAGAAGAAGGTGTTGACGCGGTCCATGGTTCTCTACTGCCCCCGCGTCCGCTACGCCGTCCGTCGAGCCGCCCTCACGTGCGGTACAGAGCGCAACGCGGCGCAAGTCGCTCGCTGCCGGGCCGAAGGGAGGAAGCCGCGCGTACGCGTGTTCTCCGTCTCCTCTTGCGAAATTGGCTCACCAGTGGTGGTGAGCCTCGATCCTGGTGCAACCCCGACTCGCCAGCGACATACCGCGATCGACGACAGCGGGCGCGCAGAGCCGGAGCGGTCCGCGACTTGACTTGGCTCCAGTATGCCCAGAAACGGTCACAGGGCCGTCTTTATCGCACGAATTGGTACGTACGTATGAGGAAAGGGTTCACCTCAGAGTCTACACCTGGGCGATGACATCACTTCAACCAGCTCCAGCACCTCCCATTGCAGTGGCGGCGCTCGCCAGGAAGCCGCTTGCTGCTGTGCGTGGCAGCCTGCTGAGGCCCAAGATGCCACGCCGGAGATCGCGAGGACGTTGCTGTGCAGCACGGGCAAGGAGGGAGGGAGAGGTAGGGTATCGCAGACTTCCTCCTGCCTTTTCTGAGTCAGACTGAGGGCTCGATGGAGAACTTCTCGATTCTCGATTACAGGCCTGATTTCGATGCGCAGCGAGCGTGGGGAGCGGTAGCGTTTGTTCTGCCACGCCGGACGAGCAAGCATTCGGCTAGAGCTTCGAGATGGAGCGTCGATTTCGAGCTCTGAAGCGCAGTTTTGGTTGCTATCAGCACGACAGGCGGAGCATGCGTGCTGTGATTCGGCCTGTCGAGCAGGGGATCTTTTGCGGTCCAGTGAAGACGAGCCCGAAAATGGCTGGACGCGCGCGGCTGTATCCGCGCATGGGTCGAGCCGCTCAATCGCGCGATCTGAGTTTGCTCCAAAATTGACCGGAGGCAGCGCTCGTGGATACGTAAATGGACTCGTTCGTTGTATTGATATGCATTACTACTTGGCTCTAGACCGTGACCATGGCTCGACGGTTGGGGTTCTTCTGGAGCTTGTGGCTGCGGTTGTCCAGGCGCGAGCGGTTCTTCTCGTGCCAGAAGTTCTTGCGCTTGGCCTCGACGATGGACATGCCCCCGGCGATGTTGTTGCGCTTCTTGAGGAAGTTGGCAACGAACGCCGTCGACAGCGCCGTGCTGCCGCCGCGAGGGTCCACGCCCGCAGTCTGGTACGCCAGCAGCAGGTTCTCCTTGGTGACAGCCAGCACCGACGCGCGCGTCTCGTCCGGCCGGAAGTGCTGCTTGTAGTAGCGGCGGAACTCGCGGCGGCCGAGGCGACGGCCGTTCGAGAGCACGAGCTCGCCCGTCTCGGACACTTCCATGGTCATGTCGTCGTCCTCGTCGTCCTCTTCGTCCACCTCCTCCTCCTCCACGACCTCCTCGTCATCGTCGATGCTAGCCTCGCTGTCAGTCTCCCACTCGACCTCCTCCTCGGCAGAGGCCTTGTTCTTCCTCGACGCAGCGTACTGCGCCGCAAAGTCGTAGAACTCCAGCAGCTCCTCCAGGTCCTCGTCCTCGTAGCGCAGCTTGCAGTGCGAGAGCGACGTCATGTGTTTCTGCACGTCCTGGTGCGTACGGAAGGTCTTGCCCTTGCCGTTGCAGTACAGGCAGTAGAAGCCGACCTTGACCTTCTCGGCCAGGTAGGCGACCAAGCCCTCGGCGTCCACGAGGAACTCGACGTCCGGGATGAAGAAGCCGTGCTCCTTGAGCATGTGCATCAAGCACGAGTCAAAGTCCGCCGCGTGGTGCGAGCAGAAGATGCAGTCCTCCTTCTCGAGCGGCACCTGCTTCTTGTACTCCTCGATCTCCTTGGCCAGCTCCTCCTCCGTGAGCTCCTTGGGCTCCTCCTGCTGCTCGACCTCAGCACCGTCTTCCAGCGACACAACCTCCATCTGCTTCTCCACCGTCTCCACAGTCGAGGCGACCTCCGGGTTCTTCTTGGCGTTGGCCAGGTGCTTCTTGGAGGCCAAGTGGTTCTCGTGCGCGTTGGCGGTCGTGAACGTCTTGTTGCAGGCCACGCACTTGAGCACCGTCTTGACGCCCGACTTCTTGATCTGCTCCCTCTTGGCGCGCTGCTTCTGCTTGGGGTCGCTGGCGGCCTGCGCCTCCTTCTCCTCGCGCACCTTGCGCATGCGGAACTCGAACTGCTCCTCCGACACGGGCGGCAGCTCCACCACCTTGCGCTTGAGGTTGTAGCGGTGCCAGTCCTTGCGGAAGTGGTCCTTCTGCTCCGCCGGCGAGGCGAACTCCAGGCGGCAGGCCGTGCACGTCAACATGGCTGCAGCGAGCGGTAGTCTGTCTTAACGTACTTGGCGTCTCCTGTTCCGTCCGCAGTTGCCTTTGGGGATCAGAGGAGCTCTTGGCGATGATAACCAATCGGTTGGCCGCCACTACTGTCCGGGAATTCCTGTCCCGTTCCGAAATGAATTAGTCGTCCACCACACCAAATGTACACAAAGTGCTGTATCCGTTTGCGCGACGCGAGCCATTTCTTTGGCCCAAAGGTATCCGCACCAACGAACACGCCATTCCTCGTTCGAGCGCCAAGCACCGCACATCACCCACACCGAGAGCTGACGACGATGCTTCCGTTGCTGCTGCGGACGGCTCGGCGCCAGGTTGGCGCCGCCTCCACCGCCCAGAGCTTCGCCATCCGCGCCTTCTCCACGCCCGCGCGCAACCCCGCGCACGCCTCCTGGACCGACGACGACAAGGCCTACTTCCAGCAGCTGCTCAAGCCCGAGAGCGTGCTCACGGACGCCGACGACACCGAGCCGTACACCGTGGACTGGCTCAAGAAGTACAAGGCGCAGAGCAGCCACCAGATGGTGCTCAAGCCCAAGACCACCGAGCAGGTCTCCGCCATCCTCAAGTACTGCAACGAGCGCAGCCTGCCGGTCGTGCCGCAGGGAGGCAACACGGGCCTCGTGGGCGGCAGCGTGCCCGTGTACGACGAGATCGTTTTGTCCACGAGCAGCATGAACAGCGTCGTCTCGTTCGACGAGGTGTCCGGCATCTTGGTGTGCGAGGCCGGCTGCATCCTGGAGAACCTGGACAACTACGTGGCCAAGCACGGCTACATGATGCCGCTGGACCTGGGCGCCAAGGGCACGTGCCAGATCGGCGGCAACGTGGCGACGAATGCGGGTGGCCTTCGGTTGCTGAGGTATGGATCGCTGCACGGCACAGTGCTGGGCATTGAGGCCGTTCTTGCGGACGGCACGGTGATCGACTGCCTTAGTACGATGCGGAAGGACAATACGGGTTACGACCTGAAGCAGTTGTTCATCGGATCGGAGGGTACACTGGGCATGATCACCAAGGTGTCGATTTTGACACCTCCTCGTTCTTCGTCGAAGAATGTCGCTCTGTTGGCGTGCGAGGACTTCGAGGCTTGTCAGAAGGCTTTCGTGGAGGCAAAGAAGAACCTTGGTGAAGTGCTGTCAGCTGTCGAGTTCATGGACCGTCAGTCTCTGGACATGGTACTCTCCCAGCAGGACTGGACCAAGGATCCGCTCGAGACCCCGAGCCCGTTCTACGTGCTGATCGAGACGTCGGGTAGCAACACTGACCATGACATGGAGAAGCTGGAGTCCTACCTGGAGGATGTAATGGGATCTGGTATTGTGGTCGATGGCACGGTGGCTCAGGACGAGGCGCAAGCGCAGAAGCTGTTCCTGCTGCGTGAGGATATCTCGATGTCGCTGAGCTCCCGCGGTTACGTGTACAAATACGACATCTCGCTGCCCATGGACCAGTACTACAAGGCCGTGGAAGAGGTACGTGAGAAGATGGCCCCTCTCGGCGCTGAGGTTGTCGGCTTCGGCCACATGGGCGACTGCAACCTCCACCTGAACATTTCCACGCTGGAGTACGATGAGAAGGTCTTCAACGCTCTGGAGCCGTTCGTCTTCGAGTGGACTTCCAAGTACCGCGGAAGCATCAGCTCGGAGCACGGCATCGGCACGCACAAGCCGTCGTACCTGCACCTGTCCAAGTCAGACAACTCGATCCAGCTCATGAGGCAAATGAAGCAGATGATGGACCCCAAGGGAATCCTGAACCCGTACAAGGTTCTGCCTACCAGCGAGTAAATCAGCATCTCGAAGGGTAGGCCTGAACCACAGAGAGAGAGCGAACTGCGTTTGGTTCAGTGAGCCAAAGGCGCAGTATCATCAGCAAAGTCAAGGGTTATAGCTGTTCGTAACGCGATAAACAATGCCGTTGCTGAGTCACCACCTGCAGTTTCTCCAGGTTCTGGCATAGCAATACAGTACACAGTGTACGTGGCTGGTCTAGTTCGTCGCTGTTGTCGGCTGCCGCACAAGAGCCTTAACTTCAATTTGCGTAACGTTTTATGCATTGACGATTGAGCATTTTCGCCAGTCAGAGTGCCCGGTACTGTACGTCAGTCGCGCTTATCCTCCTTGCCCGGCACTCCCCCCAGCTCACGATGATCCTCCCGTTGCTGCTGCGGACGGCTCGGCGCCAGGTTGGCGCCGCCTCCACCGCCCAGAGCTTCGCCATCCGCGCCTTCTCCACGCCCGCGCGCAACCCCGCGCACGCCTCCTGGACCGACGACGACAAGGCCTACTTCCAGCAGCTGCTCAAGCCCGAGAGCGTGCTCACGGACGCCGACGACACCGAGCCGTACACCGTGGACTGGCTCAAGAAGTACAAGGCGCAGAGCAGCCACCAGATGGTGCTCAAGCCCAAGACCACCGAGCAGGTCTCCGCCATCCTCAAGTACTGCAACGAGCGCAGCCTGCCGGTCGTGCCGCAGGGAGGCAACACGGGCCTCGTGGGCGGCAGCGTGCCCGTGTACGACGAGATCGTTTTGTCCACGAGCAGCATGAACAGCGTCGTCTCGTTCGACGAGGTGTCCGGCATCTTGGTGTGCGAGGCCGGCTGCATCCTGGAGAACCTGGACAACTACGTGGCCAAGCACGGCTACATGATGCCGCTGGACCTGGGCGCCAAGGGCACGTGCCAGATCGGCGGGAATGTTGCAACCAATGCGGGTGGCCTGCGACTGCTGCGTTACGGCTCCCTCCATGGCACGGTGCTCGGTGTGGAAGCGGTGCTAGCCGATGGTACCGTTATTGACTGCCTGAGCACGATGCGGAAGGACAATACGGGTTACGATCTCAAACAGTTGTTCATTGGATCGGAGGGTTCTCTTGGTGTGGTGACCAAGGTGTCCATTTTGACACCTCCTCGCTCATCATCCAAGAATGTGGCGCTGCTTGCCTGTGAAGACTTCGAATCGGTTCAAAAGGCTTTCGTTGAGGCCAAGAAGCATTTGGGCGAGGTGCTGTCGGCAGTGGAATTCATGGACCGTCAGTCTCTGGACATGGTGCTGTCCCAGCAAGACTGGACGAAGGACCCGCTGGAAACCCCGAGTCCATACTACGTGTTGATCGAGACATCGGGCAGCAATGCGGATCACGACATGGAGAAACTAAACGCGTATTTGGAGGACGTGATGGGCTCCGGCGTTGTAGTCGACGGGACGGTGGCTCAGGACGAGGCACAGGCTCGCAAACTTTTTGTGATCCGCGAAGACATTACGGTCGCACTTGCAGCGCGCGGATACGTGTACAAATACGACGTGTCACTGCCGATTGAGCAATACTACAAGATTGCAGAGGAAACCCGGGAGCGGCTTGCTCCGACGGATGCGAAGGTCGTGTGCTACGGCCACATTGGCGACTGCAACGTTCATCTGAACATTTCAACGCTGGAATACGACGACAAGGTTTTCAGCGCACTGGAACCGTTCGTCTTCGAGTGGACTTCCAAGTATCGCGGGAGTATCAGTGCTGAACACGGGATTGGCACCCACAAGCCTGAGTATCTTCCTATGTCCAAGTCTGACAACGCCATCAAGCTGATGCAGCAGATGAAGAAGATGATGGACCCGAAGGGAATTCTGAACCCCTACAAGGTTCTTCCCGAGGCGCACTGAGCATGCCACCGCTGAATTGAAGCAATAAACGATATATTGCGAGCGAAAGTTATCTTTTCGACTAGATCTCGATATCCCTCTTTTGCGGCATGCGAATGTGGCGCATGGTAGTTCCCTGTTGAGAAGGTTTGAATGGAGCTTGCTGTCCGTACGGTTTGGGGATGCCCAAGTCCTCCGGAATGTACGCATTCGGCCGTGCCTCTGCAGTTGTGTACGTGAGCTGCGACGGGAAGTTGGCAGCATGTGCAACTGCAGCCCTCGCCTGTTCTTTTGCAGCCCGCACCTCGTTGTTGTGTAATTTTTGTGTTTGCAGTCGCACAAGTTGTTGTTCACAGTAGGCATTCGGTGCATATCCTGCAAGTGAACGCTTCTGGCACTCCTCAACATCGACAGAAGCGTCATGCTTTTCTTGCTGGAGCTTCATGGCTGTTGCTTGGTACATTGAAAGCTCTGACACCACAGCCATCATACGACGCGTAGTCTCCTTGATACGACCCTGAAAATCGTTCACCCGCTTTGCCAGCTCTAAAGTCTCTCCTCGGCGGGCAGACGCTTGCGATCGAAGCTTGTTGGATAAGCCCGTCACTTCCTCCAGCACGAGTTCTTTTTCAAGAAGCTGTTCCTTCTTGTGGTGGTACCGTTCTTCCAGATAGGCGAGTTTAGCCGAGAGCTGTTCTTCATCAGGGTCTTCACCACCCAGAGCACGCCACCGATCGTTGTTTTTAGGGGTTTCCAGGTCGCGACATAGCAACTCCGTAACATCCTTTTCCTGCTTCAGTTCTTCTTGCAAGGACATAATGCGTTGGGCGAGCTCTGGTAGGTGGGGCAGTTGTCTTCGCGCGTTTTCAAGCTGGCGCTGCAGATCCGCCAACTCGATTTTGAGTACTCGGATCTCTTGGTCTTTGCGAGTTAATCCAGTCTCACCAGCACTAAGGGCTTGCTCCTGAAGATTGGACTTCTCGTACAGAATGCAGAGTTCATCGTTGCGATCAATCAGCTGTACGCCAGTAGCATTTCGTGCATCCACCGCCAGCTCGTACTTCTTCTTTAGACGAAGCAGCTCCTTTTCTGTGTGAGTGATGATGCCATTGAGTTTGTCGATCTCGACAATTTGTTGCTCAACTTGTTCTTGCTTCGCCCGGTATGCATCGTGTGATTTGTTGGTGTCGAGACGCAAGGAATCACGTGAGCATTGTGCTGTTGCATGAGCCAGCTTTTCTTTCACGAGCGCTTTGTCTTTTGCGAGCGACTCGTTACGGAGTACCTCGACTTCGTTGTGAAGAATCTTGATCTTCTCTTTCATTTCTGCTAGAGCCTGAGTCGATGCCTGGATAAGGTTGACATACTTGTTACGCTCATTCTTGACAACGTCATATAAGGCGGAAAACTCTCGCAGGTGGTTTGTCGTCTCGTTCCACTTCTTCGCCAAGTCAAAAATCACAAGCTCCTTCGTCTTGAGTTCCTGCTGGGTTTGGCGCTCAGCGTTCAACGCTGACGTGGCTTCGCGAGCTTTCATTTCACGCTGGGCAGTGAGCATGGTCACCAACTTTTTCTGCTTGCTTTCCTCCATCAACCACTGGCCGACTTCTGCCTCAAGCTCTGTAACTTGTGTCGATAGCGCTTCGAGCTCCGCACTTTGAGCCTTCTCTCCATCCTCCTGTTTAAGGAAGCGTGCAATGAGGAGATCTACCTGTTGCTTCACATCAAGTTGCCGCTGGGTTTGGTCCTTGTTTTCCGACCGAAGCGCCGCTACTTGATGTTGCACATCAACCACTTGAGCTCGAAGATTGGGCAGTAAAGCCTTGTTGCTATCCAGCATCAGAATTTGCTTTTTGAGCTTACGCTTCAAACGATCGTAGTCTTTTTGCGCCTTCCCACACCGCTCATTTTCTCGTCGGGCAGTTAGATCAAGAGCCTTTGCACGTATATCAAGTCGTGCCTTCTCGCCGAGGCGCATTACATTGACATTCTGCTCCTCTCGGAGGTGCAGTGTCACGTGATCCACATCTCGCTGGCGTTGGTCAATTGTCTCCCGATGCACATCCAGTTTTTGAGCGAGTTCGCGTTGCACCTCATCAGCGTCATGCAACTTTGCGGCAGTAGATTCCACAGCAGCCTGCAGCTCAACAGCACGTGTCTTGTCCTTGTTTGTCTCTCTTTCTAGTCCAGCCACAGCTCGTGCAACGACATCCGCTTGCTTCTGCATCCGATCGGGGTCGCCCTGCAGCTGGTTCAGTCGTTTCTGCTCGGCCGCACCACTTTGCTCGAGGCGAAGGTTTTCTTGGTGCAGGAAGTCCAGCCGCGCCAAATACTCGCGCTTTCGCTGCATATCCTTCGCTAGCTCGCTGTCCAAGCGGTGGGTCTCATCAGTGAGCCCTGTAATCTCGGTCGTCAGCTGCCGCACCTCGGGCTCAATAAGTTGTGCATAGGCTGCTAGGATGGCCTCCTTTTCCGCCACCAGGTCAGCATATTCACGCTGTAGCTCCGTGATCTCGAACGTTAGCACTGCGTCGCGGTCTACACCTTCTGCTAGCTCCTTTAAAGCTCGATCCTTCTCGCGTTCAACCGACGAGAACGCCGCCACCTCTTCGGCCTTGCGGATGGCCTGCTTCTCCACCTGAATCTTCTCCCCGAGGAGATCTCGATTCAGTGCCTTGGCCTCCTTCAGTAGCTGCTTCTCGTGCTTATACGTGGCCAGCACACACGAGTGCAGCTTGGCGTACTTCTCCTTGTGGAACTGCAGCTGGTCCAGCGTCAGCATGTCCGCCTCGAAGTACTGCTCCAGGAGACGGAACGCCGACGCGCGCGCAGACATATCAGAGGCCTGGGACCCCAACGCAGAGCCAGAGCCTCCTCCAGCCCCACCAATAGCTGCAACTTCAACATCCTCGAGCTCCTCATTCTCCGCCAGCTCGTCGTTGTTACCGCGGGCGTTCACGAGGCTGTTGCTGGTCGAGAGCGTCGGCGAGCCGGACTCGGGCCCGCCTGCTTCGTCGGCCTGCGGTTCAACCATCCCTTCCCAGTTTCCTGCAGTCTACAGCGGCCACAATGCGCCAACACACTCTCCATTGCCGTATATAGGCAAGTTGAAGTGACCATCACTCCGACCGTTACGCTGATAATGATGTGAATTACACGAATGTACCCATCCCAGACGGTGCGACATTTCTCTCTCTCAAATCGGTGCAGTGCGTGGCGTCATCGGCGCACTTCCATCGCTGCTCCTCAGCTCTCTTGTCCTAGCAGACGCGCGCTGGTCGTTCCCCCCTTTCCCCTGCCTTCCTTCTCTCCTCCGATTGTCCGCCGCGGGCGTGGAGATTTGCCGTCGCAAGAGCTGCACCAGACTGGACGCCGAGTGGAGCTGCGGGCTGCCGCACGCCATGGAGGTGAGCAGCGTCACAATCGAGGACCTGGACGAGTACATCGACGCCGCCGACAAGCAGCAGGGCGTCGTGACGGCGGACGCGTGGGCGACGGACATCACCGCGTCCGACTCGGACTGCGGCAGCGTCGTCCAGAGCCCGTCCGAGTTCGACGATGCGCCGTTCGCCGTGCACGCGCGCGAGATCCGCAAGATGTGGGCCGAGCCGGACGCCAGCGACGTCCAAGTACGCGGCAAAACGTACATGGACGATCAGGTGAAGGTGCCCGCTGGAAAGGCTATTGGCAAGCTGCTGCACGTGGATCTGTGGAAGTTCGACACGCCCGAGGAGCGCCACCATGTCGCCATGAAGGAGGAGGCGCGGCCGAACAGTGTATTGGTCTACTGCCGCGAAAAGTTCCCCGACTCGCTCGTGTTCATGGTGAACATTGAGCTTCCGAACGCCGACAACTTGAGTCTGGTGTTCTACTGGCTGCTGCCGCCGGCACCGGAGAACCCCGAGGAGGATGAAAGTGCTGCAGCCTTCCACCGTCTGCTGGACAAGTTCTGCGATGAAGGAGACGACGAGTACCGCAACAACCGCTTCAAGCTCATCCCGAACTTGGTGGACGGTCCGTGGATCCTTCAGACGCTCGTGCCCAACCGCCCCGCGCTTACGGGCACGAAGCTGACGCAGCACTACTTCCGACGCAGCAACTACTTCGAGCTGGACTTGGATGTGGCCTCCAGCACCACGGCACAGTACATCGGAGCAATGTGTCAGAGCTGGGCGACCTACCTGCAGATGCACCTCTTCATCACCCTTCAAGGCGAGACCGAGGACGAGCTACAGGAGCGGATCCTTGGAGGCGTCGACGTCTCGTATTTAAATCTCGAGCTCGCGACGGAATTCAGTTAGGACAGCGTGCGCATTTAGGATATGCGTGCTGCTGAGGAGTTAGAGGCAATGAGTAGCTGTACACAACGTTGACCGGCATGTTTATTCACTGTCGTCATGGTTGGGCTTGCGTTACGGGCGTCTTTCAGATGGTGTTGAAGTGACCAAATTACCCACTTGAGGCATCAGCCGCCTGCTTAGCTAGTTTTTCCTGCGCTCGGCGAAGTCTGCTATCCAGGTTGAGCATTTCAGACATGGACTCCATGAGCTCGCGCTTGGTCTTGTCCAGCTTTTGCTGCAATGCGGTTTGCTGTTTCTCGAACGCGGCAAGTAGCTCTGCTTCTTTCGCCGCAGCGGCTTCTGCACTGGAGCGTACTTCGTTTTGCAGCTGCACAATCGATATCTTCGCATTGCTGAGGGTAGTGTTTGTAGCTTCAAAGCGTTCAAAAGCGTCTTGAAGCTGCTGCTTCAGTGTACTTGCCTCGGCTTCAGCTTGATGCGCACGAGATTCCAGCTGGTTACGCTGTTCACATGCTTCCTTCGCTAGCTGCTCTTGTCGGTTTGCATGCTGCACCATTTCATACCGCGCAGCCATCGCAAGTGTGACAAGACGATCCTTCCGCTCGTTCTCCTGTAGAATGAGTAATACGTTAGGGAGCGTAATGAGGTTACGAGGTGAGCAAAACCCGATCGACCTTGGTGAGAGCAGCGATCTTTTTGATTTCGCTTGAAAGCAACAGTGAGACTTGGTCACGCTCCTACGACACCAACGTAAAAATGTTAGAGAACCAAGCAGAATACAGCTTAATCGACACTACAAACGTACTCGCTTCAGTTCATCTTCACCTTCTTGCTGAGCTGCTAGTGTGCTGCTAAGATGCTAGAGCCCCAATTGTTCAAAACACTAAGTTTTCGGTATACAATAGGCAAGAGCACCAGCTAACCTACCTTGTACATGTTGGTCATCAGCTCGACGCTGAGTTTCACTTCCTCAAAAGCCTTGGCAGTTGACAGGGTCACATCTTCCAACTAGAGGAGCACACTCATTAGACTTCAACTTCAGATAATCAAGCAGCATACAGGTCGAGTACCTTCTGAATCTTCGGCATAAACCACTTCTTTCCGTTTAGGTGGGCTCTCTTCTCCTCTTCAAACTTGGCTTGCAAGTGTGCAAGGTCGTCTTCGAGCTGCGAGTTCGTGAGCAGCAGCTTCGAGTTCGTGCTTTTCAATTCCGCCACCTCTCGCTTGAGCTTTTGCAGGGCGAAGTGCACGTCTTCCACCGTCATGTCAGACTTTAGCTCACTGCTGGTCCTAGTCGGCGATGCAGCTCGTGATTCAGTTGCCCGTGCACTCAACCCCTCCACCCCTGCAACAGACACGACTGAATTCCGACTTTTTGCTGCAAGACGTTCGCGTTTTTCCTTCTGTAGCTCCTCCAAGGCCTGCATGAGAATGACGTACAACGCAGTAAAAGCGACATCGCCGCCCAGACGTTAAGGATACCAGGACAATGTCTTTCAGCTACAGCGTTCCCGACAGCAAGATATACATGTAGGTGTAGAGGATATATAGAGTTGTGTATCCCACGACGCCAGCGCGTCTTTCTCAGTTGGCACGCTGTTGTTTCCGAAGTTGTCGTTCGCTAGCGCCTCTGGGTTTCTGCATTGCACAGGTAAAATCTGTGAGCTCGACGTAATGACACCCATGTGACGAGGCAAGATCCTACCCAACTTCAACATCTATCTGCTTTTTCTCCTTGAGCAGGTCCTCCGAGATCCGGCTCATGACTTCGCGGCGCATCTCGAAGAGCTCCAGCGCTAGTGCAAACTGTTCTTGCTTACTTCCCATCTTCTCCTTCTTCGCGTTCTTGTCGATGAAGGCCTTGAGTTGTTTCTGATGGACACCAACGAGAACAGCGCTCCCGTTAGCAACAAAAACCTGAGAGTAGCGGCTACTGTACACCGTGCTTGCCGTTTCTTCCTCGATCGCTGAAAGCAGTGCCGGGTCCTTCTCGCCGCTTTGGCGGAAGTATCGGACCCGGAAGTCCTGCAGCAGCCGTAGGTCCGATCGGAGACAACGCAGCCGGGAGCCTTCAGCTTCTTCCTGCTGCTTCTGAGCCGAAGTACTGATCAATGACTGCGCATAGTGCGAGCGCAGGGCGCGGCTGTGCTGCAGTTGCAAGTCGATGTGCTTCGCCAGAGCCGTCACGTCGCCGCGCCAGCCCCCAGTCTTCTTGGCGAGTCGTATCGCATCTTTCCTTGCAGCGGCAAGATTGCTGCGTCCTCCAAAGGCTGACGCGGTTGCAACGGCATCCTGCTGGACGTGCAGCGCTGCCGAGACCTCCTCATTGAGCTCCTCGAACTTCTTGTGCAGATCGTTCACTTGCGTCTGACTGCTTTCCATCGCTTCAAGTGTGACTGCCTTTAGAGGAATGAAGAGGCGCTCACTGTACAGTCACCTCAAGTTCCTATCACTTTGTGTAGATTAGATAGATTTCGTTTGTTTGCTACTCTTACTCTGGGATGGGGATATGTACGCTCACCGCTTAAATATCAACGCAAGTACGCACTCGACGGCAGCTTACTAAAAATTTGCACATCCGCCGGGGATGCAATGCGGTCGGCAGGCAGGCAGACGCCGACGCAAACCACCACTCGAGCCGCATCGCCGCGTCGGTGTCAGCTCACCTCGTCGTGCATATCGACGTTACAAAAATGAGGACGAGCTGAATGCATCCAGATCCTCGCTCAGGGTGGCGTCGTGAAGCTCGACATCATCGTCGCGAGCCAGCTTCTCACGCTCCATAGCGAGCTGGGCAAGACGCAAGCGTTCAGCATCGCGGGCACGCTCCTCCCGAATACGCTTCTCCTCCGCGAGCTTCGCCGCCTGCTCTTGCTCCTGCTTCCGTCGCTCGGCCTGCTCGCGCTCCTTCTCCTTTTCGCGTAGCTCGGTCTCCCGCCGCTTCAACGCTTCCAGTTCATCGGTACGCTCCTTTTCCTTCTGCTGGATCTTCTGTTGCTTGATCTGTTCCATCGAGCGTGCAGAGAGCCACAGCGAGCTCGACTGACTTCCATTAGCTTGAGGCAGCGGTGTTCCGTTAGGAGTTTCCTTCTTGGCAAGCATGCTCCAGGCACCACGATTCTCCACACGCAGAGGCTCGGAGCTCGATAGCTGCTCGTCGCGGATCTTCTTCGCTGCATCTATGGTAGCAACGAAAATAAAGTTTAGCACGATTGCCTAGTAGCCAGATATAGGCGAACGTGAACTAACCGGCATGGACTGAGGCGGAAGGGTCAATTTGTGACAAACTCGGGGCACTTGAGAGCGGTGGGGACTGTGGCATAGCATCAAACAGCGTTAATTAATACGTGAACGGGGTCGGATCAGCGCTTAAGACTCACTCGCTCAATTACATCTCACAAACCCACCCTTTCCAGAGGAGCGCCGCCGTCGTCCGAATCGGAATCACTATCGCTATCACTATCCGAGTCTGACGACTCGGAAGAGCTAGACGAACTCTCCGATGAGCTTTCGCCACCCTTCTTCGCAGCTTCAGTGTCGGCATCCACGTCTGTCATGGCAACATCCTGATCCAAGCGTCGATCAGCACCATCTCCGGGCGCTGGGCGTGCTCCACTGGTAGCATCGCGATCAATTGCTGCCAGCTCGTTCTTAAGTTCCTCCTGGCGGTTTCGGATATTCAACGCCGCCACCTTCGCAGACTTAAGTCGCTTGTCAGCTGGCGCCATCTTGGACTTTTTAGCAGGACGCTTGCGCTTGCGGCCAATCCCGTTTTCCTACAAGAGGAGAAACAGTAAACACTTAGTACTGGCGGCGGATGTGGCTTGAAGACGCGTGAGATTCTTACCCTAACATATCCTTCCAGCATTCGCAAGCACCGGGTGTCGAACGCGTTGATGTCTAACTCTACTTCGTCGTTCTCGTTGGCCAGCTTTGCAACCGGAACAGCTTCCGCAATGATCTGTAGGACACGATTGATTTTGTCCTGCGGGAGCAATTTGATGTCGGAACTCAACCGAGCCTTGTCCATCTGACTCATAGGCTCGTTCAGCTCCTCCTCGGTCAAATCCTCCATCTTGAACGGTCTAAACATACAAAAAGGAATAATTTCACAGTAAGCACACGTGCATGACAACAAGCACAAAACGCGCAAAGCTTACCGGGCAGCGGCTTTCGTCGGCTTGGAAGCAACAGCCTTCGCCATGCTTGGTTGAAGTTGCTCCAGGGTCGCCTTTAGACGCTCGATGTCTTCCTTCAACGACATGATTAATCCCGTATCGTCACCTGAAGATTGTCGCTTGGTGTTGCCCTTTGTGCCCTTGCCTCCTCGGATTTTCTTCGAAGAGTGAGTTCCGCCTGCCTTCTGATCCTTCTTCGACTTGGGATCCGACAGCTTGCACTTGGTGGACAGCTTCACATTCAGACTCTTGAATCGCCTTTCAAAGTCGTCCATGAGCTTGCGGGCGTAGATGTGTACTTGGCTGTGAGCGGCGTTGTAGAGCATTGCATTCCGAAACACGAGGCGCACATGCTCTGCAAACGCTGACGGAGTGTCATAGAAGCCGGTCTCCAAGTTGCTCCGAATAGTTCCGAGATCCATCGGCTCCTTGATAACATGGAAATAATCTGGAATGCCCAGCGCTACGGGGTCCACTGGAACCAAGAAGGGTGCGGATTTCGGGTTCGACATGAGGCCCTTCAAGATACTCAGGCACTTCTTCATGCTCATCGGGGCATGATCCAGATCGAGAATATTGTCTTCGCGAAGGTGCGCGGGAATCGACCGCTTCCGCTCGGAGCGTCCCAATACCAACGACGGCGAAGAATAATCCGACATCGGAGTGCCGACCTTTCGCGGAGCCACAATAGTAGGGCCGGCGAGAGGGGTCGCGATCTTGGCAACATCCACCGAAGCAGTAATCGCAGCAACGCCTGGGGCGGAGATCGAAAGGGCCTTCACTTCCCGCTTGACCGCCGGAGTAGCCGCACGAGCCGATCTCGCACGACGCGGAAGCGCGCGCTTTACGGGGTCCTTCGGCTTGTAGACCTTGTACAAACGCAGCTCGTTTGTCTCCTTGTCCAAAAATCCGTGAAGCGTAAATAGGCCGAATCGGTTTTCGCCAGCGCCTGAAACGATAAACTGCGACGGGTTGATGGCGTCGTGCACAAAGCGGATCTCGACGTCGTTCTCCGCCACAGTCTGGTGCTTGCCCTTCGTAGCCTGGATCTGGAAGGAACCGCTGTACTTTCCCTGAAAAGGCATCGCCGACCGCACACTCGCATCCGTTTCGTAGCCGAAGTACACCGGCGACACTTCGCTGGCAGCAGCATTCGTCGTCCTGGAAGACCGTGCAAGCGCTGATCCGGAGATCGCCGGGTGCACGCTGTCCGCCGCACCAGAGCACATGGGGATGGAGACGTCGTCTTGCGACTTCATCTCGAACGGACTGATGATACCGTTGGGGCCGAACGCCGCCTCGCTCATGCCCCACATGCCGGACCAAACGGCACGCTTGTCCTGAATGTAGTACTTGCCGACCAGCAGCGGTGCGTACTGCAGCACCTCGCGCGGAAGATCAGGCACGGACTTGGTCTTCTTGTTGTTAACAGCAGCCTTTTCCGACTTCACCGCCACTGCAGGCGTCGCAATGCTGCTCGTATCTTTGTTCGCAGGCGGCTGGACGTTGACATTAGCGTTGCTGGGCTCCTGCTTGATCGCGACGGCCGCGGGCGCGCCATTGCTCTTGGCGACAGGCGCGGGCTTTTGCGTCTGCTGCTCGACCATCATGACGCACACGTGCACGCTGGCGAGGCTGGCGGGCTGCGCGTCGGGGCTGGCGCTGTCGAGGTCCCCTCGGGGCGTGCCCGAGGTCCACGGGGTGGCGCTGTCGCTGGGGCTCACCACTTCAATGCGCGAGGTCTGGAACACTGCGCTCTTGTCGCCTTTCGCGGCCTTGTAGGGCCGCACCACCTCGTCCCGAGGATCGTCCAGCGTTGGGTCGCCTATGGTGGCTGCTTGCTCCAGCTTGGGCGAAGCCGGCCGCGTGCTGCTGCTGCTGCTGGTTGTGGTAGCAGTGGCGCGCGCGGACGAGGCTGTGGTCGTCGGCGAGCGCGTCACGCGGGGACCGGAGCGGTCGGGCTGGTCCGCGGGCTTTGCTCTCTTTTGAGGAATGACCCCAGTTGCCGCGGCGCGCGAATTTGGATAGCACCTTCCGGAGTGATGGTCACTCCAAAAGTGGGCAGGGGCGTGTATTCGGGGGGGGTCCGCCTGCCACCGCTCGCTTGCTTTCGAAAATGACTGAAATTCGTTTCTGGGAAAGCAAGGAAAGAAGAACGGCCGCGGGCGGACGGGAAAAACCTCGGCGACCGGCCGCCACACTAGGATTCAGTATGCGCACCTGAAAAACCTCGACATCCACCATATCATCTTTGGCAGGGCGCGACCGCAAACCCTGCCAAAGCCGATCGAAAGCGGGCGCATTCTTCGCCGTTTTGGGCCGAAAGATGCCGCGAGACCGCTAAAGATCCGAGACAGCCTGGCTTTTACCGCTGGGGGCGGCGGCGATGGCCATGCATGCACGCGAAGGTCTCCGCGGCAGCGCGTGCCACACGCCGCGGCGAGTTGTCGGCGCCGTGCTGCCCGCCCTCCGCCCCTCCCTCCAGGCAGCCCGCGCTCGACAGTCGTCGCATGCTGCCGTTGCCGCGCTGCAGCCGTTTGGGACACAAACTGCCGGACTTGAACTCAGATTTTGAAACCCCCCTCCCAGGCGGCCCGAAAAGACTGCTCCGTAAATTTTCAAGGAGTGCTGCCGATCCAAAGCTAATGTGGCGCATTCTTTCCGGGACGGCCAGAAAAAGCCCCTGGCTGTGGCTTCCCACCATCCATTTCCCGTACCCAGCAAAAGAACAACCGTTCGAGAAGGAAAAAAGCGGGCTGGTGGCCGATCGCGGCGGGGAACAGCGCTACAGGTGCCGTGGACGCCACAGCAGCGGAGAGAGTACAGGTTCAGGTCGTAGGGCGGCGCTGGAGACCACAGGAGGCAGGCCACCACCCCCATGCAGGGGGAGGCACACAGCAAGCCACGGCATTGCGGCTCACGTCCAAAAACCGCCAGTCAAATGTCGCCACGTAAAAGGGTTACGGTGTACTGTTCTTATAGAGAGAGGTGTGCTCCCACTCCCTACGAGAACATCTCATTTCAACTTGCAGCCCGCTGGCTGCAAGCGGCAGCGTGTTTCGACAAGTATCAGGTCGCGTGTGATTGTGCTGCTGGGAACGACAGCACTTCGCGTCGCAGCGACGGCCATGGGCATTGCATCTCCCGACTGCACACAAGCAATTGAAGCTGGCAGGCGGGGTTACGCGTTTGCAATGGGCGGGTTACACGCCGAGGGTGTGCCACCCAAAGATCGCGCCGCTTTGAGCTAAAAGATCCGATCGATTCCTTCCAGATTTTGTCCACAATATATGCTGCTCCAGTGGTGTAGCGCACTTCAACCGCTTGCGAAGGACACTCACTGCTTTATTAGCGATTTTCATTTGCTGAGGCTGACTCACTGCCACTAGCACGAGCTCGCACTGCATGTGTGCGGCGACTCACTCTCGTAACGTCGTGCTCAGAACGACGGGTTCCGCACGAGGTCCTGCACCATGTTCTTGTGGTGGGACTCGTTGGTGCCGCCGCCGATCTCCAGCAGCTTCGAGTCGCGCCAGAGGCGCTCGACGTTGTACTCGCCCACGTATCCGTAGCCGCCCAGCGTCTGAATGGCGCGGTCCGCGACGCGCTTCGCCATGTCGCCGCAGTAGAGCTTCACGCCGTCCGTGTCCACTCGGTTGCCCACCGAGTCTAGCTTCAGCTTCCTGCAATGCAGTCATTATGCACAAACGGGTTTGCATGAGAGAGAGAGCTTCAACTCCGCCAACAGAGCACACCCATTTCAACCCACCTGGCCGTGTTGTACACATACGCACGTCCGGCCATGTATTCCGCGTATGACTCGGCGATGTTCTTCTGGATCTGCCCGAAATTGTTCAGCGGTCGGCCGAAGGCTTCGCGCTCCTTGGCGTAGTTGCTCATGACCTCCAGCGAGCGCCGTGCGATGCCCAGACTCATGGCCGCCAGCGTCACACGCTCGATCTCGAGGTTGCGCATCATGCAGAGCACGGCACTTCCCTCGGATCCCACGATGTTCTCGACCGGCACCTTGCAGTTCTCGAACACCAGCTCGGCCGTGTTGGAGGCGCGCATGCCGCACTTGTCCTTGATACGTTGGCCCAGAGAGAAGCCCTCGAAACCCTTCTCCACGAGGAACGACGAAAAGTCTTGCTTCGCCTTCCCCGTGTTGCCAGTGCGCGCATACACCAAGAAGGTGTCGCCCAGCTCCGTGTCATTTAGGGCGCCGTTCGTAATCCACATTCTGAACCATTGATGAGCACAAACGCCACCACACGTAAGACTCCCGTCGAGTACAAAAATTCACCACAACGACACATACTTAGTTCCGTTCAGCACATAATACTTGCCACACTCAGACTTCTTCGCTGTTGTGCGCATGCCCAGCACATCAGTGCCGACGGAGGGCTCGCTCATAGCCATGCCGCAGATCTTGGCGCCCGAGCAGGCGTCAGGGAGGTACTTCTGGCACTGCGCGTCCGAAGCATTGCGCGCCACGTTGTTCACGAACAGCATCGAGTGCGCCAAGAACGACAGGCAGAAGGCCGGGTCGCTGGACGAGAGCTCCTCGTGCGCGATCACGGCAGCCAGTGCATCCATCTCCGATCCACCATACCTGTCAGTGCATCAACCAAGCAACACTTAGAACTACTACGTGGACTGCAGATGCTAAATACACGCAATACCGCGCACTTTTCGGGCGCCGTAATGCCAAGCAGGCCCAATTCTCCCAGCTCTCGGAACAACTTAACGTTGAACTTCTCTGCGCGGTCGTGCTCCAGCGCCTGGGGCTCCACCTTCGTCTTCACAAACCCGGCCAGCATTTCACGCAGGGCGCCATGCTCCTCCGTCGGCGTGAACAGATCCAGCTCGCTGCTCGACGACTGTTGGGTTGCGCACGCGTATCTCGGTCAATATGAACGTATCACCCTCATGACTTTCACTACGGAACAAGCACGCACCATGGAGCGGGTGAGAGCACCGTCGGTCGCGATGCACGCGCGGCGGGCGGCAAGCAGAGGCTGGCGGAGTTGACGAAGCATTGTTATAATGCACAGAGGGGGAATTGGCAAGTGACTTCCAAACTTCAAGCGTCTGGCGGTTGTGTGCCACATCAACTTGAAGTCAAGGGCGACGCGGATGACTTGGCTTTTGTATGGTCGAGTCAATAATACCCGGGAAACTCCCCATATTCCTCGCTCTGCAAGATGCAGCGGCGACACGATGCTGACCGCCGCCGTGTTGATGGTACGGATAGGGTAGGACCTCGTAGCAATTGGTTGATTGAGCTTTACGCAAAACTAATCAAATTGATGTGTGCAGCAAAGTCAAGAGTCTCCAACAATGATGAAGTTGACTCACGCGTACGTGTTTAGTACTGTTAGCCTTCTTGATCCAATTGCTTACTATGCTGCCGCTGCATTTGTTCCTGTAGTTGCCCGCTGCTGTGGTGAGGAAAGCGAAGAAACTGCAGCTCGAGAGCCCACGGTCGCCTCAACAGGAAGAAGAGGAGGATAATCATCAGGAGGAGCTGGAGTCCCGGGCAACCCGCTCTAGAGCAGGAAGCAACACCAGCCACCGCAGTGCTGGCAGCAGCATTTACGACTATTTAGACGCGCTAGAGAGCGAATCTGCGGCAGGGCAATTGCCCTCGATCACGAGTCGGGCGTCGTCCGCACCATCACATCGAGCGAGGCAGTCAAATAGGAGACAGCCCAAAGAGTTTGCGTGGGAGGACGACTCGGATAGACCCCACAGCGTCAGCGAGTTTGGAGACGGAGAACGTTCGCCCCTTCGTTCCTGCCGCTCGACTTTTAGTCGCCGAGACGACAGCAACAACTCGCAGCAGTACTACGTTGGCATCAAGGAGAAACTAGCGACGATTACAATCGAGCTGAATGTGAGTACTTCTGCAGATGGCAATGGTAAGATCGAATACTAATGGTGTTTATCTCCTTCATAGGACAAGACGAAGACCATTGAGCTGCTGAAGATGGCACGCAAGAAAGATGCCGCCAAGACGCAGCAATTGCTGGCAGATGCCGAGCAGCACATGAAGCTGGAGCTTGCAGCACAGCAGCAAAAGTTCAACATGGAGCTTGAGAAGCAAATGGACTTCGCACAAAACCTCGTGACGGACAAAGTGAGTGAGCGCATCCATGGCTGTTAGCTGCAGGATTCCTGTCACTAACAATTGTTGCTATTAGTCTGCGCTTGCAAAGCGGTGCGATGAGTTGGTGGTGGAAGCCCAGAAGGCCAATGCCAATGCTGCGCGCGAAGCCGAGCGCTTCAAGATGAAGCTCAAGGATGCCAAAGAGAGGTGGGCCGTGCAGGAGAAGGTTCGTCGAGACCAGTGGATCGTGAAGAAGACCGAGGAGATCAAGAAGTCCACCGTGGCGGCATTAGAGCCCGACATCCAGCTCATCCTAGCCAAAGGCAAGGCAGATTTGGAGAAGGCTCGCGAGGCTGCCAGCGAGGAGCGACGGAAGCTGCAGCAACAGCTCGAAAAGGAGCGTGATATTGCGTTGCAACGCCAAAAAGATGACTATGAACGGAAGCTGGTGGAGGCGCGTGAGAAGGAGCGCGCGAAGTTGATGACCCGGTTAGACGCTGCCGATGCCGAGTTGCAGCAGCAGCTCAGCGCTCAACGTCGACGATTGCAAGAGGAAGCAGAAGCAACTCGGAACGAGTTGTACGCTGAAATTCGTGCTGCGAAGCTGGCACATGCAAAAGAGATGGACGAACTGAAGGAGCAGCACATGAAAAAACTGCAAACTGCAGCTGAGAAGCTGCAAAAGGAAAAGCAGGATATGATGGCCAAGTACGAGAGCGAGTTCATGGCATTGCGCGAGCAAACCAGCGTCGAGTGTGAACAATTCAAGACGCAGCTGGCCAGCAAGCTGCGAGACGAAATGGCTCGAGAGAAGCAGGAGCTGGAGAAGCAAATGCTACAGACCCGCGACGCCAAGATCGAGCTGGTGATCGAGAAGCTCCAGGAAGAGAGCAGGCAGATGGTCGAGCGCGCCGAGCGCAAGGCCCAGAAGAAGTTCAGCCAGGAGCGCGCCGAGTACGAGCGCAAGCTCAAGCAAACGGGCGAGATCGAGGGCGTGTGGATGGACAAGAACCGCGAGCTGCACGATAAGTTGAGCAAGCTGGAGCGTCTGCACGACGAGTTGCGGCGAGAGAACGAAGCTCTTGGTCAAGACTTGCGTCAGGCTGGCGACAAAACGAGCGACTTGGCACGTCGTCTGCACGAGGAGCGACGGCAGCACGAAGACTCGGTGGCGCAGCTGGAGAAACGCTGCAGCGCTCTCCACACGGACAGCGAGTACGCCCAGCAGCAGCAGAGCGTCGAGATCACTTCGCTGCGTGAGAAGCAGGCCACCATGGAGAGCCACTTCCAGCAGCAGGTTCAGAAGCTGCGCGACGAGCACGACACCGCGCTGTCAAACCTGCACGAGCGCGTCAAGGCAACCGTAGCACGTAAAGATCAGGTGATCGCCGACTTGCAGGAAGAGCTGCACATACTGCAGGTGAAGCTCTACAAGAGCCACGCGCTCATCGAGGAGCAGCGGCTGCAGCTCTTCAGTCAATAGGTAGGTAGAGTATCCGCTCGAATCAAGGCAAATTGAATAGGATTCCATTGGGAATAATAAGAATAAAGGGGGCTGTCGAGGCGGCGAGACCAGACCGTGGCCGTCGACGATCACGAACTAGTAAGTAACATACTGACGAAATGGCTGTGTGCGCGCTTACTTCTTGGCCGCCTTGGTGGTCTTCTTGGCGGCCGACTTCTTCACCACTTTCTTCTTGGTGGTCGTGGGCTTCTTGGCCGACACCTTCTTGGCGGTCTTCTTGGCGGCAGGCTTCTTGGCCGTCTTGGTGGTCTTCTTGGCCGCCGTCTTCTTAGCGGCAGGCTTCTTGGCGGGCGCCTTCTTGGCGGCGGGCTTCTTAGCGGCGGGCTTCTTGGCGGCCGGCTTCTTGGCCGGGGCGGCGGCCTTCTTGGCGGTGGGCTTGGCGGCAGCAGGCTTCTTGGCAGCCTTCTTCTCCTCGGCGGCCAGCTTGAACGAGCCCTTGACGGGCACGAGCTTGCCAGTCTCGACGCCGCGCTTCAGCGCGATGTTGAGGCGCGACTTGGAGTAGCTGGCGCCCTTCTTGGCGGCCACGTACTTGTCGATGGCGTGGCGCGAGGAGCCCGAGCGCTCCTTGAGCGAGAGCACGGCCTCCTTGATGAGGTCGTAGTAGCCGGGGCCGGCGTTGGCCTTCTTGGTGGACGGAGCGGACGGCATCTTGGTGAGGAGGTTGGGGCTTGGGACTTGAGCTGGAGTGGGGAAATTCCGTTGTGTTTGAGTATTTTTTCGGCTCGGAAAATCTCCTTTCAAGTCGTCGCGCCGTGCCTTTCCGACAGGCCCGTTGAAGTGCCGCGTGACTCGCGCTCTGTATGGGCCCGGAACTCGCGCGCTTAAATTCAAACGAGTTTTGACAAAGCTCCGCCAATCAGCGCGCGGCTCGCGAAGACAGAGAGAGAACTTTGGCTGATCTCTCCGCCAATCGCGGGCCGTGGGACAGAGACGCGCCGGCTTCCTCGCGCTGGCGAGGCGGCCGCCAGAATACACTGGCTTGTGTGTGGGGGATGGAGGAACGCTCAAAGGGAGGGGGGTCACGTAGGAAACCCCGGAGTTAGTCTGTGGAATGCCACGCGGCGGGGGCGTTCTCGGGCCCCCGCGAGCGCCGGCACCGCGCGCGCGCGTGTACAACGAGCTAGTGACGTGCTGCGCACGGGGGTTATGCTCGTGTCGGGCTGGCGCGTAGCGTCTCGGTGTGCGGCGCGGCCGTCGCGGGCGGATTTTCGGGTCCCCATTTTAGCGCGGTCTGACCCTAAATGCCACCCGTCCCATAGTGATGCATTGAGTTTCCAGGGAGAGGCCGGTGGGAAAGGGCCGATAGCGTCCGCTGTAGATGCAGCCACAGAACCAAACTTTGCATACTACTAGATAAAACACACATCACCTCCCCTATGCAATTTGCATCGACCAACTCGGCCTGGGGCGCGCTGCAGCGCCCGCCAAACAAACCTTCTTCCATTTCGAGGACACCTCGCATAGAGGGCAAGGAAAAGCCCGTGCGAACACGACCGTCTCTCGATTCGACACGGCAATGCGTGTAACGGTAGAGCAGAACACTACGATACGGAGCTACACGCGCGCTTCCACTGAAGTTTTTGGCCCCAGTTCGCCCCCACGCCCCGTGCACAAGCGGCGAGGAAACCTTCTTCCGCCTTCCTCCATCTTCGCGATCCCAACAATCGGATGGGCCAAACGGTGCGTCAAACTACTTTCCAAGCGCAACATAGTGCATTATTACATAGCAGAGCACTATTAATATAGAGCCATAGGCTCCCGAGCTGGGTCAAGCCCGTGGGTGGTGAGTCGATGTGTAGCATCGACACTTGACCCAACGCCACTAGCGACGGCTTTGCTTGCGCATTGCCACATGAGCTTTCTTCCTCCCAAGAAACAGGGCTCGTCGTTTAAAACCGTATGCGCGCTTTTATGCAAGGATGTCGCATTTATGTCAGTACATTTGGCTAAACCAAGCAGCACAAAACGGCACGTTATGACAACCCAGTGTACTCCTACAGGTTAACTTGGCGAAGTTCCGGCGATGGGAAGATCCACGTGTTTTAAACCGAGGGTAATTACAGCGATTAGCGGCCTGCTTGGAGGCTTGGAAGCACGCGCGACGCCGGCCGCCGATGGCCACTCCCGAAAATCCTCGGCCTCGACTCCTCAGCGACCATGCTCGCCCGCCGCTTCCTCCTCCAGTCCACGCGCGGCTTCGCCACCAAGTCCGCGGCCGGCCAGTGGCTGGCCGGCGTGCCCATGGGCCCGGCCGACCCGATCCTCGGCCTGACCGAGCGCTTCAACAAGGTGCGACTTCGATCAAAGATCCTTTATTAATCCTCATACATTTGCTGACGCTCTGCTGCTTGGTCGTACGCAGGACGCGGACCCGCGCAAGGTCTCGCTTGGCGTCGGCGCCTACCGTGACGACAACGGCAAGCCGTACGTGCTGCCGTCCGTGCAGGAGGCCGAGCAGCGCATCATGGCCGCCGGCAAGAACAAGGAGTACGCCGGCATCGCCGGCATGAAGGACTTCGTGGACCTGTCGCTGCAGTTCGCGTACGGCGAGGACTCCGAGGCCCTCAAGTCGGGCCGCATCACGGGCGTGCAGACCATCTCCGGCACGGGCGGCGTGCGCCTCGCCGGCGAGTTCTTCGCCAAGTTCCTGGGCGAGGGCACCCCCATCTACCTGCCCAACCCGACGTGGGGCAACCACATCCCCATCATGAAGAACGCCGGCATGGAGGTGCGTCGCTACACGTACTACGAGCCGGCCTCGCGCGGCCTGGACTTCTCGGGCCTGCTCAACGACCTGGAGGGCGCCCCCGACGGATCCGTCTTCCTGCTGCACGCCTGCGCGCACAACCCCACGGGCGTGGACCCCACCATCGAGCAGTGGCAGAAGATCGCCGACGTCATGAAGGCCAAGAAGCACGTGCCGTTCTTCGACTGCGCTTACCAGGGCTTCGCCTCGGGCGACGCCACGCGCGACGCTGCTGCCATCCGCCTCTTCGTGAAGGAGGGCCACAACATCTTCCTGTCGCAGTCGTACGCCAAGAACTTCGGTCTGTACGGCGAGCGTGTGGGCGCCCTGAGCGTCGTCACCTCCAGCAAGGAGGAGGCCGACCGTGTGCAGTCGCAGCTCAAGATCATCATCCGCCCCATGTACTCGAACCCGCCCATTCACGGCTCGCTGATCGTGTCCACTATCCTGTCCGACGCCCAGCTCAAGAAGCAGTGGTACAGCGAGTGCAAGGGCATGGCTGACCGCATTATCTCGATGCGTACGGCTCTGCGCTCGGCCATCGAGAAGATCGAGGCCGCCAACGGCGCCAAGTCGGACTGGTGCCACATCACGGACCAGATCGGCATGTTCTGCTACACTGGCCTGACGGAGGCCCAGGTGACGCGCATGATCGAGCAGCACCATATCTATTTGACCAAGGACGGCCGCATCAGCATGGCTGGTGTCACGTCCAAGAACGTTGAGTACATCGCCCAGTCGATTGCCGAGGTCGTGCAGAACGCTTAAGCTTGCGTGTGTGCGTGCAGTATGCGTGGGTGGGTGATGAGGGCGAGTCCCCCACCCTTCGAAGCGAACGGTTGCTGCTGAAACGTAGTTGCAGTGGCAAGAAGGTGTAAAGATCACAGAACACAAAGCCCAGCTAATACACAGGCTGAGCAGCTTTTAGAACCTTTCTTCACCTGTGCGCGTGTTTGATTGCTTTCTCGAATCCCGTCGCCATTTGCTGCCATGATTTGCTATGGTTGAGGTGTTTGACAAGAATCACGTTGCTTGCTAAGATGGTCGGATTGAGAACACGCAATGCTGTACGTGTATTCAATAACGTCAATGGAAATGCTACAGGACCGTACACACAACGAGAGCTCCTTCCTTTAGCTGGCCATCGTCGGAGCTGGAGGCTGTCTCCGACGTTTCCGGGGAAGCAGCGTCGCCACTGGTGGCTCGGAGGTACTCGGACTTCCGGACGAAGCGTCCTTTGATGCGCGGACAGGAATTCGCGAGCCGCTTGCGGCAGTCGTACTTGATGCGCTTGTGGAACACGCGAAGCTTTCGCTTCTCGTGGAAGCGCTTCAGTCGCTCACGCCGCTCAGCGGGGGAGTAAATGCCAATCTTACGCTTGGGCAACGCCGTGTTCTGGTACTGGCGCAGCTTTTTGGACTGGTGGAACTGGTACGGCGGCAGCAGGTGCTGCAGTGGCTGCTGCGCCGTGACTTGGTGGACAATGGACTGGTAAAGGCTGGCTCCGTTGTAGTCTGAAGCTGTAGCTGCACTCATCGGGCTCGACAACCTAGGGTGCAAGCCGTGGAATCCGTCCGAACGCCCCCAGTACCAACGGGGGTCAATGGTTGGAGCACTCCACGCTGCTTGGTCAGAAGTCTTGGCATATTTTGGGGCCGGGACATCCTCGTAGTCGTCAAAGTTCATAGCTGGTGGAGCATAGCGCTTCTTAAACTGACGTGGTGTCACGACAGGTGCCGGAGGTTGACCGACAAGTGCAGTGCGAGACTTTGCTACCTTAGTACTCCTCTCACGCACCGGGCGCGGCGAGCACTTCTTGGCCGGTTCCTGTCCTCGAAGTGCTCTCATGTTCCCAATGGACGACGAACCCTCTGAGAACAGCCGAAGGTCATTGTCCGTGACGAGGATCTTCTTGTCAACCATAGTCGGGGACACCACAGTGGCGTCGCTCCTCATTAGAGGGCTAGCTGAGCTGCGGTCATCTCGACTATCGCATGCAGCAGCGTTCACGCGAAGCCTTGTAGGCGGCTCCGTCTGGGCTGGAGCCTTCCTTGAGAGCGGCGACTTTGACGCAGCCGGCAATTTATCCGTGAAGACGTCATCGGCCAGGTAGGAAGAGAACTCGCTCGTGGTTGGGTCGGTCAGGGTCATGTCTTGCCAGCAGGCACCCGACCGAAAAGCCAATGGCTTGGTCGCGTCGTCCAGCTCCGAGGGGTACGGGACCTCCGACTCGTGAAGACTTGAGCAGTACCTCCTCGACGAGTCCTGGAAGTACGAGCGAGTGGAGGTTGCAGCCCGCCCCGGCAATAGGAAATCCACGTCGTGCAGCTCCCAGGGCTGCGGTGACGATGTCTGAGCCCTCGAACTCGATATAAATGGCGAAGCATTGACCCTGCTGGCGAGCTGAAGCTCTTCGTGAAATGGGTCGATGTTGTCCAGATCCATGGCGATGCCAATCAGTCGTTTTGTGCGGCTGGGATCGAGAGTTCGTGCGGAGCTTGACCACCGTAGAGGACGCCTTGCGCGGGACGCGTCGCGCTCGAGAATGACCGCCACAGAGCGGATCCCATTGCTATGGCCTTCCCCTGCCGACGGTTCGCGCGCTTATTCCAAAAACCAAGGGCTCACATTCGCTCGCACAAGGCGTCGCTGCTCGGATCTCAAGGGCGACCGCTCCGGGCCAATGAATGACCGGAGTCAGGCCAGCATATCCTGCTGCGATCCAGTTTGAAGTTGTCCTGGTGCACCCTTGAAACGTCGCGCCGAATCTTGAGACCGCCCTCCCTCTGCTGTCCGCGTAATACGATGTGAGGCAGTGGGCCGTCCACTGGACGCGACGATGGCAGTGTATAGAGGATGCAGACTGTGCTGGTATATAGCGCACTCCACTCTAGTTTGCGCCTTGCTAAGCGGCATAGCCAAACGCGGGGCATCGGCAATGCTTGTCATGAGGCAAGATGCCGGATCGGATCCAAGTTGAAGCTGACGGCCAATCGGATCGCGCGATCACCGAACATAGTGAAATCAAGTGTATGTGAGCTCCGGCTCATCGAGGGAGTGTCCTGCGTAACTGTAAATTACAGTCTGTAATGATGCGCAGCTGCAATTATTACCGACTTCGGAGTGTGCCTGAATCAAGTCTCAATGTCAGTAGATTTTCGTTGCGAGCTTAGGCGATAAGCACCCCGCAAGCATTGGCAACATGCGACTGCACGACGAACGGGCTCGGCCGCGCTCGCCGAAGCGAACATTGTCAGCAATACTCTGTACATACAAGTTCCAGCGCGTGTCATGTGGGTTTGAAACTGTAAGATGCCTACTTCCCACCACTCGTTCGGTATTCTCAGCGGAGGAAGCGCAGGTATCGACTGGAAACGGGTGGATGGCCATCGCGGGCGTGTTGCTTTGACTATAAACCACGAATCGCGGCAACACGCTGCTATCGCGTTCCATGATTCGTGGAGTGAGAGGATGTTTAAACCGCGCGGGATCGTTCACCAACCCACCTTCGCCGTCTACCACTGTACAGTGTACTTGCATGGACCATGCAGTGAACCATTTTGAGTGGTTCACTTGCCGACCGGCCACTTGCTCTTCTTCCGCGGTTTGATGCGAGCCTTCTGCTTCCGCGCGTATGCGACCCAGTCGATGATCTTCGGGTGCTGCATGATCTTCTCGAGCGTATTGTACTCGCGCGCTAACGTCTTGTTGTCTTCGACCGAGTGGATCTTGCTGTGGCACTGGCGGCAGATCATGATGCACGTGTTTAGGAACTCTTTCGTATAACCCTTGCGCAGATACTTGGAGTGCGTGACGCGCGGAATCACGTGGTGGGCAGTCAAGTTCATAGGACGCTCGCACATTTCACACAAACCAGTCATATCCTCTTCCTCTTCACGGCCAGCAACATCTTCGTCCAGCACCACCTCATCTTCTCGGATAATCTGCTTCTTGCCGAACTCAATGAACTCCACCTCGACTTCAATAGGTCGGTCATAATCCGTAGCGCTATCGTCTTCACTGTCGCTGTCTTCGTTCTCACCAATATGCTTCGTAATCCGAGCCGGGTGCCAGGCGTCGTCTTCCTCGAGCACCACGAGGCAGCTCTTGCCAATGGCAAACTGCGTCTCCAGCCTCTCTCTCCTCATCCGCCGCCTCCTGCTGGCGTGGCTCTCCTGATCCTCTTCACTATCATCATCCCGACCTAAGAACACAGCGGCAAGCTGCTCCGAAATTGCTGAAAATTGAGCTGCATCCAGGAACTCCGTCTCCTCCAGCACCTCGACGAAAGCGGCGACGAGTTTGGGTCTGTCTTCACTCGCGTCTTCCTCCTCCACAGTTGCGATCAAGAGCTCCGCAGTGTATCCAAGCTCTTCAGCAGAAGCTCCACCTCTTGCAAACGTCTCTAGCACGGACACCAGTCGCCGGGACGTCTCCTCTTCGGTCGGCGGGCTGGTAATAGCGACCATGGCGTGCGTCTGGCAGGAGCAATTGGCGAGTGAGGCACTCGCAAGTGCGCACCAAGTTGACTTTGTGGGTGAGTGATGGTCACAAATTAAATATGGGTACATTAGTGTACCACACACGGAATAGAGCATTCCAGAGCCGTTGCGGAGTCATTTCGCAACAGCCCCTCCTCCACATCTTGTCGATCGAATCCCCATGGCGACGACGCAGCCCCCGCGCGTGTTTGGCGTCGACTTCGTACGTCACCTGCTTCGCCATTCGCTTGCAATGCTAACGGCGTCTTCCGCGCGCTTTAACTCGCAGAATTGACCGGCTAATTCAATGTTTTACACCGTCAACTTTGCCAGGGCGCGCAACGCTGCGTAGTGGCCGAGAGCACGGGCGACGTGGTGCTCAATGAGCTCGGCGCCATGACCACAGCCACGCTGGTGTCCTTTAAGGGTGAGGAGCGCCTGGTGGGCGAGTCGGCGGTGCTGTCGTCCAGCACCAACCCTCGTAACACCATCGCCTTCCTGTCTGGACTTGTGGGCAAGCGCCAGTTGGCTGACGTGCAGCAGCAGCTCGAGCGCCTGCCCGGACACCAAGCCACCTTCGAGGTGAATGAGGCTGGCCACGTGGTGGCTACGGTGGACTATGGCAAGGACGGCAGCAAGACGCAGTTCACGGTGGAGCAGCTCACGGGCATGCTGTTCGCCAACCTGGCCACGCAGATGAAGAAGCGCTTCCAGGACGAGCCGTTCCACGTGACGCTGGCGGTGCCGTCGGTGTGGGGCGACGACGAGAAGCGTGCGGTTCGACTGGCTTCCAAGATTGCGGGTATCCCCAGCTTGGCGATCATCTCGCGCGATGCGGCGTTGGCCCGCTGCTTCCATAACAAGCACCCAGTGGCGGCGTCGGAGGCCGATGGTGATGCTGCGATGGAGACCGCTCGCCACATTGCGATCGTCGACATGGGCCACACTAGCACCAGCGTTGCCGTTGTGAAGCTCACACAGACGGGCGAGACTGTGCTGGCGACGGAGGCGGATGTGGAGCTCGGCGCGGAGACGCTTGACCGGCGTCTCTTTGAGCACTTCCAGAAGGAGGTGCAGGCCAAGCACCAGCTGACCGTGTCGTTCCACACCAAGGAGGGCAAGCGTCTGTTCCAGGCGTGCGAGAAGCTCAAGAAGCTGCTGTCCACGATTGGAGAGGCCAGCGTGACGGTCGAGAACCTTGCCCCCGAGAAGGATGTTAACATCTCGATCTCGCGCAACGTGTTCGAGGAGCTGTGCGCTGCTGAGCGTGCTCGTGTCACGGCGATGCTGCAGAAGGCCCTGGAGACTGCGAAGGAAAGCGTGCCCAGCGCTGACATCGCGTCGGTGGAAATCGTGGGCGGTGGCACTCGCATCCCGTTCGTGCAGGAGGCTATCCTCGCTGCGTTCCCTGCCGAGCAGCAGCGCACCGCTGCTCTCATCGGCCGTATGCTGGATTCGACTACCGCTGTTGCTTTGGGTGCTGCGTATTCCAGTGAAGCGGCTGCTGAGGCTGCCGCCGCCCCCGCGGAGTGTGACGAAGACGCGGAGGAGCTGGCCCGCTACGTGGCACTGGAGCAGGAATTCCAGGCTCGCGACGCCGAGCTCACTGCGATTGCCCACGAACGCAACGCCATCGAGGCGTTCGTCTATGAAATGCGCTCGAAGAGCAGCGGCAAGCACGGAGACAAGCTCGACTCGTCCAAACTGAACCCTCTGCTGGATGCTGCTGAGGACTGGATCTACTCGGAGGAAGCGGAGACTGCCACGCTTGACGCCATCACGGCCAAGCATCAGGAGATCGAAACGGAGGTGCGGACAGCTTGTGAGGCGTACTTCTCTGCTGTGGAGGCTGACGAGCGCGCGCTGGAGCAGCAACTTGAGCTGGAGTCGCAGAAGGCGGAGGCTGAGCGTCAGGCCGAGGGCGGCGACGAAGACCACGACACGCGCAAGCTCAAGAAGCCCGAGCGCATGCGCATGGTGGTCAAGAACAAGGAGGAGGGCAACGAGCTCTTCCGTGACGGCAACCACAAGCACGCCGCCGCGCGTTATGTGAAGGCCCTGACGCACGCGTCCAAGTTCTTCGACCTTACCGAGGCCGACAAGGAGGAGGTGAACGCCATCAAGCTCAGCCTGTACCTGAACCTCGCGCAGTGCTACCTCAAGATGGAGAACTACAACAAGGCTGTCTCCAACTGCAATGAAGCGCTGGCGCTGGACGCGAAGAGCGTCAAGGCCCTCTATCGTCGCGCTGTGGCGTACGAGAAGGAGAACAAGCTGGAACCCGCGGCCGACGACGTCAAGGCAGCCCTGCTCCTTGCCCCGCAGGACCGTGCTGTCGTCAAGCTCGACGAGCGCCTGAAGCTGCGTCTTCGCCGCCAACTCGACAAGGAGAAGAAGATGTGGAGCAAGGCGTTCGCGTAAGCGCCATCTTGACCTAGCAATAGAGAGCAAGCCGGAAAAACATGAAGCGTGAAAGACCAATTGATGTGGATTAAACTGCAATCAGTTCTTCCCTAAAACCTGGAAGCACATAGCACCAACGCAAACTGCAGCCTTTTAGATCGTTTTCCAAGCTGTTCTCTACCCGCTGCTTCACTTCGCAGCTCCGTTCACACACAACACGCGCCCAATTCTTTTCCGGTCGTCACTGTTGTTGCGCCGTTGTGCCTCCTTCATCACGTCGTCGTCGACGCTCTTCCGTCCAGAAAAGCGTTCGAGCGCACCGATGCTCGGCATCAACGCGCTGGCCAATGCATCTCCCTCCACCCGCTTCTGCTCTGTGTGAGAGAAACTGTACATGTAGACCATGTCTGAAACTTGCATCCACCAGCGTTCTTACTGATTGTTGTTGTCCGGGGCTGTGCACCTGTTGATCCACTTGCGTCGCCGCACCATGGCTAATGTGAAGGGGTCCTTCTGCCAGGGCCCGGAGAAGGACGGCGCGTAGATCCAGCCGTTGTCGTCTCCTTGTGACACGTCGAGCGTCCAGCCCTCGGCGTGCAGGTGCTTGGGCACCTTGGGGGCCACCTCCTCGAAGGCGTTGGACGAGATGTTGGCGTCCGTGACGGAGCTCCAGCGCTTGCGCTCCGTGGAGCCGGCGATGTGCGTGTCCGTGGTCCACTTCTTGACGATGTGGTAGCGCTGGTTCTCCCAGAGCTCGAGCACCTGGTCCACCTGCTCGTTGGGCGTGACCTTGATCTCGAGGAAGAGCACGGACTTGCGCTTCTGCTTGTCGTAGTCGGGCGGCACCTCGAGCTCGTAGGACACCACCTCCGACTGCTTCTTCTCCAGAAACGGGGCCAGCGCGATGTTGGCGTTGCCGATGCAGTCGTCCTTCATGAAGCGGTCGTAGTCCATGACGTGCACCTCGAGGCACTTCTCCTTGGGGCGGTCCACCTGGAACTGGAACGTCTCGGCCGGCTCCCAGCGCGGGTTCAGGCTGCTCTGCACCACGGAGCTCTTCTGGCTCACGCGCCCCACCTTGAACACCACGTACGGGTCGCTCTTGCCGCCGATGCCCATGAAGCCGAAGTCGCTGGCCGCCAGGTCGCCCGCGCGCACCAGCGTCACCTGCAGCGTGTGCATCGTGCTCATGGTGGCCGTGTGTGTGTGCGTGTGTCTACGGAGGAGGTACTGTAGGTGTCTGAGCTGCGCTGTCGAGTGAGCACTACGGGTAGTGGCAGGAGGGCGACGCAATGACTGTGTGTGCTTCTGCTACGGACTGCGACTGACACTGTGGGGCCGCATGATATGTCGCCTTCTCGCGGTATGCGAGATAACTCGATTGGGCATAATGCCGCGCGCTGAGGCGCGCCAGTTGGCGGAAAAGAAGATGTAATTTCGACAAACTGGCGGGCGGCAAATTTCTACATTGTGACCAATGGTAAGCGGTAATTTGGCTCTGGGACATGCGCGAATGTACCCAGACCGGCTTATCCGGCGTTTTCCGGACGAGAAGGCGTGGATTTTCGGCGTCGGACCTAGTTGTTCAGCTTCAACGTGACCATTGTTGTACCCGCTAGCGGCAGTGTCTTACTGCGAGTGCAGTCTCGCTTTTCGCCGCACGATGGTCTGATTTCCTGTCTCAAGAAGCCTGTCGACCACACGAGAGCACGGCGCAATAGACCGCAACATGATTGCTGACGCAGCCACGACGCTGCCACGCGCAATCGCCCAAAGGCTCCGTTCCTTCTCTTTCTTCTTCTTCTTCTGACCAGAGGTTGCAGTCGCAGTCAACCCAGATTCATATCTTGGCAGGAAACGTCTCGATACTCGAAACGGTGACCGAGGGCTCCAAGAGCTCCTGTTTTGCTGTTGGGGCATTGCGATCGTTAGCACGCTTGCCGTGCGTGTGAGCGCCGTGGGTCCCTCTTGAATCAGTACGTTTGGATTGTGTTTGAATTCCGCTCAGCATCAGCAACACTTCCCTGCAAGGAAAAGGCGGCAAAACGTTAAACCCATCGACGCAAGTCTAAGATTGTTGCCGCACCAGCTAAAACTCCTGAATCGTCAGCACGTATCTTCCGAGTCCACAGCGATTCCTTCCAGACTTGCAGAAACTCGATGTGTATGAGTTTGTTGCAGAGCTCCATCCTCGCACGCGGTAAGCGAAGCAAATGGAAATGAAGTACCCCGGCACGAAGCCGCAGTATTCGCCCAGTTTGCTGCGCTCAATGAGTGCTGCAGGCTGCAGCAGTCGACGAAGTACATGTGTAATGAAATAGTGCAATCCCATGCAGGTGTTTCGGTGCAACGCACGTGTTTGATGTCAGATACCGGTATCGCCAGAATTATTTACTTGACTTTTGTATTGAAATCAAATATATTGAGTTTTGTATGCATTCGAATGACTTACTGTTGTATTGAGTCGATTTATCTAAGCATTTGTAAACGGATTAACTAGTGTTGGACACATAACTTAGGGGGGGTAAAAATAGTCGCATACTGCGGCAAGCACTAAAAAAACGCCACAACTCGGGTAGACGCAACTAATATTGCCGCTTGCAAATACTTTGCCCTCTAAAATAGACCTCTAAAATAGACCACGCCTGTCTCTTAATATGAGTGGACACGAGATAGGCGAGGGCTGATTTAGCTTTATGCTTTGCTGGGGGCCGCTTTTAGGCCCAGAAACTCGGTTTGGCCCGTTTAGAATGGCATTTCTGCGTTTCCAAGTCGTAGAAAAGCGCCTTGGTCGAGAAAACAGAGCCCCAAGCTCGGATCTTAGACCGTACTGGCGAGATATATAAATCAGACCTAGGTCTTAATTAAGAGCTGGATGGATTAAAATCGAGATTATTAACGAGATAATAAGCATGCGTTGGCCAAAATATCTGCAAACGGCAATACACCACAATTACCCTTTCTTACGAACTGCGATCCTCCCCGGCAAGAAGGAGCAGCAACCTGCGCTTGAGTCTTCAGGTACTCCCATGAATAATGGCGAAACTTGGCCTTAACTTTGTTTTCCACTGGGTTGTACTGTAGAATGCGGCGCGTTGGACGTGCTGGTGCTCTAGGCGGGTAACCAGTGCACCATATGTTTACCCTATGCTAAACCGGTACAAGTACCGTTTTACCGGTACCGGTAGCCTTTCGCAATCTGACGCTCCATGCTGACGTCGTTCACTTGTGAAAAGCAAGAAGAGCTCCGAGCAACTCGCCCACGTGTGCAGTCCGCCCCCTTCACTACATATCCTCTCCCCCCTCTTCTCCACCATCGCAATGTACGCCGTGCACGTGACGCTCGTCAAGGCTGTGGACCTGCCGTCCGCCGACTTCAACGGCAAGAGCGACCCGTACGTGGTCTTCAAGCTGGCCAACACGGAGCACAAGAGCTCCATGATCCCGGCCAACCTCAACCCGGAGTGGGACCCGGAGGAGACGTTCGCCTTCATCGCCGACGACCCCAAGAGCGCCGTGCTGGACGTGCAGGTGTTCGACCACGACCGCATCTCCAAGGACGACAAGATCGGCTTCTGCGCCATCCCGCTGGCCGAGCTGCAGGACAAGCCCGAGTCCGAGGTGCTCATGTACGAGCTCGAGGTCCCCGCCGCCTTCGCCAAGCAGAAGCGCAAGAGCGCCATCATGCTCGAGATCAAGCTCGAGAAGGAGGACTAAGACGCTCTGGTAGGTGTGTTCCTAACGAACTAATCGAGTCTTTCATTTCTTCGCTGTACACGCTGGCCGTCGTCTGGCATTTTGTTGCATTGGCGAGCGGCTGCAGTGACAAGAGGCTGAAGCGAGGCGAGGACCTTTCCTTTCTTCCAACGACGCGCTGGGACTTGCGGGGAAAGTGCAAAGTCCTTTTTTGCTGCGTCGGGACTTGTCACGATGGCAGTGTGCGGCATCTGGGACGAGACGAGCTTTTCTCTTCTCGAGCGCGCTCGAAGCGCCAGACAGACGCAACCCACGCAGCCTGTAGTCTCAAACCATCGCTCGCCGTGCTCTCCGCCAGGTCCCAGGGCGCTTTCCGTCGCCTCCAGCGGGCTTTACGGCTCTGCAACGCACGTCGCTCGCCACCCAACTGTTCGCCGCTTTCGTGCAGCGCTCGCCTCGCCCATTGCCGTTTTCGCAGACCCGCTCGCAGACTGAGAGAAGCTTGCATTTGCAGTCGGCGATCCAACGGCGTTGAGCTCGAGGTCGTCGAGCTTCCGGAAGCAACCACCAAGTCGGCAAGATGAAGAGAAAGGCGGCGTCTCTCTCCTCCACTGGAGACGAAGACAACGGCTTCAAGCACGGCAAGCGCGCGTTCCCCAAGTTTGGCGAGCTTCTCCACGCAGCGTCGTACAGTCAAGACAAGCAGGAAAGCCCCGAGACGTGGTCGCCCGAGCTGCCCAGCACTTCGGAGACGGACGACGACGGCGAGCAAGATGGCTACGCTGAAGACGAAGACGTCGATGACGAAGATGTTGATGAAGACGGCGAGCTGAGCCAGAGCACCGGAGGAAGAGCGTGCAGCTTCTTGGGCTGCACCAATGCAGCTCGAAGTCGCGGCTTGTGCCCAGCACACGGCGGCGGCACTCGTTGCAGTGTTCAAGGCTGCATGAAGCACGTGGTTTCCGGCGGTTTGTGCGTCGCTCATGGAGGAGGATGTCGATGCCGCGATCCCTCCGGGTGTTCAAGCAGTGCTGTCAGTCGTGGGCTTTGCGTGCAGCATGGAGGTGGACGGAAGTGCAGCGAGCCGGGCTGCAACAAGCACGTAGCTTCGGGTGGACTGTGCCGCACTCACGGAGGAGGTCGACGCTGCCAGGTGCCGGATTGTACGAGCAGCGCCCAAAGTCGAGGCTTGTGCTACGTCCACGGCGGAGGAGGCCGTTGCCAGCGTCCAGGCTGCGGGTCTAGCGCCAAGAAAGGCGGTCTCTGCATCGCACACGGCGGAGGACATCGCTGTCAAGTGCCTGGCTGTACCAGCAGCGCTGTGAGTGGAGCACGTTGCCGAGCTCATGGAGGTGGCCGTCGATGCGCGGTTGAAGGCTGCACCAGCAGTGCGAAGACCGGAGGACGCTGTATTGCCCACGGAGGCGGCAAGCGGTGCACGGTCAGAGGCTGCACGAGCAGCGCCCAGCGACTCGGACTCTGCAAGGCTCACGGAGGCGGACGCCGATGCGTTGTCGAAGGCTGTGCCAACAGCGCGGTGAGTCGAGGCCGCTGCATTGCTCATGGAGGCGGCAAACGATGCGTCTTCGAAGGGTGCACGACCACAGCGCGCAAAGGCGGCTTCTGCTTTGCCCACGGCGGGAGATCCACAGCGTCGACGGCGAGCAGCAGGAGTCGAATGGCGTCTCTCCCCGCTACGTTCTCGTTGACTCCAGTCTCTGGCCATTCCAAGTCCATGCCACGACCTGAAATGCTCTCGCCGATCCCAGCACTCAGCCTGCCACCGCGCCGGCTGCTCCCACCGATCAACGCGATGCTGATGGCCAGTCGTCCGGGCATCTTGCACCGGTACGAAGCGATCCCACCGATTCGCAGACCGGTTGCCACGTTCGAGCGTGCTGGGCGAGGAACGAGTCGCCCCCGAAGCTTGTTTGACGAAGAATGGCCGGCCTCATTCAACCGTGACCAAGCGTGGCAGCTCCGACCTGTAGACAACAGACAACATCAGTCTCAGAGCCTCTTCTCACCGAGATTCCAGGACCAGGTGCCCCGGACGCCAACCGCGTCCACGACTCGCCCTGGCTACTCGTGGCAGCGGCTGCAGGAAACCATCCGCCGCGAATCGCAAGTCCACGGACTCACGAATGACGAAGACGAAGCAGCGTATGAAGACAAACCCACGTTCAAGTCGGAGGCCCAGAACGACGCCGTGCCGGTGGCAGGTGGCGGTCTCTACTGGACTCGAAGCCGCGGCCCCATCCCATCATGAGCGCTTTCGAACACCTGAACAACAAACCAAAAGAGACCCGAGGCGCTGGAGGTGAGAGCAGCGAATTCATTGAACCGGTCGGTCCTACGAATCCATGTAGTGCGTAATTTAAGAGAACCACAGCAAGTGGAATTTGCAGCATTTGTATCATCTAGCCCATGAAAAATAACGTCGTTGTCAGATACACACAATGACCAGGAATGAATCAATTGAGCCGGCGTACGTACTTTTGATCACGTTGCTTCGTCATGCTGGTTGTTGTCCTCTATTTCCTACCGCTGAACTACTGAATGGAGCAGTACGACCAGAACGACCGCCTCTGGTTGCGCTGGCGTGACAGCATCGACTCTTGTGTGGCAACGTCCAGATGGTTGCGACCTCTAGTGAACCGCCGAAGACGAATCTCGTTGTCCTCACGAACCTTGTCCAGCTCGTCCGGGTTCTCCTTGAGGTACTTCTGCAACTGTGCCAGCGCCTTCTCGGTCTCTGTCTGTCCTTGCTTCTCGTACTCCTTCTTGGAAATGAGCGCGCTGTGACGACCGGGTTTCTCGAAATGATACCAGAAGTACGCGATGGTCGCAATGATCTCGAAGACGCGAGTAAGCGACACAAGAAGAATAATCAAGAGCGAGGCTTCTGTTGAGGACGTGCTGTAAAACAGCAGCGTCATGCCCACAAGCTTCAGCGACCTCGAGATGATGAGCTGCAGGTTTGTCGGAGGAGGCAACTCGTCATCCAAGACGCCAATCTCCTCGATCTCCTCTTCATCTTGCGGCTCCGTATCTGACTTGGCCGACGCTCCCCATTGATACCACCACACAAGCACACACCCGAAGAAGGCGAAAAACGCGAAGTAGATCTTGCCCAGGTGCGGGATGCCGAAGAGCACCTCGCGATTCCACAAGTACGCAAGGTACGAAATAGCCCACGATCCGAGACGATACAAGTTCGGCATAACCACAAAGCCTGTCACCGGTACAGCCACCGTGGCGACTGACGCGAGGGACGAAACGAGCTGAGCACCTGGCAGCATCTTGGTAGTATTCCGAGCCTGGCGCTGGAAGATGTAGAGGGCCAAAAGGGCCGAGAAAAACACGCCAACCGCAGCGCCCAGCATGTAGTGGAAGGCGCGTGAACGCGACAGCCACTCCGATAGATAAAATAGTAGCAGACCCAGGAAGAAGTTCTGCGCGTACACCCACGACAAATCTGCAGCGTACACAACACCACATTCGGTCAGTAGAGCTCTTCATGAACACAGTAAACAATTGCTGTCACTTACATGTGAAGAACGTGAAATCAAAATTGAACTTTGGCGTGGAAGTCGAGATAAACGGCTCCGGGGGCCCGGTCACCGTGATGCATGGGGCGTGATACGGACTGAGTTCCAGCATGCAAGCACCTTCGCCTTCAACTGCTCTGCACTCTAGCGGGCAACCTCCCACACAGTTCTCGCACACCAGCTTGGCTGTACATCAAACATTGTCAGCAAACAACAGCAAACAACAATTCCCGCACTCTTCAAGCAGCAGACGCAACGTACACGCCACATAGAGGAAGTTTTCAACCGCGTCAACCACATACGGAGGCACAAACTGCTCCAGCGCCGGAGTCAGGTGTGCCGCCTTCAGCACACTACGACACAACAGCCCGGGCGTCCTAAATCAACACCAATCGCACAATAAATAAGACTCCATTCCACCACACGAACCCAAAAAGGCAGCAGCAGCTTACCGCGCAAACGTAAAGCTCAGCTGATCGACCTTGGGACTGCGCACCACAACGCGCAGCTCGCTCCACGCCCAGAAGAACGGGCGCAGAGGCCACGCGGCGCTCTGCAGGTACGACAGCGTGGCATTGGTCAGGTTGAACAGCGCCTGAGCCTCCCGCGACTGGCCCAGCGTCTGAATCAGCGCCGGCTGCAGTGTACTGGAGTCACACAACCCGCAACACAATTGCACCCAGTCAGTACATATCCTCCACATGCCAAAGCGCTGCATCCATCCAGCCATTCACCTGTTGAGCGGGTCCATGCGAATGTGCAGCGACGAGTTCTCGTAGAAGCAGAAGCTCTGCTGCTGCCCCCACTCGCTAACTTTGCCCCTAGTGGTGACGCCCTCGTCCAGCCATTGGAAGCGCCTGCGGTCGGCCTCGGACGCCACGTTCTCGCCTGGAACGCAGCCATCGACAGTGCAGTACAGTTGCTTGGGTTAGTTCGGCCCTGGGGGCAGGGACTACGGCGGTGCCTATTGCCAGACGTACGCGCGGACTTGGAGGCGGAGTCGGCCAGCGACTGCGCGCAGCAGAGCAGCGCCAGCAGCGCCAGCAACGCCAGCAACGAGCTCGGACGCGCCATCGCCAACAGCTTCAGACCCGACGACGTCACTTGTTGACTCTCCAAACAAAACGCCAAATCGCGAATCAGGGCCCGGGATGGGAACTTTTTGCCCGAAAATACTAATTGGTGTGTCATACACCAGTTAGCGGAAATCGACCCCGCAACTTATACAGTGAAAACGCAAGTTGAAGTGCTTTCAACACTCTACTGACTCAGTATCACTGAGTTAGGTTGGTGGTGGTACACAGTGCAATGCTCGACACAAGTGCAACCTTACCTGTACGGCACCCAGAAATTGTAGATAAAGGTTACCACGACCCGCGGATGACACGCCAAATACAATAGCATTGGCCTTCACGGTCGAGTGTCCAGGAAGTATCGGTGGGCGTGTTGTACTACCTGTCCCGTACGTAAAGGGGGGAGACCATGCATGTTGATGGGGGGTGGCCCGCTGCTCGTCGCCCCTGCTCACGAAAACAATCCCGCCCGCGTACGGTGTGGTGGCGCAAAGTTGTAGAGCAGCTACGATGGTGCAGTAGATGTAGCGGTAATGCGCACAGAAGACATTGAAATGGATCAAAAGAATGAGTAACAACCAGGAGATATCTCTTGTTCCTCTTGCTAATGGTGCCGACCAGCAGGAGCAGCGTAAACGCTGTGTCAAACTTCACACAGGTGCAGCTGCACGCAATAACCAGCAAGTGTGCAAAGGCCGAGTAAAACAATGCGATCGCTAGCTGCGCAGTCACCTCGAACATGCCGGTCTTCTCCGGTTTCAATGTCTCTGGGGACTTGAATTCGATGAGCGGGGTCGACTCGCCATACCTGTAGCCTGTTGACGCTGCCAACTCGACAATTTTCTTGTAGTCGGCCACCATTTCCAGCTTCTTCACATACCGTTGCGCCATCCTTGTAGTTTCATCCATCCATTCGTCAGCCTCCGCTTGGTATTGGATGCCCAAGGCGCGGTAAGGCTCCCGCCAGCTCCAGAACCACACGTCCTTGACAGCGTCCGCTTGCTTCTGAACTGAGGCATACTTGTCGAGAGCGTCGTAGACGTCCTGGGACAGCTTCGCCCCATTTTGCCACCACCGGTGGGCGGCCTGCATTTCGGGGGTGACGACCGGCGCTACAATGGGCTGCACCCTGGCTGCAATCAGCACAAGTAAGCATACCCCACGCTTGCCGGCAGCAGCCACCGAAGTGACGGACGCACCCACGTGGTAAAGTCGACGGTATTCAAGTCCATTCCTCGATAGCCGAACAGCGTCAATATACAAAGCAGAATCTCCTCAAAAGCAGCAAATGCTGCGCCGTCGCGAACGCGCTGCAGTAAGTTCGTGGCACCGGCTAGATCGTAGGATTAGACACAATGCTGCCGTCAGAAACGGAGGCATTCACTAGTCTAGTAATGCGTGAGAAGCTACGCACCACCCTGTCGGGCGCCGAAGGGTTCAGCTCGACGCATGTGCTTGGTTTGAGGGGAGGAATCTTTCGGAAGTCCACACAGATAGACAGTGGCAGATTCCGGATCTGAATCCGGAAACCTTCCAAACCTGCAATAGAGCGCCGATGAAGGGCAGCTAGGACTCGCGATTGAGATGAATGAATCGTAGTGCACTTGTTCACCACTTGCTGTGCACATTTTGTTCATGCTCTATACAGACCGAAACTAAAGTTTGATGGGGTTTCATGTCATACAATTTGATTGACAGGTTTTGGGTGATCACCTATTACTGGTACACACTGTAGTATTTGTGCATTCAACTCCACTAGCTCGAAGTATTTCTCAATTGGACTCGAGTCGCCAAGATGGCTACGATAAGTATCGTTCAAGTCCATAGGTTACCTATTAATTGGCAGCCCTGAGGGCTGTGGGAACGACTTGATCGAGTGTCTTCTGGAGAGACAACGGCTCAACGACATGGCAGTCATGCAAGAGTGTTCTGCTCGACTACGCGGTGAAGACCTCAAAAGGTCCCCCGAATGGAACGAGTTCCTTGGCAGATCTGGATCCGATCCGCAGTTTGTCGCACAAACAGTGAGCTACATGAACGCTTCGGTGGATCCTAAAGCCGTGTACAATTGGGCAGAGACTATCGTCAGCGCGTTGAAGCAGTCGGAAATGCACCTTCATCGTCCGTCTAGAAAATGGTCGGGTGGCTCCAGATGACATTGCAACCATTGCAACTGTAATTGAGTCCATTCACCAGAACGAGGTTCCGTTCTCGATCATCGTATACGAAATTGGGGTGCTCCAACGCGTCGACGTGCTGGTCAAGGACGAAGTATCGAAAAAGGTGACGGAGGCAATGAAATACACCAAATACGCAACCAACTGCGTATTGTTCGCTCCAGAATTGCCTAAACGAAGTGAAGACACCCATGTTGTCGCGGAATTTATCAAAAATGGAGCGCCAATGGTCCAGATTGAACCAACTTTGGTGAGAGTGATGGATTTTGGAACTTTGAGAAGACGCGCGGAGAGGTTCCTGAAATGAAAGTGAGAACTTCCGCCCACAAGTTCGAGTCCACCGCGTCTACAGAAGTGACTTTTCTCACTCTCACCGAGGCAGGAGATTTATGGATGCTGAATTCACATATCGCCCTAATTGGACTGTAAGTATTCTGGAACGAGAGTGTTTTGGTTGGTTCTCTAACGCAGGGTTTCACCGTTTTCTATTAATTTGTAGATTGAAGGTCACGCGTTGATCAGTGCCGAGGAGGTGTTCTTCCGCATTTATATCTTCCGCTCCACGGTCACGAATTCTATTGAAGCTCTCTTCACGTCTCCTGTGCTACCGGTCGGTTTGCATTCGGTCATTGCCCCATATGTATGTTTGGGTATGATCTCACTTGTTGCCTGCTACCTCAACGGAGTAGATGTGCCAGAGAGAAACCAAGTACGAGGAGCTGACTGCAGAGTTCTTGAATACTGCGCATCGGTTGACACCGATATCTTCGCGAAAGCAAGGTTCGTCGTTTTCGACTATTTACCAGGTGTATACTTAAGATCCGCCTTCCTGGCCTTCGTTCGTTGCCATCTTTTGTCAGAGAACCCGTGGGACCGTATTATGCTGCGCCAGGCGAACGTACGCCGTGCACAATGCGCCCGAATGATCTCTCGCTGATACTATCGGCCGCCAGGTCGTCGTACCAAATAGAGCGGCTCCAAGCAGCGATGTGGCTGAAGGACGCGTGTCGAGACGAGGTAAATCGCCGCACACTGTTGGCGTTGTTCAAGGAAGAGCTAGCTGGCGTCCTGTGCGAGCTGCTGCAAGACATTGACCAAACTACCGTGCGCTTCGCTGTTTATGCGATCAAGAAATTTGCTGAAAGCTGCGCAGCGCTGAACGAGTAAGTGTGACTGACCGACATGTGTGTCTTCGCCAAGACTATGTTGCTGTGTATACAGATTGGCGATACCCCAGCTAGACCAAAGATTGATGAGCATTATGGCACTTTCGAGCAGCCCAACGGCTCGGAAGCTGGCTTGGCAGCTTTTCGAAGCTTTGGATGGTGCAGCGAGTGAGTGAAGCGCATGGGGGACTCGCGAACTGTCGTGACGTAAAGCAGAAGCTCGTAGCGTAAAGAAGAAATGCGTGCCAGTCATTGATGCAAGGAACAGGGCGCTTCCAATAGCTTCGTTCAGCGTCATTGCGGGCATTACCACGTTAAAAACTACTATTGCGTATCTCGTCGAGCAATGGTTTTTCCGGTCTACCATTCCTGTCGTTCACCACGCAGTTGCTGCTGGCGTCGCTCCTGCTCCAGTGCGTCACGCACCACAACCTTGCCCACTACGTAGACTCCACTCGCCACCATGCCGTAGATCGCGAATAAATACGAGGCCACAACGCTTGCGGCGCCGATGAAGCCCAGCACCACGAACGCCGTGGCACTGAGCGGGTCCGGCTGGTACGAGAACACCATGTTCACGAGCGAGAAGAAGAAGTAGAAGAGCGCTCCCAGCAGCCCCGTCGTGAAATTCATGACAGCCACGAACACCCAGTTGAGCACCGTACTCAGGATGTCCTCGTCGCGCGCCGACAGCACGCGCATGATCATGTGGTAGAACGTCTGCTGCTGCGCGAAGAGCTTGCCCCTCTCAAAGGCGCTCCAGAATCGAGCGCGCACGTCCGCCAGACCAAAGTCCGACCAGAGGCCCACATAAGCTCGAGCTTTCTTCATCTTGTCTTCCCGCTCGCGCTCCGTTCTCGCCACCTCGGCCGCCCACTTGTCGGCCGCTGGCTGGCGCTGGTCCACCAGCGTCTTGTACGGCTCTCGGAAGCGCCAGAACCAGACTTTGGCCTCGTCAGCGTACGCCTGAGCCTCAGTGTACTTGGCGTAGGCCTCGTGGTACTCTGGCATGTTGGCGGCCTCCACGACCATGTGCTCGTACGTGGTCTTCATCTCCGGCGTCACCTGGCTCAGACCCGGCGCCAGGAGCATGAAGAAGAGGCCCACAGCCCACAGCACCAGCCCCACGCGGACCTTGGGAGACTGCAGAGCTTTGCCAGCTATGGCTTTCACTAGAGCGACGCCTGGATCTCCCCCGTCATTGGCGTAGCGCGCGCGCTGCATGGCATCGGAGTCTGCAGGATTGACACATTGACAGAATGGACGATTAATAGAGTTAGAGGAGGGCACAGAGCTGGAGAAAAACACCGATGTGTAGAGGAGAGAGAGGTAGAGAAGGTGGGAGGAAGGAGAAGGCGACGTACCGGCTGCATTGGCGCTTGGATGACCGGGACGGCGACGCATCTTGGCTCGCTGTCGGTCTGCTTGAATCGGGTAAATTCTGGAATGACAGATTGTTTGTGCGGTACTGATTTTAGAACAATTTTGTAATTTTGTTCCAGAATATCAACTTCCTAAACCTAAAGCTAGAAACTTACCCACTAGATATTATCTGTACGATTCTGATGTATTTCTGGAACGAGGTTGAAGTTTGTGCAGCCATTTTTGTGAAGTTGTATTTTGTTGCTCGCCCGAGTCTTACTGAGAACGAAACAAGGTCGTCATCTGCTCTGTAGCGAGCCTTACCAGTAGTTTGCCCTTGAAATCGCCGTGTGGAGTGCTCGAATGACGCCTCAGGGCAAGAAAACGGAGTCAAAGAAGCAGCTTGACGTCTCGAACGACTTCAGCGATGCCTCGAACCGCGAGAAACTCTTCGCCAAGAGTACGAAGGATGCAACAAGGCCCCAGACCCGCGGCAGTAAAGTTGGACCGGGAATCGCCGCAAACTCAGAGGCACCGAGTTCAGAGCTGACAGCAGCACCTCCAGAGCGAAGTAGCGTTGCATCAAGTAAAACAAAGAACGAATCGACACCCACCACCTCTTCCAAACGAAGTAGCACTCCAGCAGTCAAGGTGCAACCCAAACTGACGGCAACTGCTGCTTCAAAACGTAGCAGCGCTCCAGCCGTCAAGGCACAACTCGAATCGGCCTCGACTTCTCCTCCAAAGCGCAGTGGTAGTGCCGGGAAGAAACGCAAATCGGACGCAGCAACACCAGCAGCTGCAGAACCTGAACAAGAGACCACAGACAATAAAGCAGGTGGCCCCGATCAAGATGCCAAAGGTCTGTACGACATTTTCATTCAGACACGACGTTGCGAGGAGTTATGCTCGGGCCTCGGCCTGACACTGAGCGATATTCGAAAAATGAAGCGGAAATACGACGACAACGACATGTACCATTCGTAAGGCTATATACTGCTGTCTAGCTATTGAAAAATGGCTGCTTACTTTGTGTATTTCTCATCGTTCAACAGCGGCGAGATTACCCAGGCCGAGTTCTTCTTCATGATCAACGAGGAACGACGACCGTTAACGCTTGGAATCTTCAAGTTTGCTGACGTCCCTGAGTCCCAAAAGTTCCTGTCCTTTGACCAGTATCTGCTGTGTGTCGTGAGCTTTGCAGTGCTCACAAAGCCTGAGTTGTATCAATACGTCTTCGACCTGTACGATGCGGATCAATCTGGTGCGCTGGATGAACGTGAGGTCACCAAAATGAGCTTGGAGCTTCAAAGCAAGCAGTTCCATTTCCCAGCCAACGTTACTGCTGCGATCAACATGCTCCAAGGCAAAGAGGGCCGTGCTGCATTGACTCCTGATGACGGACTGGTTGATCTGGGTGAATTCATGAAATTTGCGAAAAGTTTTCCTGTTGCCTTCTACCCGATCATGAATATGCAGAAGAATGTGCGTGAATCTACACTCGGCGAGTCATACTGGTCCCGTATCACTGCGAACAAGCTTCGAGTCCAGGAACTCGTAAGCTATATGCGTCGCCACCACGGAGCCATCCCTCAGCTCACGTTCCGTGAAAGTGTGGCCAGCATTTTCTCTCGTGAGATTTTCAATATCCGCAAACGTGCTGGTGAGCTCTATGCGCTTGAACTCGCTCAACGACGTCGCTTGGATACTGGGGAAGTCGAGGAGGAAGTTAAGCTTTAGCTCGAGACTCTTCCAGATACTGACGTCGCGCTAACGCTCGCGCGCGAGCCATGGCACTATATCCTCCCAACACCACAGTCATAACCCAAACCTTCAAACTCATCCGTGGTAGATGTCCGTCGTGTTTGCGGAGGTATTCGACAAGCAGCGGCACAAGTTGTTGCTCTTTCATCTTCCTCTCCCAATATTTCTCACCGAGAGTTCGTGCACGAACGGAGCGTTGCATTTGTACGAGCGGGAAGAAAACCACAATGTTTCGACGTACGAGCTCCTGGAAATCCTCAAAGGTGAGAGTTGAGGGCAGACCTGTTAACGGCGATATTGCGTTGGCTTTGAAGTGCCGAGCTGCTGCTTCAATGTTGCGTGCGTACGACCCACCCGCTGCCTCCAGGATAGAGTTGAGACGACGAGCGTTTACAGCGTCGATTCCTCCAGCGAAAAATGCGTCGTAGAAGAACCGCCAGAGCTGGACATCGGAGAACACCGCAAAGGTGCACACCACTCGGAGAAATTGATCAAAAGTTACCCGCGCTACTGAAGTCGTGATACCCGCAAGGCGAAGCAATTCTTTAGTCACCAGGTGAGAGCGCTCGAAAGCTTTGTCGTCATTAATCAAATGAAAAAAGCCACGGACTGTCACCGTATCACTGTGTGAGCCATCCTCGTCGTCAAACTTTCGGCGTAGCACACGTACATCGTCACGAGACATTCCCAACCTTTTGCACATGTCCTCGGTTTCCTTACTCTCAACTAGTCGGCCATAGACTGGAGACACGTAGGACCCTCTCCTTGACTCTGCTGCGGGTGTATGGGCTACCGCGGCACCGACTACTATCTTCGTCGGCTTCAGTGATCGACGCTGGACTTTGACCCACGAGATTCGTCTTATGCTCATGACCGAGAAAATACTTGACAGTGTGAACGCTTGAGAAACCAAAACGTGAGTGAAGCCGAATCCGACACTGGGTGGGGGTGCGTGGTGCGTTGGGGTGAATTCGTTCCGTTGAAAGCACTTGCACAAATTTAGGCGATTTGCTTGGTATTTGCAGCTCACTAACATAGTATTTTCTCTCAGTATCGCAGAGTCAACCGGTGCCATTAATCATTATGGCTGGAACGAAGATAGCTACCACTTGTGAAGATGTCAAAACTGAAAGTGCAATAAGCAAGACCACGTCCGCGTCAGCCAACTCGAAGACAGCGAGAGAAAGTGACGAGACGGTAACACGCACCCCAGAAACTCGGAAGAAGAAAAAGAAGACGCGGAAGGATGGCAGCACAATCTCGGACACCGGAGATGTCAAGAAATCCAAGAAGAAGAAAGCACACAAGAGCCGCGAAACACGCCGTGGTAGCGATGGAACTGGCCACGAAGTAGAAGTGCAGCCCGTTATCGAACGGAAGCCGTCGCAGCGAAAAGTTCAGGTGAAGCAGCGGTCATTTACCACTCTGGTGGACACCGGTAGCTCTACAATAGCAATTGGGGATTCGATGACTGATACTGAGGCCGCGGTGCCAGCAGCTGACGAAACTGGGGGATTTTCAAGTGGGCAATACGGAGTTCTACTGGAAACCAAGCGAGCTGAGAAGCTCTGTCTATCGCTAGCGCTCGAAAAACGACATGTGGAAGGAATGCTGCGTGCATTTAGGCGTGAGGAGCAGCTGGGAGATGGAGAAATCACAACCGACGAGTTTTTTTCTCGATGATTCGCGAGCAACCACGACAACTTACGAAAGGGTTGTTTGAGGAGGTGGGGCTTGCTCGCAATATCAAACGTCTTCGCTTTGACGACTTTGTGCTTTGCGTAGCGACCGTCGCGACTTGGTCTAAGAACGAGCTGCTGCATTACGCCTTTAAGCAATTCGATGTGGACGAATCTGGAGTGATGGATGGTCGAGAGCTTCGTGCATTTTGCGAGGGGTTGAAGAACGATAGCAACACTAGCCTTTACTTCGCTAAGAATGTCAACACAGCTCGTGAAAAGATCGCAGCACGCGAGCAGAACGGTTTTCTGGACAGCTGAACATCGAGGCCAACACCGTTGTTGATCTTGAAGACTTGGCAAAGGGGACGACGGAGTTCCAGATTGCATTTTACCCGTTGCTGCAGCTACAGCAGAACGTACGTGCTTGTGCGCTGGGAGATCGCTTTTGGGCCGAGGTGGCTCAGCGTCGTCATGAAGTTGAAGTGATCGTGCACTATATGCGACTTCATAGCGGTAAACTGCCCTCCGTTTCCATCGTGAACCGCATCATAGCGTACTTCATGCCGTTTTCGCATGCTAATGCTCAGTTGGTAGTACACAAGTTAGCGGTCCTCAAATATGCTGAAGAGGGAAGAATTTGGCAAGAGCAGTCCAAGGCGCGAGCAGAAGTCGAGGTGCTGGCGTTGAAAGACATCCAAGAAGAGGATCAAGATTCTTCTAAGCCGTAGATTCACCGTTACCGGCGCAGAATTTGTGTGGGGGGTCAAACTTTGGCACGTACGTCATCAAGGTACTGTTGTCTTGCAAGCGCTCGAGCCCGTGTCATGACGGTATTTCCTCTGAGCAGGATGCTCAATAGCCAATTCTTGAAACCCATTGGGGGTAATGCTCCGCGGTGAAGGCGAAGATGAGCTACGAGCGGTGGTACGAGAAGCTGTTCGCGAACCTTCTTCCCCCAGTACTTTTTGCCTAGTGTTCGTGTGCGGACGTTCTGCTGGATTTGTACAAGTGGAAAGAAAGCGACGGGTTGCGATGCACAAGCTCTAAGAATTCGTCAAAGGTGAGGCACTAGGGCATGCTTAGTGATGCTGCGTTGGCAGTGAAATTGCGAGCGGCAACTTCGATGTTGTGCGCGTATGATCCTCCAGCAGCCTGTACAATTTCGTTGAGGCGGCGCGCACTCACAGCGTCAATCCCTTCAGCGAAAAAGGCGTCGTAGTAGAATCGCCACAACCGGATCTCCGAAAACGAAGCAAACGTGCAGACAATGCACAGGAATTGATCGAAAGTAATCCTCGTTTCCGAAGGCTTGACATTTCCAAGGCGTAGAAGCTCGTTGGTCAGCAGATGAGCTCTCTCGTAAGCTTTGTCGTCGTTGATAAGGTGGAAAAAGCCTCGTATCGTCACCGAATCGCTGTTGGTTCCATCTTCTTCGTCAAACTTTTGCCGTAGACTTCGGACATCGTTGCGGGTCATTCCCAAACGTTTACACACGTCTTCTGCTTCGATGGTTTCAAGCAAACGACTGTAAAGCACAGAGACCCGGGATTCCTTTCGTGCAGGTGCGGATTCTGGTGGGGCTGTTGGTAGGCCAATGGTTTTCGCGGACCCGACAACTATCTTCGTGGAGTTAAGTGGTTATCGCTGCTGATCGTTGCCCTTTTGCAAAAACTTCGTGCTCATGTCTCTGAACTTGGATTTAGGACACTTGGCGATATCTCGAAGAGGAGAACGGCGAAGTGCACTAGAGCAAATATAGGACGTGACACGCACGACCAGCGAGGTATTTTGGCTTCATCTTCTCAGGTCTTCGTCTGCAAAGCTGCAATTCCTCCTCCGGCGGCAATGTGAATTTAGATCCGTCGGTCGAAGGCGCCTATTTGCATCAGCATTCATGGCAGCCCCAGTTCCGCAAGGGCCGAACAGAGAAAATGGAGTAGCCTCGCCCGGTGATGTGAAAAAGAAGACAGCAAAGAGCACATCAAAAGGTGCTAAACCACGGAAGAAGCGAACAACTTCATCGAAAGCCGCTCAGGAGAATGCCGGCGTAGGCGGGGCCGACTACGGTGTGGAGATTGGAGCAGAACTGCAATCCAAGACACCACCGCGAAAAATTGAGGTCAAACAGCGGTCAACCGATGGCACTTCCACTGTAGCTGTAGATAATACAGCCTCCGAGGCAGCCTCCACCCCAGTAATCAACGACGCGGGGGGATTGGCGGGTGGGCACTACGGGGTTCTGCTGGAAACGAAACGGGTTGAGCAGCTCTGTATCTCTTTGGCGCTTCAAAAGCGTCACGTGGTAGCTTTGCATCGCGCATTTAAGCAGGAAGAGCAGCTTGGAACTGGAGAAATCACAACCGGGGAGTTCTTCACAATGTTACACGAGCAGCCACGGCAGCTCACGAAGGGGCTATTCAAGGAAGTGGGTCTTGCTCGTGATATCAAGAGGTTACACTTCGATGATTTCGTTCTGTGCGTGGTGACCGTCGCGACTTGGTCCAAAAGCGAGTTGCTCCATTACGCGTTCAAACAATTTGACGTGGATGATTCTGGGGTGATGGATAGTCGTGAGCTTCGTGCATTTTGCGAAGGCCTCAAGAACGATAGCAGCTTTTACTTCGCCAAGAATGTCAATATAGCTCGCGAAAAAATTGCTGCACGTGACCGGAAACACCAAAATCAGGAGTCAACGCGACAGCTACACAAGAGTCTTTTGGGGCAGATCCAGATGGATAACAGCGCTGAGGAAAATACCATCGTTGATCTTGAGGACTTGGTGAAAGGATCTACCGAATTCCAAGTAGCATTTTATCCGCTGATGCAATTGCAGCAAAATGTACGTGCTTGTGCACTCGGCGAACATTTCTGGGCAAGAGTCACAGTACGTCGTCAGCAGGTTGAAGTGATCGTCAAGTACATGGGGCATCGCGGTGGAAAATTACCTTCAATCTCGTTTTTGACCCGCATCGTGGCATACATGTTACCGTTTTCACAAGCACACGCGAAAGTGTTGGTTCATAAGTTGGCAGTCCTCAAGTACGCGGAAGAGCGACGAAAAAGACAGGAAGAAGCCAATGCTCGAGCAGAGGCGAAGGCCCAGCGATTGGCACAAGAGAGTAAGGCATATCCAGAACCCTTGCAACCATAATTAATCGAGGCTACGGTACGGCTGGCAAGATCTCCACAACTGAAAGAGATCACGTGTAATTGAGCTTACCAGACAAAGAGGAACAGCCCCAGCAACAATGTAAGCACGAACGTGGCAAACACTTTCAAAAAGAAGGTGCGAGATGCTGCAGTGCAGTGAGGCGAAAGTTTCACATCTGCCAGCAACACTCCACTATCAATACGCAGCGACGTCTTGGCACTGACGCCATCCTTCAGCTCTTGAAGTTGTTGCTTTCTGAAGGCCAAAAGCTTCTTCTGCACCATTTCCAAAGCTGGTAGAGCCATGTTGCGTCCTGATGCCAACTCGAAAATGTCACGGAACTCAGTTTCAAAGTTCGTCTGTAACGGTGGTGTTGCTCCTAAGTCTGACTGCAAGCCGCGATATCGTTAGTTCTTCACTTACCACGACAAGAACGACAACACAACAGGGCTAGACGTAAGCTTACCGTCACAACAGCAGTCTCTTTGCTTGAAGGAGCACCCAAACCGAGGTCGAAGACTCGGTGCACAAAACCGTTAAAGATCCAATCGGGCAAAGGAAGAAGTACCATAAGCGATCGCACAGGAAATAGTGTGGCAGCACTAGTGTCCGGCTTTGAGTCTCCACCCGCGCGACCAGACTTAGTGCTTGCGGCAGCAACACTTTGCACCACCACACTAAACAGTTCATCCATCTCCATCAGCGCTTGCAGAAAGAGGAAACGCGTCTGCCTATCACGCATTCCGTCAAGAACGCTCTTTCCTGTCAGTGCATTGATGTAGTAGAAGCTGCGCAACATCGTGCAGCCCCACTTCAGCGCTACAAACCACATTGATCAGCCATAATATCCGCGTAAATCAGTCATACTTTAAATCCATTCATACCTTGAATATTGTGTCGGCTGAGCACCTGGATGCCCGTTCCTTCCAACACATCCAGCGCATAAAGAGCCGAGGTTTTCTCCTTGCTATACAACACACAAATCACAAGTACTCAGCCTGTGCACACACTCCACTAAGGCCAAGCATAATGTACCTTAGTCTCTCCACGAAGAAGCACCCATTGGACAACGGACGCAGCACCCCCTTCTCGTCCTGCACGACCTGGAACGCCGCTCCTCCGTGCAGCACAATGGCGTCCGGCAGTCTACACACACAGCACAGTTTGTCATCATTCATTCCATCCACCACAAAATGATTTAAACCCGCCATAACGTACGCCGAGTTGAGCTGCGCAAGACGCCTCATCGTCGTCTGCAGACTCAGCACCACGCGCTTGGGCTGCTTGTCCTGCTGCTTGCCGCCCAGCTTCTTGTGCAGCAGTTCGGCGACCCGCAGCGTCGCGTCCGCCTCCACCACGAACAGCCACAGGTCGCACTCGTCCAGCTTCTTCCAGTCGCGCGTCTCCTCGAACATCCCCGTCCCCATCTTGCCGCCGTCCAGCAGCGCGCCGTCGCAGCGCAACGCCACTGCATCCGACCTCTCCTCTCCGCTCTTGCTGCCGCCCTTGCCGTCATTTTCCACCCCCACGAGCCACGTCTTGGCGCAGCGACCGCTCGCAGCTACGCACAGCGCCACGTACCGCGCCAGCTGCGCCTCCTCCCTCGACAGCGCGCTGCGCGCCGTGTACACGATGCCCACCGTCGGCCGCATCTTCACGAGTGCGCACTCGGTCACAAGAGACCATCACTCCTTGATTTAGTGACGTTTGATTGGCTGATATTCTCCACTTCAATCGTTGGAGTTTCAGCCAACCGCAGCCCGCCACTTTGCCGCCGCGTCGTTCCCCCCTCATAATACCGTCTGAGCACCGCGTGGAAGCCGCCGTAGGATCCTGGAGTGGAAGAGCAGAGCCTCGTGACCATGGCGGGCGTGACGAACGAGCGCTACTGCACGGTGCTGCTGCAGCAGGTGACGGGGGAGAAGGCGCTGCCCCCGTCGCAGGACGAGATCCTCAAGGGCCTCGAGTCGCCCAAGGTGGAGCTCAAGATCCGCGCCGTCAAGAGCGCCATCCTCGCGCTGCTGCAGGGCGAGAAGCTGCCCAAGGTGCTGATGCACATCATCCGCTTCTGCTCCACGCAGAGCGACCACACGCTCAAGAAGCTGCTCATGGTCTACTGGGAGATCGCGCCCAAGTACGAGCAGCAGCCCACGAGCGAGGCCGGCGCGCCCAAGGCTCCGCCCAAGCTGCTGCCCGAGATGATCCTGGTCTGCAACGCGCTGCTGAACGACCTGAACCACCCGAACGAGTACATCCGCGGCTGCATGCTGCGCTTCCTGTGCAAGATCAAGGAGAAGGACATCCTGGAGCCGCTCAAGGACGCCGTCAAGAGCAACCTGGAGCACCGCCACTCGTACGTGCGCAAGAACGCCGTCATGACCGTCTACACCATGTACAAGACCTTCGGAGACGTGCTCATCCCGGACGCGCCCGAGCTCATCGAGCGCTTCATCCTCAACGAGAGCGACGCCGGCGCCAGACGCAACGCCTTCCTCATGCTCAATGACTGCGCTCAGGACAGGGCCGTCACGTTCCTGATGAACGCCATGGACCAGGTGCCCAAGTTCGGAGACGGCTTCTCGCTCGTGATCCTCGAGATGACACGCAAGGTCTGTCGCCAGGACCCGGCGCAGAAGGCGCGCTTCGTGCGCTGCGTGTTCCAGCTGCTGAACTCGTCGTCCCCTGCCGTCAGCTATGAGGCCGCGTGGACGCTCGTGACGCTGTCGGCAGCCCCCACGGCTATGCGCGCGGCGGCTAAGACGTACTGCGGTCTGCTCAACTCGCAGAGCGACAACAACGTCAAGCTCATTGTGCTGGACCGTCTCGCGGACCTCAAGAAGCACCACACTAAGGTGCTGCAGGAGATCCTGATGGACATCATGCGCGCGCTCAGCTCGCCCAATTTGGACATTTGCAAGAAGGTGCTGGAGATCGCCATGGACCTAGTGTCGGTGCGCAACATTGACGAGGTGGTGACTCACCTGAAGCGTGAAGTGGTCAAGACGCAGGACAAGACCCGTGAGAAGGCTGGAGAGTACCGTCGCCTGCTCATTAAGGCTATTCACGCTTGCGCCGTCAAGTTCCCGGAGGTTGCCAACGCTGTGGTACACCTGCTGATGGAGTTCCTCAACCAGCCGGACGGAGCTATGGATGTCGTGCTCTTCGTGCGCGCGATGTGCGAGAGCTACCCGGAGCTGCGTGAGAGCATCTTGCAGAAGCTGATGATCTCGTTCACTGACATCTCCTTGGCTAAGGTTTACCGTGTCGGCCTTTGGATTCTGGGTGAATACGCTACTCTTCCGCCTCAGGACGGTACTGAGAGCGACACATCTATCTTCGAGGCGGCTAGCACCATTTTCACTGCCATCGGAAGCTTGCCGCTAGCCACTGAGGCGATGCTCAAGGCACCCACGGAGAGCCCTGAAGGTGCAGAGGACCCCGCTGCTGCAGGCGCTGCTTACTCCAAGCCTGTAACCAAGAGCGTTGTGCTGGCGGACGGCACGTACGCTACAGAGACGTCGTATTCTGCCCCTGCTGCGAAGGCTGGTGCTGAAGAGGAGAACGTGCCGGGTTTGCGACGCCTGCTGCTGAATGGCGACTTCTTCCTCGGTGCTGCTGTCGCTTCGACACTGACCAAGTTGTGTCTCCGTGTTTCGAATGGTGACGTCGCCAGTGCTACAGCTCGCAACGCAGCCATCAAGAAGCTGGTTGTGGATTCTACACGGTGCATGTGCGCTATTGTTGCTTACGGACAGTCCAAGGCGAGCAAGCACGAGATCGATCAAGACTCGGCTCGCCGCATTCTTATGGGCGTGCGTGTCTTGCTTGACCCGGCCAGCGCGCAGGCCACGCACACGATCATCACAGAAGAGTGCCGCTCTGCGTACCGTCACCTCCTGGACACCCAGAAGGCGCAAGAGGCTGAGGCTGCCCGCGCTGCCGCTGGCGGTGCTGGTGGCGAGCCAGTGACACAGGCGGACGACCTTATTAACTTCAGACAACTTCGCGGCAAGAAGGCTTTGGGTTCGACGGATATCGACATCGACGATGGTGCCGACATCAACCGTGCCCTTGGCCAACAGGGCGATGGTTCTGACAACGAATACGCTGGTGCGATGCGCCACGTGCACCAGCTGACTGGTTTCGCCGACCCAGTGTACGCCGAGGCCTACGTCACAGTTCACGACTATGATATTGTGCTGGAGATTTTGGTGGTCAACCGCATTCCTCAGACTCTCACTAACCTGACGGTGGACCTCTCGACGATTGGAGACCTCAAGCTTGTGGAGCGCCCTCAGCCGCAAACCATTGGGCCCCTTGACCAGCGCACGATTCGCGCCAACATCAAGGTCAGCTCCACCGAAACGGGCCACATCTTCGGTACCATTGTGTACGATTCGGCATCAGGAGCGGAGAAGACGTACGTGAACCTGAACGACATTCACCTGGACATCATGGACTACATCAAGCCCGCCACATGCACAGACGCAGCCTTCCGTGCTATGTGGGCCGAGTTCGAGTGGGAGAACAAGGTGGCTGTGCACACAGAACTCTCGAACGTGTTTGAGTTCCTGCAGCACGTGGTAGACAAGACGAACATGCGCTGCATGACGCCTACGGCTTCGCTGGGCGGAGACACGAACTTCCTCGCTGCTAACCTGTACGCCAAGAGTGTCTTCGGTGAGGACGCGCTGGTCAACCTCAGCGTCGAGAAGCAGGACAGCGGGCGTATCGCTGGCTACATCCGTATCCGCAGTAAGACTCAGGGTATTGCGCTCAGCTTAGGCGACCGCATCACAGCTGTGCAGCGCGGTAAGGACGACCAAGGCAAGCGGAAGAAACTCCTGGCGTAGACGCTGCACTCGAAGTAAGAATTGCATGGCGTCGAAGAAAGGTGGAGAGAAGCAGGCATCGCAGGGTTGGAGTGTGAGGCAGGTGAGAGAGTAGTTGCGGTTGTTTGAAACAACTACTCTCTCACCTTGTTTCAGTTGCAATGGACGAGAGAGATCTAGCACAGGTAACAACGCTAAAACGTTTTCGTAAAGTGCTGTGTAGCACGATTCCACCTAACGAGCGTTATGCCGCAGGTGATGCACGTTGATATTGATAGATAAGGCAGTTTACATAGCTGCGGGATCAGATGCCGATGCCCAGACGTAGCCGCAAATTCGGGTGCTGCCTCTGGGCCTCCTCCAGCGCGAGGCGGTTGGCGGTGGCCTCAGCGTCCTTGCCGCTGTCGATGCTCGCGGACCCGTAGGTCACTGTGCCGTATCCGTTGCGGCCTGGCTTCACCGTCGTCGAACTCTCATTGCCTGCTGCCTGGACGTGTCCAGCTTCGGAGTCTTGGGTCGTGCTGCTCAGAGCTGCCGCTGCTGCTTGGGGCGTTGCACTGCTGCAGTCAAGCGTGGCGATTGCCAGTATCGCCGCGGCACACCACCGTCGAGTCCGCATTGCAGACGACTTCCTCGCTCTCTCTCCTCCTCTGCTGCCACTGCGGTTGTGCTGCAGCGCGAACGAAAATGAGCTTGAGCGTGTGTTCCACCGCCCACTTGGGTGGAAAAGCAGGAATGACCAGCAGGAGCCGGGAGGGCAAGATGCGATGGGAGCCGGCCCACCACCATGTCGGCCTATGGAGACATGCAGAGACGGAGATAAGACGGGCGGGGCCATTTGCTTGCCTCAAGTGGACCCTCCAGCAATTGCCGATGTTTGCCGCGGCGCCGCGACTTAAGCCTTTACATGCAGAGGCTCGACTGAAAATGCAACCCTCGAGCCTCATAATCCTGCTCAACAGCAAAACTCTCTTCACACAGATCACTGTTCCTAACCATCAATTACTTCACCTTAACAATACCATGAACCTACCAAACCGCATGATTATCAGGAGGTCACAACACCGGACCAGCTGCACTGTTGCCCTAGAAGACGCCCTTGTGCTTCCTCTGGTCTTGCTCGATGCTCTCGAACTTGGCAGCTCGCGTGATGAACAGCACCATCTCGATGACCATCATGACGATGGCACCACCGAGGCCAGCGACCATTCTCTACAACCAGCGAACGCCACACCTCGTCAGCAAAAATCAACATCACAAGGAGACCACCACGCTGTTGAACAGCCCGCCTCACCGTCGTCTCGTTCTCCGTGAGGTTCCTCGCCACAAAGTACACGGCGATGAACGCCGTGACCCTGGCCATCACCATGTTGGCGCCAACGGACAGGTGCTGCCGCACGCTCGTCTGGTGGCTGGCCAGCTCCCGGGCCGCCGTCTGCGTCTTGACGTTGCGCACCATGCTGCCGTAGCGCATCTCCTCGTCCAGGCGCAGCAGCTTCTCGCGGCGTCTGGCGAGGTACTTGGCCCTCTTCTCCTTGCTCTCCTCGTCCTGCTCGTCGTCCTGCTGCTCTGTGGACACTGCGCGTGCCTGAACGCCGCTGCATTGGCGCAGTAGCGACGCCAGACTGGGCGTCGACGGGTCCGAGGCGCGCAATTCCCTCAAAAGGTCCGCTATGAGGCGGAACTCGGCCATCGTCAGCGCGTTCTTTGCCTCGCCCTGCAGAAGCTGCTTCACGTCTGCTCGGTTGAGCTGCTTAGAGTCCAGACGCGGCGCCAGGAGCTTGCGCAGCGCGCCGACGCCCTCGCCACGGAGCTGCACGTCGAGCGGCATTTGAAGTCGGTTCGTAGCTGAAAAGATCTATCCGTTAATAATAGATAAAAACTGAAAAGATTTACATGTATCCGTTAATGAGAGATAGCAACACACCTCTACTAACGAATAACAGCTGTTTGATCCCTTCGAAGCGGAATCGGCCATTATGGCTCACAGTCTCAGATGGTGCCGCGTCAGCATCAACCGCGCCCTGGCGACGGACGCGCCACCGCATATTGCAGTCCCCGCCAAGCGCTGAGAGCTGCCATCAAGCGTGCGTATACATTGGCGTTTCTTCTGTCTTTCGCACTGCTTTTCGTCACCGCCCGCGCCGTACAAGCCGAGAACGGCGCCAACCGCGACGGCGAGTCCAAGGCCCCCGCGCTCTCGCACTTCAATGGGCTGCACACGCTGTCGGGCGCCAGCTACCGCGCCTTCAAGAACCGCCTGAAGCGGCAGATGCGCGGCGAGTCCTGTCTGCGCTATCACGTGACTGGGGCCTGGTGGCACTACGAGTGGTGCTTCGACAGACACGTGCGGCAGTTCCACCCGCAGCCCGCCGGGCCCAGGGGCCAGCAGCCCAAGGAACAGAGCATACTACTGGGTGCATACAATGCGGAGAAGCCGCAGCCGCTGCGGGTCTTGGCGGTGGACAACCTGGCCAGACTCGCGGACCCGGACCGCATGGGCTACAAGGCCCAGCAAGTCTACGGCTCGGGCGACTACTGTGAAGAGAAGAGAGCCAAGCGGACGGTGAAGCTGCAGGTCAAGTGCTGCGCCTTCCACGACAATGAGACGTACGTGGACTCGGTGGAGGAGCGGGCTCCGTGTGAGTACGAGATGAACGTGTGCTCCCCCGTGGCGTGCGGACTGATGCAGCGCGACCAGTTTGTGCTGACGGCGCCGACGCACATGGAGGAGGAGGAACGCCAAGCGCTGACCAAGACTGTTAGAGACATGTTCTACCACGCCTATAACGGCTACTTGACGCACGCGTTCCCACAGGACGACTTGCTGCCGCTTTCGTGTCGGGGAGGCGAGTTTGAGCTCGGCCGACTGCCTATGCTCACGCTGGTTGACACGCTGGACACGTTGGCTGTGCTGGAGGACGCGACGGAGTTCCGACGAGCGGTGGCGCTTGTGGTGGAGAACGCCGACTTTGCCTTGGACACGGAAGTGTCTGTCTTTGAGACGACGATCCGGTTGCTGGGGGGCCTGCTGTCGGCACACCTCTTCGCGGTGAACACTGACTTGAAGCTGTACCCGGAAGGTGGCTATGATGGGTCCCTGTTGCAGCTTGCTGTTGATCTCGGTGACCGCCTGATGCCTGCGTTTGATACTGTCACGGGGATTCCGTACGGCACGGTGAACCTGAAACACGGCGTGCCGAAGGGAGAAACGCCTATTGCCTCGACTGCTGGTGCTGGGTCGCTATCAATTGAATTTACGATGCTGAGTGTTCTGACGGGAGATCCCAAGTACGCTGCGGCGTCGCGTGGTGCTGTGCGTGCGCTTTTCCAGCGTCGCTCGAAGCTCGGGCTGCTCGGAAAGCACATCAACACGAAGACTGGCGACTGGACTGAGACTTCCTCAGGTCCGGGGTCTAATTCGGACAGTTTCTACGAGTACTTGCTCAAGATGTACGAGCTTTACGGCGACCGCGAGTCGTTAGAGATGTTCGCGCAGGTCTATCCGGCTGTGCTGGCTCATAACAAGCACGGCGACTGGTACACCGACGTGTCGATGTATACTGGCTGTCATCATCACAGTGGGAGCTCAGCTGTCGTCTTCGAGAGTCTGGCGGCGTTTTGGCCTGGGATGCAAATCGCTGCAGGCGACCTGAAGACTGCAGCGGAATCCATGAACGCCTTTTACCGCGTGTGGCGTGACTATGGATTTCTGTCTGAGCAATTCAACGTGGGGGACTGGAAGCCAGTGAAATCCCGGGGTGGAGGTGGAGCTCGGTATCCGCTTCGTCCTGAGCTTATCGAATCGACGTTTTACATGCACGAAGCAACCAACGACTCGTCATGGCTCCGTGCCGGTGCGCATGTGGTTCATTCTCTGCAGAAGTACGCCAAGACCCCGTGCGGTTACGCGAGTATCGCTGACGTTGAGTCCAAGAAGCAGGAGGACTACATGCCGTCGTTCTTTCTCTCGGAGACGTGCAAGTACCTGTACTTGCTCTTCAACACGACCCATTTCTTCCGCCAGGGCAACTACGTGATGACCACCGAGGCCCACCCACTGCCGATCCTTCCGACGAAGGTCGTTGAGCCCATTTTGCAGGAGGCTGATGCCCATGTAACCAAGAGTGAGGTGGCCTACGAAAACCGATACTCCCCCGAACGCGTGATGCGATGCAAAGCCCCAAAGTTCTTCGATTTGATCAACTATTCGGTTCATTACGAAGGCAAAGTCGTGGCGCGAACCTCTCGGTGCTCCCCTCCGGCACCGTCGCCTGCTGCACTAATCAAGGCCTCCAAATCTGCGGCTGAAAAGATTGCTCAGAGTGCCTCTGAAAGAGCAAAACCAACTACTACTACTACTACTACGACGACGACGACGACGACGAAGACTGACAATAAACCTGTTGATACGGAGAGTGTAGCATCTGACGTGCTGCAGGAGTGGTTGCCGGCGCTCGAGGAGAAACTCCGAAAGATTGGCGGTAAGAGTGTTAACGATGAGTGGCTCGAGCAGCTACTGGAAGAGACTTCTCTTGGCACGACGCATCAACGGCGCCAACCTGCGAAGCAACAGGATGCGCAAGGTCACGTGGTGCAGTACTTGTACGGTGGCAGCCAACTTGGAGAATTCCGCGTCGAGCAGCTTCCTGGCCGCTTGCGCGTCACTCGAGAAGAAACCGGCGATTGGATCGAGGCGTCGGGTATCGTTGATGCAAGTCACATGATTGTTGGCCTTGGTTTCAACGATGGCAGCAACGACGACGACGCTGGCGCCGATTCGTACACGTTCGAGGAACCAACAAGCAAGAAGGTCGACCCCAGTGATGACTACCACCCGCCGTTCATGGCGTGGAACCACGTGTACAAGGTCAACGAAGACCTGTCGCTACCGGTGGATCAACGCTGCTCCTTGCGTGTGCAGCTGGGCTACAAGCCTCATCCCGGAGAACCGCAGTACAACGCAAAGGGGCACCCACACGTCGATGGAGGCGGCAAGGGAAAGCCCACCGTTTCGTTGACTGTGCCGTGTGTCGGTGCTGGCTTTGGTGTGACGAACACGTTCAAGGCGTCTCGCGCTTTCCCCAACATGGAGCTGGTCATCGCCGATCCCGTTGATGCGTGCAGCGAGGTGTCGGACCTACCTGAGGAAAGTCTGCGTGGGAAGATTGTGCTGGCCCAACGAGGCGAGTGCTTCTTCGAAACTAAAGCGCGCAATGCTGCGAAATGGGGAGCTGCTGGTGTTATCATCGCAAACACTGAAGACGACGACCTTGTGATGGTCATGGGCGGTGCCGATGAAAACAGTGCGGAGGCCACCGATGAGCCGCTTGACATTCCTGTGGTGATGGTGCCTGAGCGTCTGGGCGAGTGGTTTGTGACTCGATTTGCCGAAGCGGAGGCGTCTTCGCTGGCCCCAGTAAAAGTCAGCATTGAACTCACAGTGCGACACCATGCACATGGTGTCGACCATACCCGACGACGGCCGAGAGGGATTTCTGAGGCATCGTTTCCCCGTATTGAGGGCACAGCGGACAACATCAAGGTGTATGGCCCAGTGTGGGGGATGGAGCTGATCACGATGGGCTCAGACAGAGAAAAGGACCAAGAAGACGACGACGAGAATCGTCAAGAGAGCTTCAGCATCGCCATCGTCGGCACCCCGCCATGGCAGCATTAGAACGTGTGAAAGGCAACTCCATAGACTAGAGCAGTGACTTATTCACGAAAAAAAAACTGTTTTGTTTTGCGTCAATCAAACGTGGATGGATGGAATATTACGTATGCGCGAGCCATCACTCGAGTCTCAGTTGGAGCTCAGTCGCGCATTTTCTTCCGACTATCCTGGTGCCATGAAGCCGTCATCCTGCGCCAATGCTCGCACACAACTGGCGGCAAGCATGGCGACGAGGGGGCTGACCTGTGCAATTCGTGGAACTGAATTCATCATCGTCGTGATAATTCGCGAAGTCGCGACCATAGCACAACTCAAGCGTTGCATCTTCAAGCAAGCCCCTCATTTCTTTGCGGACTCTGATGCCGCCGAACTACAGCTTCGTCACACAGCGACATCGTCTGGGGCTTCTGGCAGAAAGTGCCGAGTACGAGCTGGTCAAGGAAGGCCGAATCCCCGACCAGTTCCAAGCCAACCTCATGAAGCCACTGCATTCACTTGTGAAAGTGGAGAAAACGCTCAAATCTCTGACCTTCCCGACGAATAATTTGGCTTCCGGAAGCCATCCGATCCATGTCCTTGTGTCGGCTTCATCGAGGAGCAAAGGTAGTGTGTATTTTCGAGGACTTCCTGTTGCTTGGGAATTTAACACACTGCTGTCCGTATGTGTCTGTAGACGCGAAACCGAATGAGAGATTCGATGGTATGGATTTCGCTCGAGCAGCAACCGTTAAGCTACTTATCGAGGCACTGACGCTTTGGCGTAACTTTTGGTCAGACTTCGAGGAGAAGATCCCCACGCCGCTTTTGAGAGAATGTTCTCTTGGCAGCGGTGATGACAAGAGTGGCGATGGCCCTCCTCCACCTCCTTCGCAAGGTATGTCTGCGCGCAGACTTAAATTGTTAACTTGACTAAAGATTGGTTTGCCGCAGTTACTGATCAGCGATCGATCCTGCACCTCCTATGAGAACAGCTCCTGCTGGGGCTCCTACACCTATCTCTGGTACGGTTTTGTGCCTCACATTGTTATTTGATGGTTTCCAGCCTTTAAGTGTGCTGTTTACTACGTGAAGTACTCGCCGAGCCGCACAGTTCGTCATTTACGCAAACGATGTTGGTAAGTATCCACACTTACGCGTTGTTGATCCGTGATGGATGCAGGTCCAGCAATCATGTCGAAGAGGGCGTTGCACATCACTATTGTCCCGGCCAAAAAGGCTTGGACGGAGAATTGATTTTTGATTTGATGGTTTTTGACCGAAACTTCGTGATGCTGTGGCCGCCCTCGATGGAAAGATACGCGTCTATTCCTTTATAGCACTAGGTTCACGCCGATTGGTATATTCAAAATTGGTTCGGTAATTTATTATTGCCACGATAGAGTCCGTCCAAGGTTCATGCTTCAAATTTGAAACCTTCATAATTTCTGTTTGACTGTGTTTGAAACGCTCAAACTCAGGAGCATCTTGACGAAGCTCTGGCCTTTGTGTAGAGGGCGGCTATAGCCGAAACGAGGTTCTGGGAGCTAAGATAGAGCTACTGGTGTGGTGGAACCAGTGCTCCAGACCCAGTTGCTGTTACATATCGATATTAACGTTTAGCTAGTCGCAGTGATATATATCGAATTTTACAGTATTGGGAACTTGTGTCATGGATAAAGAGGATTTGACCTTGCACTGCATATATGTTGTGCGAGGTTTCTAATACCAGCTGTCAAATTATAACATGTAGGATAAATGACGAGATGGTGGTATTTTATCGTGATTATGAGCTTATCCCCAGCTGCTATCCTGATTTGGCCAATTGGGTAGCTGTAATACAACTACGTGGCAGGCTTTTAATTGCAAACAAAATTGCAAGAAATAGAAGTATTTTCCAACAGTCGAAATGAACGGGAAAGAGTTCAGATACGCTAAAATAGACCGCAAAATCGGAATCTACGCCCGATTCTACCCCTTATATCTACGGTAACTATCGTTATAGGTTTTATGCATGGAAGTAGCCCTAATTATTACTCAAAGTCCAAGGTTCGGTGTCCGGGACAATATTGCCGGAAAAGGGGGAGGTATAGTCGTGCTGTTCGAGGACGGCGGATATCTTGGGCTACTAGTTGAGATAGTCCAGGGAAAGAACCCCCGAGCACTTGGAAAATACGACTTGGCGGATCTCCAGGTCTTTCACGCGGCAACCACGTCTGGCTGGCTCAAGATCGGTAGCGATGAACATAAGGCGGTGATGCAAGGCAATATCCCTGAGCGGTTCCAGACCAACCGCATGAGCCCATATTGGCGAGTCGATTTGCCTTTGCAAGTCGACAAAGGACACGATCCGATTTTTTCCCCGCGCTATAGCAAGACTGGGCCTCGTCCTGGGCCTGATGAGATCCATATCATTGTATCGGCTCCATCGAAACGTAAAGGTATGTGAAGCGGGCCCACTTGTCTTGCCCGAGCCGCTGGGCAGGTCGTATGCCCACGCTGCGAGTTCGCACGTGAATCTTGTAGCTTCAACACCGTGTTGGCCGTCAGAGATCCACCTGATCTCCCCCTGCCGGAACGTCCACCGTCGTGTCCGCTCCAATTTTATATTACGAGGAATAGCCTAAACCACTCCTACGAATAGACACTAGCTCTCACTAGCACCTACTCCTCGTTCTCGTTCTCGTCAACCCCGCCTGTCCGTACGAACCGCACGTCCGACCGTCCACAGATCCCGCGCCCGACTCGTCCGAGGAGCAGTTGGCCTCGTTACCCGCTGCTCGCTCTCCGTCTGGGACCGCCTGCGACCCGTCCGTCCACGCTGTTCGCCGTCCCAGATGTAGCCTGCAGGACGTTCGTGTCCTGCCGCCGTTCAGCTCTCCACGTGCTCACGCACGCTCAGCTCGTAGTTCGCGTGCTCTCCAGCACGCAACGCCAAAGTCCTTCGGTCGTCTGTGTCCCCGCCGTCCGAATCTAGAGTGTGGCCGCGTGTGCCAAACTCGTCAAATTCCGAAGTCCCGGCCTCTCTCAGCCGCTCGTTGCTCAACGTTGACTCGACATCGGGGCTGGATTCAGCCCGTGGGTGCTGCCGGTCGTGCCACTTCGACCACTCGCACAGCGTCCTCCGTCGCCGTCACGAGGTACTGGACCTCCACCGTGCTGTCGATCGCCGCCATGTGCTCGTTCGAGCTGTGCGTCACCGTCGCGCCGTTGTCCTCCGCCGCCGTCTTGCTCACGTGGGTCCACCGTTCGGGCCCTCCATATGGATACGTTTCAGGTTCCCGACATTGTTGTTTATTCTTCTTAACTTATTGGCGTGTTGGTCAGGTGCAAATGCAGACTTGGGGTTCGAAGGTACTGTTTTCATCAGAGGTTGCTCGATCGCGATTTTATGATGCACTGATGCTCCGCAATCTGTTACTTAGAATGCAAGAAGTCACAAGTTTCGAGAAAAACTCCCCCTGCCCGATTTCCGTCTCAAGGTACGTTTTTGTCTTACTAAATGACATACTCTGAAGCCAAGAGGGTCTGCACTAATGCTTGCAAAATCATCCAGGAACCGAAAGAAAGAAAGGTAAATCAATTTCGGGCATGCCCCCGAAATTGAATCGATCCATCCTATGCTGTAACTGGGGCCGTAACTAACTTGATACTTCGATGCTAGATCAAGCCCGTCCTGTAAAGTTCTGGGAGAAGTTGCGTGCGAAGTTCCTCAAAGTACCTGCTCCTTCGTCCCACCGACGAGGCGCTCTCGTGGCAATTCGGCAGTTCTTTGGTGCACGGAAAAGGTTGCCCCCATTACAAGCCAAGCGCCAAGCCATGTGACCTCGACAAGAGTTGTGCGGTTTTGCACAATTTCTGAAGTTGCCACCAATACAAACCTGTTTGACGTGCTATCGTTCGAGAGATGCGAGTTGCATTACCTTTAGCTATAGTTTGTAGATGCCATACACTTGGAGTGGCTCTTGTGACGAGCGGGTACGCTGAACGAAAACTGGAAGCGATCTAGTTCCTCGCATCAAAGAGTGCGCAATTTTTTTACGTTACGAAATCCTTCTTGACGGCATATATTTGTCACGAGGGTTCCCCACTGGTACCTTGCTGTTGAGTTGCGAATATTGGGCAGATTTAGTTCCTGTGCCTTACTCACTGGTCACACCATCGAAAGTTTCGAAGAGCTGCCCAAGCCAGCTTCCGAGTCGTTGGGCTGCTTGAAAGTGCCGTAATGCACATCAATGTTTGTTCTAACTGGGGTATCGTCAATCTGTAGAATACACAGCAACACGAAACGTAGTCTTGATGAAGCCCAAACGTGCCGGCCAGTCGCACTTACTCGTTCATCGTTGCGGAGCTTTCAGCAAATTTCTTGATCGCATAAACGGCGAATCACACGGTAGTGTTTTGGTTAGTATCTTGCAGCAGCAGTGTGCGGCATCGCTGCTTGAAGCCGCTCTATTTGGTACGGCGACCTGGCGGCCGGTAGCATCAGCGAGAGATCATTCGGACCCATTACGTACGGCCATGGCTCGCCTGGCGCAGCATAGTACTGTCCCGCGAGTCTCCTGACAACGAACGAAGACCAGAAAAGCGGATCTTAAATATGCAAGCGCCTTATAATGGTCGAAACCCGCGAGCCTTGCTTTCGCGAAGATATCGATGTCAGCCGATTCGCAGTAGTATTCAAGAACTCTGCGAATCAGGTTCTTGAACTTGGTTTCTCCCTGGCACATCTACATCGTTAGTGTAAGTTAGCAGGCATCAAGCACAAGCGTAAGATCACACTCCAGACAAAAATGTAAACAGAAAGGGGATAATAACTAAATGAAAACCGGCCGGTAGCACAGGAGACGTGAAGAGAGCTTCAATAGCATTTGTCGCCGTAGATGAATCCGGAATAACACCTCCTGGACATCAACGCGTGATCTTCAATCTACAATTTAATCGAAAAACGGTGAAACCCTGCGATAGAGAACCAATCAAAACATTCTCGTTCCAGAATACTTACAATCCAATTAGGGCGATATGTGAATTCAGCATCCATAAATCTCCTGCCTCGGTGAGAGTGAGAAAAGTCACTTCTGTAGACGCGGTGGACTCGAACTTGTGGGCGGAAGTTCTCACTTTCATATCGGGAACTTCCCAAATTAATCGCTCTCACCAAAGTTGGTTCAATCTGGACCATTGGCGCTCCATTTTTGATGAACTGTGCGACACCATGGATGTCTTCACTTCGTTTAGGCACGCGCGGTTCTGGAGCGCCTTTGAGAGGGGCTAGCTCTTCGCGCAGCAGTAGACGTTCTACCACATGATCATGCGCGTGCTGTCGGCGCGCGACGAGGACATCCTGAGCACGGTGCTCAACTGGGTGTTCGTGGCTGTCATAAATTTCACGACGGGGCTGCTGGGAGCGCTCTTCTACTTCCTCTTCTCGCTCGTGAACATGGTGTACTCGTACCAGCCGGACCCGCTCAGTGCCACGGCGTTCGTGGTGCTGGGCTTCATCGGCCCCGCAAGCGTTGTCGCCTCGTATTTATTCGCATCTACGGCATGGTGACGAGTGGAGTCTACGTAGTGGGCAAGGTTGTGGTGCGTGACGCACTGGAGCAGGAGCGACGCCAGCAGCAACTGCGTGGTGAACGACAGGAATGGTAGACCGATAAAATGGCATTGTATTGTTTTTCCTTCTACCTCGCTAATGCTGAGTGCAGTAGTTGACCAAGCGAACCTGTTGAACCAGATCCAGTTTTCAGTATTGTTTGATGGAAACGATAAAAAATCTTCCTGCGTTCTGGGGGTGGTTCTCAATGTCTTATCCGATGTACATCTTGTACACGTTCAGAATTGAGGGGTCGACCGAATAATTCCTATCGAGTACGTAAAGGACGTTGTGAGCCGCTACTGCAATTGACCCGGTGTTGCTAGATGGACCGCCCGTAAGGTACGTCGTCACCTCTTTGGTGGAGAGTCTGAGCTTGCGGATGCAGCGATTTACCTCGTCTGCGACGTATAGATTACCACCGGAACCAACAGCAACGGCCACTGGGATATTAAATCTCGCGGAAGTTCCAATGCCATCGATAAACCCGGTGGTGGAAGATCCGGCCACCACTTGTGGCCCACCGCCCGACGTGAATTCAAACACTTGGTTGTCACTCGTGACGAAGATGTTGTCGGATGAATCAATCGCAATACCCCTGGGACAGATCAGACTCGTGCTAAAGGTGCTGCCCACGCCCTGCGGGGTAATCTTGGTTATCACGCTTCTAAAGTAATCCGCGACGTACACATTGCCACTAGAATCCACGGCAATACCCTGGCATTTATTCGCTGAGGACGAGCCAGTGTCGTACGTGAGATTGTAGAGCGTACTCACCGTACCACCCGTGATCTTGCGCACTCGATCATAGTCACAGATGAAGAGATCGCCGCTGCTGCTGAGCGCAATAGCACATACCGCATAAAACCTTGCATCTAGCAGCGCACCATCAGCGTAACCCCTGTCACGATGACTACCAGCGTACACGATCGGTCCACTGCCTTCGGTCATTCGGAGAATGGTAGCATCGGCACTAAAGTACATAACTCCGGTTGATGTCACAACAATCCCCGCCCGTTCAACGACGTACAAGCCAGATTCCGTGTATAGCGACGATACTTGCACAACCCCGCCGGCAGCGCCAGAACTACTGTCGAACGACACACCTGAGCTACTGCTCGAGCCATCACCAGCGGACGAGGTCGACGTATCTGAGCCAGTGCTAGCATCACCACCCGAGCCAGTGCTCGTGCTAGAGCCATCACCTCCTGACGGGGCCAGCACACCTGAGCTACTGCTCGTTCCACCACTCGCCGACGAGGATGACCCACCAGAGCCAGTATTCGTGCTTGCATCACTACTCGATGAAGACTTTAGACCCACAACGACGACCACCAAAACAGCTCCAATGACCACAAGGGCGAGCACCGCAGCTCCGATCCTTTTACACGATCTCGAAATTGATCGAGACCTCGATTTCGGTGACTTCACTGGTGTGTCATTGCCCAAATCCGGTCGCACTCGCGTTATACGCGCCTCCGCCACATTTAACGGCCGCTCACTTCCATTGCTATGGTGATCCGAGTTGGTTTCAAGTCTGCTGTGGGCAATCACCGCCTGGTTGGTTCGCGCGTCAACGCCTAATAAAGCCAATTCGTTGTTTGATCTGCCAAGACTGCTGCTGTTGACCTCCACGGGGCCTCGCACTGGCTGCTGACTCAACAACGATCTTAACGCCGCAATCACCTTTTCTATCGTTGGCCTTTGATCGGGCGTCGAGTCGCAGCATTGAGTGATCAGTTTCCAGGCGCCATCGCTGATCAATTGCACATCTCGGGATGGAAGTTCGCCGCATAGTTTGCACGTGCGGAGCTCTTCGTCGCTTGAAATATCTGCATACGGCGATCCACCCATAAGTGCGTGGTAGAGTGCCATGCCGAACGAGTAGACATCGGACTTGGTACTCGGCAGCATCCCTCTCACACACTCGGGCGCCAAGTAGCGCACGGCATCCGTGATTGCAATCCCCGCTGCGACTGCTGTGCCATTCACGAGACGCCGGTCCTTCATCGCACTCCAGTCGAAGCTGCGATCGAAGTCGCAGATTTTCACTTGAGTATTTCCCCACACGAGAATGTTGTCGCACTTCAAGTCTCCATGGACGATGCCGATGGAATGCATCTTCGAGACCGCTTGGGCAGCTTGCGAGAGTATTTCGAGGCTGAGTGTGGAGCGGTTGATCTCGTCTTGCCGGAGGAACTTATCGAGTGGCCCCTTGTCGCAATAGTCCATTATGACGAAGGGGGTGGTCGTGAAGTAGCAGGCGCCATAGAGTCGGCAGATGTTGTCATAGCGGCTCAGTCGCTCCCATAGCCTCATTGTACTGAAGAACTTACGTTTCGCTGCGTCGTCGGACTTCGTGACATTATCATTGAAGACCTTGACCGCCACTACGGTGCCGTCTTTCAGCACACCTCGATAGACTTTGGCATCTCAGCCAAATCCAATGAACATCGACATGTCGATCTCGACTTCGTCTTCCGTGACGTACCAGTCCGGGAGGTTGCTGATCTCATCTCGAACAGTGCGGCTTGAGCTCGCCCACAGCTTTTCCTTGATAACGCTGACCACGCCGTCCCTAGTGTCCAGGGTGTTCTGCATCGTCACGTCATTCCGACGACCCAGGCAAGAGAAAGTCGCCAGGATCTCCTTCTGGTTGTCGGGGTCGCCCATGGCCGTCATTGCTTCAGTAGAATCGACAAATTTCATATACCGCTTGTTTCGTTCCTCAATCGGGGCTGCAATTGGGACTGCGCTACGGAAGTTAACACTCCCATCAATGGAGCATTCGGTGGTGAGGCGCTCGACCAGTTTTTCCTTGGTTTTCTTCGCGTTCAAGCTCGCGTTGTCCACTTCCTGGTGGAACACCAGCTGCTTGAGGATGTTCTTCTTGGAGTATTTGTCCACGACGCGATCGTAGTTTCGGACCTCCGCCTCGAACTTCATGATCAGTTTCTGCAGTCCGGCGGTCAGTTTGTCTTGGTTCTTGACGCGCTGCAGCATATCGAGGGCCCAGCGGAAGTCCTCCACGTCTTCGATGATGTTAGTCTGCTGTGTCTTGAATGCAGACGCCTTCTCTTCCAACCCACTCAATACCTGGGCGACCTGTAACAGGACCTTGCCGAGCTCAAACGCGCTGTTGACAAGTGCGCCTGAGCCGGGGAGGACAATATTCGCGGCAATGACCGCAGTACTCTGCACTTTGTCCATCATGTTCGCGGGCTTTGCCAAGGCTGGAAGTTTTCACGGCGGCCTGAGTGTAAAGTTGGCCCGGCGGCGTCTCTGTTGCTGCTATACTTCAGCTTTGAATGAAACAAGGCGGCCCACCGATTGTTGACTGCGGGAATAAAGCTCTGTCTCCGTAGGTATTTTCGGCGGGGGCATCACAGTCGTTTGGAGGTCTCATCTTTGCTGCAGGTCTTGCCACCAGTACCATAGCTAAAGTTAGCTAGCTACAGGCGAGATGTGAGCGAATTTACGCAACATGAGACTGCTTGAGTTGCGTCGGCTTGCAACAAACACAGCGTTTCAAATGGATTGAAAACGCATTGGACGTGGTTTCTTTCTGCATGTAGTTGGGGATGAAGGCAAAAACTGTTCATCAAGAGCTTGCAGCAATCACCATTCTTGACTTGTACTTATAAGCAGTTTGTATCTAGGCTCAAGTTTGACGGTGCGCTACTAGAGGCAAGGTTTTATGCGATAGGTGGTATCGCCTTCAGCAGTAGCCGTGTTCTCTTGACAGAGTGCGCAAGGTCACGGGCGATCGAGTGCATACGTTTTACATATTCACGTACACTATACTCCCGTATAGATGCGGGCGTATCTGGCGTGGATTCAAGCGAAATGTGTACGTCACGGATTACCCTTGCAACATGATAACTAACATTACCCCGATGGGCGTGTTCAGCACCTTCAGCACGGCTATAGGCGGCCCCAGGAGCATTGCAATCGATTCGTCAGACAGCATTTATGTCAAGAGTGACAATCAAGTGTTTGAATTCACATCGAGCGGTGATGTGCAAGCGGTGACCGGGATCTTCTACAACCGGGTTTAGTGATGGTACTGGCACTTCCGCCAGATTTTATAACCCTGAGGCTATCTCTATTGGTTCCGATGGCGATCTATTCAACGCGGATGTGGATAACTACTGCATCCGCAAGCTTATTCACTGCACCAAAGAGGTCGCTACGTACGTTGCGACTGGCCCATTCAGTAGTATTATGTCACTTGCAGCAATATCACGACACCAATTTTTCAGTCAACCAAACGTATTCAAGATCTACATCGGATAATACACCAATTGAGAAATCGACCTTCTTAAGCATTTCCTGGCTTTGCCAATGTGAAACATTGCAACACAAGTCCGATGTCAAGCTCGAAGAATACTTAGTATGTACCACTTCGATCGTCTTAGGGAAAGCATATGCCAAGAGACTACATGAAAAGGGGTCGCTTTTGTATTTGTTTTAGTAGAGTGTCGTTCCCCTTTTTACCCAAGACGATTTGTGAGCGGCGATAGTCCATAACTCTTGACGTTATAGAAATCGATGCCGATTTGGGATCCAATGCATATTGATTCAACGCAGAATGAAGGCAATAGACTTTCGACAAGACATCTCCAAAAGCGGTACTACAAAAAAATCGCTGATAAGGTGCAGTGGGCTTTCATTATACGCAGAAAACGAGATTTCATAGCACAACCGGCGCATAACACGGAATTGGTTGGTCCTCCCACCTTTCGATACTTCGCCAACATGGTCTACATATTGGGGCGTCTCGATTCCGTATGCAATGATCAAGGGCGGAACCTCGTTCTGGTGGTGACTGAAATGTCATCAAAAATCACATGACAATTTCGTTGGCAATCCAGCTCGAATAGATGTTCTCAAAAATGTCGACACGGTTCGAGGAGGCCCAGCTGGAGATCCTATCGTTTTACGTGGTCTTCGCTCAGTCCCTGGCTATCGTGTACAGCTGCAACCGTGTAAAGTTTGCCACAGTGTATATGCTGCTGCTGCTGGCTAGCTTACTGCATTGTTTGTTTTGCTAGCCTTCTCAGGTAAACGCTAGCTGAAGTGGCGGGCGTTAGAAGCAGCGTGTATACAATCCAGATCCAGGACTTGCGCTTGATAAACGAGAGGCATAAGAGAGATCTCCTGCTGGTAAATCATTAATTTGATCCTTTGCAAGGGCCTACTGCGCACATGATCGCTACATCCACTGCGCCATCATAGCGGCTTTACAACTTGGCGCCAACTGTGCCGTACGGGGGGTTGTTTTCATGAGCAGGGACGGCAAGCAGCGGGCCAAGCAGGTGCCAACCTCCATCAACGTGCATGGTGTCACCCGTCACATACGCCCCAGCGGGGGACAGGTAGTACAGCACGCCGGCCGACACTTCCTCGACACTCCCGACACGCTTCGCCGCCGTGGCGCTTCTCGCTGCCACGTGGAACTGCTCCGCTCCGCCCTCGTAGTTGTCCACACCACTCGACAGGATGATCCCCTACAACCACCACACCCATCATCAGAACAGCGTTCCAGCAGATCAACTCAAGCTGCCTGGTTAACGTACCGGAGCAACGCAGTTAAGCGTGATGCCCGACGCTGCCCACTCCACGGACAGCGACTTGCTGAGGTTCTCGATGGCAGCACGTGCCGCACCGCTGTGCGCCATCAACGGGTAGCCCTTGTCGATCACGAGGATGATGTTGACGATCCTGCCGCCGTGCTCCTTCATGTACGCGTGGTACGCCTTCTTCGTGACCATGAACGTGCCGTTCCTATTGCCAATGCACCACCAAAACTGGTCAGATATCGTGGTAATCAAATTCCAAGCAGTAAATCGTCCTCCCAACGTACAGGTTCGTCTTCATGATGGCCTCCCAGCCCTTCAGGTTCACCTTCTCAATCGGCGCGCGGAATTGCCCACCCGCTACAATTGCATCAACCAACAATCCTTAGCCTCAGAACTCGAAAAAACCGCGCAGTATTGGTGACACACTCCGCACCGTTGTTGACGAGGAAGTCGATGCGCTTGTACTTAGCCAGCGTCTCGTCCACCAGGTTGTTCACCTGCTCCTCCTTGCGGATATCGCACACAATCGGGTGAATCACGTCCTTCGGGTCGCGGCCGGCGGCGTCCAATTGGCTGCGGATTGTCTCGGCCGCCGCACGAAGACGCTCCTCATTTCTAGCGGTTTAGACGATAATGACCAGTTAGCGGCAGTCAATTAGCCGTTAATTCTTAGCATTTATTGTCGCTCACCTGGCTGCGATCACCACCGAGCAGCCGAGCGACGCGAGTTCGTGCGCAATGCAGCGGCCGATTCCAGTGCCGCCTCCGGTCACGATGGCCTGCCCCGGACGGTATCAGTTAGGATACAGTACGGTACCGGTAGGGTATATCGACGGCACGCACCACTTTGCCTTGGAACAGGTCGGGGCGGTAGATGCTCGAGGCGTTGGGGGCGCGGATCATGGTGCAGCGGTGGCAGGCAGCGGCGAAGCGAATTCGGTAGTGGCGAGCGATCTAATACCGTTATTAGACGTTGATGGAGCGTTGTTGATGCATCAAAAGTGCACGCTTCAACGGCTGGTTTAACACCAGCAATTCAAAATTGAATTGCAAAGTTGAAGTTGTACGGCTTCCCTTCACTGTGCGCGAACCATAAGCTTACATGTTAGCAGCCGTGAAGTATATTATCCTGAGTATGCTTCTTGAGATTTTTGACGGTTGTGAAGCAGCGAGGCTCGAGATACGCCATACCGGTACATCGGTGGCTTCTAGGTACTTCTCTGTTTGTGCGGTGTTTACTTTTTTTGCTGCTATCGAAATCGAAATATGATAAAGTCTTTTCGAGAAGTTTTTATGTGAAAACCTCACAACAGCAACCAACACCAACGCATTTCATTTACTGAAGAAGGTTGAGAGAGTAGCTGGACAACCTCTTGGGGGCGGTCGTGCAGTAATCTACAACTTGCTGGTACCGTAGGGGTGGTTGTTTTCGTGCTGTGGAACGTCGAGAAGAGGTCCCATGAGATGCCAGCCGCCGTCCACGTGCATTGTGTCGCCCGTCACGTAGGCGCCAGCTGGAGACAAGTAGTAAAGCACACTGGCCGAGACTTCCTCAACGCTCCCCATTCGCTTCGCCGCCGTCGCCTTCTCCGCCGCATACTCGAACATCTCCGCGCCGCTGGGGTAGTTCTCAACTCCGCTGGAAAGGATGATGCCCTGCACAACACAGAAGCAAACGCGTTACAAATTCATCACCAACATGTAGGTGGCCATGAACTTCTTCTCGTACCGGAGCAACGCAGTTGAGGGTGATACCCGAGGACGCCCACTCCACCGACAGCGACTTGGACAGACTTTCGATGCCAGCGCGAGCAGCAGCGCTGTGCGCCAAGCATGGGCTGCCCTTATCCAGCACGATGATGATGTTGACGATGCTGCCGCCGTGCTCCTTCATGTAGGCGTGGTAAACCTTCTTCGTCATCAGGAAGGTGCCGTTTCTACAGTAAGGTAGGATTTGGTTAGTGTTTCGGACTGCCTCACTCAGATTGACAACGCATCGATCTTACAGATTGGTGTCCATAACAGCCTGCCACCCCTTCAACGAGACGTCTTCGAGGAGCGACCGGAACTGGCCGCCAGCTAGTGAATGACACACAATCTGGAGGTTAGTTAAACAGTCTCACTCAGGCTGCTAAGAGTTTGCAGCCCCTCACCATTGTTCACGAGGAAGTCGACGCGCTTGAACTTGGTCAACGTTTCGTCGACCAGGTTCGACACCTGCTCCTCGCTGCGGATGTTGCACGCGATAGCATGCACTGAGCCTTCGGACGTCGGGTTCGCAGCCTTCACGTCTGCTTGAATCTTGTCGGCAGCTTCCTGCAGACGCTCCAAGTTCCTGCACCAAACGCACGCCTCAATACACCGCCCAGTCATCCAGCAGGGGAGCTCCCACGCCTTACCGGGACGCGATCACGACCGTGCAGCCCAGGAACGCCAGCTCGTACGCGATACTTTTGCCGATTCCGGTTCCACCCCCAGTGACGATGGCCTACAGTGCACTCGCCGTCAATCAGAGACTGCTCCACCTCCTCCCCTCCCCTTGCAACGCTCAGCTCACCCACCACTTTGCCGTTGAACAGACCGGGCCGGTAGATGCTCGGCGCCGCCGGGTTGCGCGTGGGCTTTGCCGCCATGAGAGCTCCAAAGTGATTGTGCTGATACGTGGCAGGGGAAGGTTGATATGATGAATGGCTTATCCCCGCTGATTCTGACGCCTCATTTGGCAGCCACAGCAGATGCTCCAAGCCTGACGTATCCTTCGGCCATGATACTCGTCACCTTGGTGGTTTATTATCTTGAGAGTTTGCCTAAGTAGCTACAGTCAACCTCTTGTCTACGTTGTGTCCTATGCGCAGGCAAGGCCATGCTTCCCCGTGGTCTCGCTAATTTGTAGCTTTGATGAGCTGCTGGCGCTTACCTACCTGCTTGATATTTCCTCCGCTTATCTCACGGCGTCGTAGCGGTCCGGGCGCTTCTTGGAGAAGACGATCTGCACGAGCTGGATGGTGCGCGCGCGGAAGCCGGCGGCGCAGTACTGCAGGTAGAAGTCCCACATGCGGCAGAAGACCTCCGGGCGGTCGATGTCGCCCTTCTTGAGGTGCTCCTGGAAGCGCTCGTACCAGCACATGAGCGTCTTGTCGTAGTCCGGGCCGAGGTTGTGCACGTCCTCGACGATGAGCTTGCGCTCCGAGAAGGTGACCATCTGCGCCACGGACGGCAGGAAGCCGTTGGGGAAGATGTACTTGAGGATCCAGAGCTGGATCGGCACCTCGATGGAGCGGTTGGCGGCGATGCCGTGCACCAGCGCGAGGCCGCCGTCCTTGAGGCAGCGCTTGATCACGGTGTAGTACTCGTCCAGGTTCTTGAAGCCCACGGCCTCGATCATGGCGATGGACACGACGCGGTCGAACTGGCCGTGCATCTTGCGGTAGTCGCAGTACTCGAAGCTCGTGAGATCGCTCACGCCCTCGCGCTTGGCCCACTCGCGGGCGCCCTTGAGCTGCTCGTTGGAGATGGTGATGCCCGTGACGTGCACGCCGTACTCCTTGGCCAGGAAGCAGCCGAGGCCGCCCCAGCCGCAGCCGATCTCGAGCACGCGCATGCCCGGCTCGAGCTTGAGCTTCTTGGCGATCAGGTGCAGCTTGTTGCGCTGCGCGGCGTCCAGGTCGTGCTTGTCCTCGACGCCCTTCCAGTACGCGCACGAGTACTGCATGTACGGGTCGAGCCAGAGCTTGAAGAAGTCGTTGCCCAGGTCGTAGTGGTGCGCGCCCACGATGCCGGCGCGCGAGGGCGACTGGTAGTTGAAGATCTTGCCGCCCAGCGCGATGAACTTGGCGTTCCAGGCCTTGAAGATCTTGCGGCGCTTGTCCGCGGGCAGCGACAGCAGGCGCGTGAGCAGCTCATCCAGCGGGAGGATGGCCTCCCACTTCTTGGCCATGTACGACTCGCCGATGGCCAGCATGCCGCGGTTCACCCAGTCCAGGAAGATGTCCTCGTCGTGCACGCGGATGTCGCGGTCGACGATGATGTCGGCGTCCGCCAGCATGCCCTTGAAGAAGGTGGCGGCGCGCGCGCGCAGCACGGGGCGCATGGCCGCCCGCAGCAGGAACGAGCCGACGGCGGCGCCCGTGACCACGGAGGCGGCGATGAGAGCGGATTTCTGCTTGTCCGACATGGTGCGATAGTCCTGGAGGAGCTCTGCTTCGTCGAGGGGATCTTGGAGACTGAGCGCATTGACACGTCGGCGCTGCTCCTGCTGGCTGCCTTGGCCGGCTGCTGACGTGTGGACCTGGAGCTTTTTGGTGCAGAAATCGTGGGGCTGAGGATCGGCTTATGCTTTTTGACAGGCACTTGTTTGTTATACTTTCGACCTGGAATCGGCGGTTATGGTGGCCTGCGCAACTTGTGAAAAATAACGGATAGCAGGTAAACCACCGGTCTTTGGCCGCTGAAAATTAGAGCAACCATAAGTATGGTTGCTTTTAGCCATTCTGAGACATGTATGGTTGCTTTTAGGGATTTTAAAAATTACGAGCGTAACTTAAATGTCTAAATTACCATTAAGCCCTTAGGTACGCAAATCACGCTAAAGTGCGCTTCTGATTAGGTACGATGCCATTAAGTGCGCCACCTCATTTTATGAATCGCGCTGCTGAACGGAGGCCACGTGGGGCACGCACCTCTCGCGAATCAGTCAAGCACCAAACGGCGAGGGGGGACCGATGGCTCCTGCGGGGGGAGCCATTATAAACGGTAATCAGTATGCTCCATGTTGGTGGCAACGAGAGTATCTACGTGCCTCACATTTTGTTTGAATTCTGTCGGTATGTATTGTTTCGGCCGAAAGCTGCGGAACGTAAACGAGGAGCTAAACTACATGTACGCCGCTCTCGGGATTGAAAAAGACGACGACGAAGACGAAGACTTTGTTCTGGATGAGGAGGATGAGGAAGACAACGGCGACGAAGAGGCGGAGGATTGCTACCAAGAGGAGGAAGACGAAGAAGAGGTCGATGATGACGAGGAGAGCAATAGCGATGAACAGGAGGCAGACGACGACGGAGAATCCAGCCCAGAAGACGAAGCAGAAGCGGGTAAGACTCGTTTGGATTATTGTTGATACTTATTGAGTTGAACTGATAATGTATTGTGTATTTTTTTAGTTTGTTTAAAACGCAGGACACGCAAACAGAGCCCCGAGCCGAGAAAGAAAGCCACAGCACGCAAGAAAACACCAGGTATTCTCGTTAAAGTTGCTTTAAGCAAAAAGGTTGCGCTATCATTAATATTGACATTCACTTTGGAATCGATAGATACCGCTCTGGCCATATGCAAGCTTTCTCCTGGGGATGAAGCCCAATCTTTCGCGAATAAGCGTAAGGCGGAGCTGCAGCTTCACGAGTCTGTCGACGCTGATTCGGCCCCACGTTTATCCAAGCGGAACAAGCAGTACATACCGCGGAAGCGATCAAGCAAGCACCTTGACGAGTTGCGGGAGATCAACGAGGAGCGCGAAGAAATTATCAACCCCGTTCCGCCCTTTACCCCAGCGATTATCAAGAGTTGGAGCAAGTTCAACGCACACTTGAAAATATACAAGCAGAAGCACCACCTCAAGTTTCGAGTACGAAGCTCGGAGACACGAAATCAGTACAACAGGTATGTGTGACCTCTGTTTGATGAGAAATTTAAGTTATTAACGAAACCCCCTTTCATATGCAGCAATCATCGGGACCAAATCCCTTCACGTTTTAATTGGAGTCACAAGGTCCTCCGCTGTACACACGGTGTTTCGCAAGCGTCGCGCTCCAAGGGACATCGCAATAGAAAAGGCAACTATTGCAGGTGTCCTGCACGCATGACACCAACCGTTCAGCGGATGGAAAATGGCAAATTTCGAATTGTCATAAGAAACGAGGTATCTGCCTTTTCGTGTATTTGTTTGCTTTGTTAGTATTTCTCACATGTCGCTGTTGATAATCAGAACTTTACCCACACGCACCCGACCACCCGAACGCAAGCATCGTTGTACCTGACAACAAAGACACTTCCGTTGGACGAGCAAGATCTCGAAGATGTTAAGACTTTAACGGATGCTAGTGTTTCTTCCAAGCACATCACGAACTTCCTGAATGAGAGAATCGGTGCGTAGTTTTATATATGATATGCTGAAGTGATACTTACGTTACTGTTCGCGCTTTGTGTGTTTGCTAGGCTGCAAAAAAACACCTCAACAGACCCGTAATCTGATCCGCAGTATTATGGGGCCCGACGCAGCGGAGGCCCGTTTGAAAGACATGCTGCAAGCTATCCGCCAGTTAGACGGTAGTGACGTCCTTGTTATTCAAGACCAAATGGACGTGACATGCGGTATCGTGATGCAAACAAAGGTGCAGAAGCTGATGTTCGAGCGCTGGGGCGACACTCTTACGATGGATTTCACTCACGGCACGAGCAATTTGGGCTATCACTTGGGTGCGTATGAGTCGTTCGGTATAGCAACTTTACTATTGTTACGGCAACCTTGCGTAGTTATAGCAACCATATCGATGATATAGCAACCTTATTAACAAAGTGATTTTCTACTGTTGTGTGTTGGATATTTCAGGGAGTCTGGTCGTCACAACCGCTACTGGTAGAGGGTTCCCAGTTGTAGACTTCATATGCCTCAACCAACGAGCTCCGATGATGACAACAATCCTGGAGTATTTCCAAGAGAAGAACCCAAGTTGGCGGATGATATCCTCCATCGTGATCGACAAAGATTTCGTTGAGTGGAGGGTGCTGAAAACACTATTTCCTGCTGCGAAAGTTTAACTTTGTCAATTCCATGCCATTTCGTACTGGAAGAAGGTGATGCAGCGGGCCCCATAAAAGCTGAAGGTGTCTGAACGCGACGAGTTACTCAACCTGATGATGAAAACGCTGTACAGGTACGCAACAGGTTCTATTTATGATTCTTGTGGTAACGCTAACTTTGGAGAACATCAGTTAGACGCCACCACGACGTGTCTAAATTTAGAGATATATGTAGCAAGACCATGACGAGGGCGACGTGTCCCTGTCATTTACGCGTCATTTAAAATAAATTACCGGGTGCCAGCTGGTTTTAGGGTTGCTTTAGGCCTTGTGGTTACTTTAATTTCTGTCGTGTTGTCGTCATATGGTTGCTGTAACGCCATTCGCCCCAGCGCCGAGCCGCGGCGGATAGTCGAGGCGGACAAGAGCACGAAATGGATCCATGACGCCGGGCCATGGGCTGTTTCGCCCGAGCGCGGCGAGTGCGAGGTTGCTGTAGTTCACGGCTTGCTGCTGCTCGATGCGAGGCTGCGATGTTGATGGCTCGCTGGATGACTCACGCAAGCTTAAATGCCCTCGCAGCCGCGTTCCTTTGACGTGCGCATTGCACGTGCAAGGGCTCGACTTGACTTACCGCCAGTGCCGGCGACGGGCCCCATCTGTATTGCCGTTGCTTGCTCGGGCCGCCCGTGCTTGCGAGGGGCGTGAGGTGGCACCGCGCCACTGGCACAGCGACCTCGATCCCGTGCCGCCGGTCTCGAAGGGCACACCTTTATCGCCGCGACTTCAACAAGTCTCGCGTGGCAGTGGCGTCAAGTGACATCAGGCGCTCACGCGAGCAAGGAGAACGCTGCATCCACTTTGCTTGTCAAGGCGTTGTTGCACAATGCACTCAAGCTGAAGTTCGTAACGGACCCGTTTCGGGTGATCGAAAGGGTTGCTCGGCGATAAACACCTAAACCATGGAGTTGCCATGGATGTCCATGGGCCCTAAAGAGCTCAACGTGGCTTACTCTTGACCTGCAGAAGCTCGCCGGCAATCGGGATTTAACACCGTCGCATACTTAAGTACGTCATGTAGCCATCTTCCAAAATGGTGGATACATACCGCTCGTACCGGTATTGTACCGCGCATACATTGGCCAAAATAAAAATCCTCTTCGCGCCTGCGCATTGGCCGAAAATGCTGTGCGGCCGCAAACGCGCCGCAAACAAACCCGACGTGAAGCATCGGGATCGGGAGAGCGAGATACAACATGGGCGCTAAGCAGTCGCGCGTGGTGGCGAACGAGGCGGCGTCCGAGCTGCGCCCGGAGGACGAGCACGACGGGGAGACGCGCGCCTCCATCCGCCTCACGCCCGCGCTCATCGACCAGATCAACGGCACGCACGAGGCCTCGGCCAAGGCCCAGCAGGCGGCGGGCGGCATCAACGCGCAGTACGGGCGCTGTGGCACCATAGCATACTATGGTATCATTGATAACCTAACTATTTACACGGTACTATTACTATTGTGCAGGCAGCAGGCAGCCTTGAAGAAGCAGCTGCAGATGGCCTACAACAAGGTGCGTTCATCTAGAGAGGCCTTGAGCTCGAACTTGTGGTCCTTACGATGGATACGGTGCTTCGTGTGCAGGGCGCTGACGACTACCGGAAGAAGATGGAGGTGGATCTCAAGCAGAAGCAGCAGCAGCAGGCCGCCGCCGGGGCGCCGAGCCTGGCGCAGCAGGCGCAGCTCGCCAAGGAGCAGGAGGAGCGCGAGAACCAGCGCGTGGAGCAGCTCGTGGCCGAGATCAACAAGAAGAAGTACTGCGCGCCGCTGCGGGACGTGCAGTGCTCGACCGAGCGCGAGGCGTGTTTGCAGTGCTATAGAGACAAGAAGACCGACGTCTTGAAGTGCAAGGAAGTGGCCGACGCCTTCGTGCGGTGCGCCCGACAAAACACCGAGGTGCGTTGAGCAGTAGCACAGAATATCTGCTGGATGCCTGTTAACGCTGTTGTTTATGTGTATATTGCAGAAATTGGTCGGAGAGAACTGAAGTATCTTCCCGTTTCAGATCATCTAGCGGACTCGATAATTCACAAAGATGATGATTGTGGGCATTCTTTTTGCTTGGACTCATGTATGCTGGTGGCTTGACGTGCCTCCGGAAGGATCAAGCGCTGCCACCAAAGCGAACTACCTGTCCAGAAGAAATCAATCTGAAGAGATGGCGACGTCTACAGTAGTGCAGATGGAAGACAGAGGAAAACCTACTCGCCACTTCCAGGGCACGTAATTTGCTGGTTTGTCTGCTAAAGGTTCAAGTAAATTTGTGCTGCATTATGGTAAATGTGTGGTTTTCTGTGTGTTCCTACTGCCGACGTGAGGGTTTCTTCCTTATCTCACGGTGTTGCCGCCTTCGCTAAGCTTAGTTCATTTCACTCGGCTGCATTTTAGTTCTTCTTCTCGAAGATGTTGCCGACCATGCCCGGACGCACGTAGTCCTTGGGCTTGCCGATTTCCGCGCCCAGTGCGTCGAAGTTGTCCACTTGGATGATGATTTCGCGCGCAGCCTCGACTTCGTCAATGAACTTCTGCTCGTCAATGGTGGCACTGCGCTTCTGCTTGCGTAGTGCGGAAAGCGTCTTGTCAGCCTTGACAGCCTTGGGCAGTGTGGCGTTCAGCAGGGCCACACGGTCGTTCGGGTTCTCGGACACGAACACGTTGTCGCTCAGCAAGTTACGAATTCCCGAGTCGGTGGAGGTCAGGTCTGAAATCTGACGCCGCTGCTTGTCCGTAGGGGCTTCGTACGGCAGGCCGAACGGGAACGACAGTCCGCGCATGATCGGACCGACACCAGGCACAGGGAAGTTCTTGCTGATGCCCACGATGCCCTGCTGCGCTTCGTAGCAGAGCTGCGTCATGGCGTAGTCAAACATCGCGTCGATGCCCTCAACGTGGCGGTTGTTCTTGTAGAACCACATCGCCGAGTAGCCAAGGTAGAGGCTCGAGAACACGTCCGCAAACCGGCCCGAGATCATTTCAGCAAACTTCAACTTGCCGCCAAGCACCAGCGAGAGATCCGCGCACATGGCAAAGTTCTTCGACAACTTGTCCATCTGAGACTCGTAGTGCTCAAGCAGGGCGCTTTGCTTCTTGATGCGCGAGCGCGTGACCGCCGTCTTCAGTGAACCAGCCGTGTTCGTCACACCGTGCTGCACCAGTTTGATCAGCTCCTTCTTGAAACCTTCCAGGTCGTCGCCGTGCTGAATGGTCTTGATCAGCTCGTACAGGTGAGGGTGCGCACGGGTGAGACCTTGGCCGAAGATAATGAGCGAACGCGTCAAGACATTCGCACCCTCGACAGTGATGATCACAGGCAGTGTAGTGTACATGTTCGCGAGGAAGTTGTTGGGGCCCTTGCAGATACCAGCGCCACCCAGGACATCCATGCCACGAATGACAGCGTCACGACCACGGTCGGTGATCTGCTGTTTGCAGACACCACTGATGACGGCGGGCTGCTCGTGCTGGTTGATCATTGCGTTCACCATGTGCTGGCCGCTCGTCATGATGAAGGCGTTGCTGGCAATGATAGCAAGCTGCTCCTGGATGCCTTCCAGACTGGCAATGGGCACCTTGAACTGCTTGCGGACGCGTGCGTAGGCACCGACAGCGTTCACAGACAGCTTCGCACCAGCAACAGCAGCAGCAGGCAGACTGATGGAGCGGCCTTCGGCCAGGCAGTCCATGAGCATGTTCCAGCCGTAGCCGACACGAGTCTGACCACCAATGACCTTCGACATGGGGATGAACACGTCCTCACCCGTCACAGGGCCGTTCATGAACGGGATCGAGATGGTGTCGTGACGCTTGCCCATCTGAAGACCAGGGTGGTTGCGTTCAAGCAGCGCCACGGTGATTCCCGGGTGGCCCGTGCCCTTCAGCAGACCGTGCGGGTCCTTCACGTCCACAGCCAAGCCGACACACGTGGCCACGGGTGCCAGCGTGATGTAGCGCTTGCTGAAGGTCGCGCGGATGCCCAGCACGCCGTCCTGCTCGCAGACAATGCCGGTGTCACGCATGTTAGCTGCGTCCGACCCCGACGACGGTCCCGTGAGGCCAAAGCAGGGCAGGTGCTTGCCGTAGGCCAGGCCAGGGAGGAAGTAGTTCTTCTGCTCCTCCGTGCCGTAGCGCAGCAGCAGCTCAGCAGGGCCCAGTGAGTTGGGCACACACACTGTGACTGCAGCGGTGCCGCTGCGAGTGGCGATCTTGGTGATCACGACCGAGTGGCCGTGCGCGCTGAACTGCTTGCCGCCGTACTCCTTGGGGATGATCATGCCGAGGAAGCCCTTGTCCTTGATGAACTGCCAGACCTTGAGGGGCAGGTCCTGGTCACGCGTGACGCCGTAGTCGTCGATCATCTCGCACAGCTGCTGCACCTCGTTGTCCATGAAGGCCTGCTCCTCGGCGTTGAGCTGCGCCGAGTACTTGTCCAGCGTGGCGAGCTTGGGCGCGCCCGAGAAGATGTCGCGGTCGAAGCCCACGGTGCCGCTGTCCAGCGCCGCCTTCTCAGTGTCCGACATGCGCGGCATCACGCGCTTGGCCAGCTTGTACACCTGCTCGGCCACGAACGTGCGCGTCTGCGTCTGGTGCAGCACCTGCACGGCCGGCAGCGCCGAGCGCGCCGCCACGAGCCGCAGCCCGCTGAGCCGCGTCGAGCTCTTGAGCAGCGCCGGGGACAGCATCCTGGAGGGAGGAGGATTGGGGGAAGAAGACTAAGAGATCCTTGTGTCGGCTAGCGCGTCGATTCGGAAGTGTCGTTGCGGGTTGCAACCCCACGGCAACCGCACACGGCTGCACTACGTTGGCGTTGAAGTGAGATGTGTCGTCCTCGCGCTGATTGGTCGGTTTATTCTCACGTTAGAACTGACGGGGATGCCGACGTGAATTTCCCCGTTTTAATGACTCTGTCACTGATTTTAGCTTGTCAGTTGAAGCCATGTCGTCGGCGCGCTCGCTGGTGTCGCGCTTGATCCCGCCGCTCGCGGCGCACTGGCACAAGGGCCAGCAAGGCGCGTAGCTTACCGTCTCTATATGGGTCTTGTTATGGCGGTGCTAAATGTGCTGTTTATTGCAGGGCGCGTGGGCGTGGTGGGCGGCTCGTTCGAGTACACGGGGGCTCCGTACTACGCCGGCGTGTCGAGTCTCAAGACGGGGGCGGACCTGTGCCACCTCTTCTGCGTGGAGGAGGCCGCCGTCCCCATCAAGAGTTACAGTTCCGAGCTCATTGTGCACCCGCTGCTGCGCTCGGACGCGTCGCTCGCGGGGTTCGATGAGTCGAAGCGCGCTGCTGTCCTGGCGGAAGCTGTCGAGAGGATCGTGCAGGTGCTGCCGAGACTGGACACGCTGGTGATTGGGCCTGGGCTGGGCCGAGACGCCAGTGTGCAGGAGATCACGCGGCAGATCATTGCAAAGGCCAAGGAGTCTAACCTGCCGCTGGTTCTGGACGGCGACGCGCTGTTCCTTGTGAGTCTGGAACCAGAGACCATCAAGGGCTACAAGAACGTCATCCTCACGCCGAATGCGGTACGTTCTGGTAAAGTGTGGAGTGGTGGCGTATTTCGATGTTGCTTACGGATTGGTTGGCTTGGCATTGTAGATGGAGTATGCGCGGTTGTGTGCCACCACGCAACTGCTGCCGAACGTTGACGTCGCGCAAGCTGCCAAGATCCCGCCGGCTCAGCTCAGTGAGGCGTAAGAAGCTGCAATTGCAGGAGGGATTTGTGGATGAAGCCCTCGCTAATGCTTACCCCTGTGTACCTTATGCGCAGTTTGGGTTTTCCAGTCGTCATTCAGAAGGGCAGTGTGGATACATTTTCCGACGGCAAGATCAGTAAGGCAAACACGAAAACTTGTTACTCCGTTGCGGCACATACTAACTTGCTTTTGCTTGAGTCTAGCCATAACAAACGATGAATTTGGATGCCCGCGCCGATGTGGAGGGCAAGGAGATGTAAGCACTAGACTTGTGACTCAGAAGATTGGATTTGGGTCGCTCACTCGCTGGGTTCATGTGTGAAGGTGCTGTCGGGGGCCATAGGAACGTTCGCGGCGTGGACGAAGCACCTTGATCTGTGAGCTGCTGTCGCTTGACTTGTATTGCTTCGCACATGATTCATCTCACCTGGGTCATGTTGTCTTGCGACTTAGCTCGAGCGTGGACTTCTCGGGCAACCCGCTGCTTCTTGCAGCCTACGGAGGCTCTCTCGTGACGCGAGCCAGGTCAGTTACTATGCCACCTCGCAATCGCTCGATGCAAGAGGCTAACTGTTGGCGTCCAGTTCATCCCTTGCTTTTGACGAGCACCAACGCTCGATGACGGCACCCGACGTCTTGCACAGCGTTGGCAAAGGCTTCGTCAAGGCGTTCCCTAACTCATCTATGTAGGCTCGCCATTGTCTGGACGGCACACGGGGTCGCACAGCATCCGGATCCCACGGCTGGTGCAGTGGCTTCAGTCTGGCATCCCCCTTCAGCAATGTCGAGGATTTTTGCAGCTTCATGTGGCATTAAACATTTTACAATAGCCATCGAGCTCCGAAGCTCGCGAACGTAGGCTGAAACTAAAGACGACCTCGTTCTACCATCGCTCCTCTCAAGCCACGATGGTAGGCATTCGTCAAGAGGCCGAAGAGCCTCCACCCGTGCATCTCCAGCCTCTGTCTCTGTGTCTTGCTCTCGCCGTTTTTGCAATCTCCCGCCTGAAATCCATCGTCAGGGGCACTCCACCTCCCTCCTCTCATACTAACCTAACATACGGCGTTAATGGTCTTGTAGAGATCGCCAGCGAGCTTTTTCGTCGACTCTTTCTGCGAGAGCGTCAAGATGTCGCGAAGCGTCTCAGGCAACCGAGGCAATTCCAAGCTGTGAAGGGAGGATGCAGGGGTCGTAACGTAAGTACCGTTGAATTTCGAATCCATCCCAATGGGACCAAAGTTGGTCTAAATGTCGAATCGCACGGCGTACGTACTCGTTGAGCGCTGAAACATCATCAGCGAAGTTCAGGATGGTGTAGATGGCAAAGCGCACGATATCCTCGTTGTCATCCTTGAGCATCGACTGCAATCCGGTGACGAATTGCTCCTTGAGCAGGTCAGCAAGGGCACGACGGTTCGAGTCGTACTGACAAAGCTCTTTCAGCCGTTTAGCCACCTCGTACCGCGTGAACGGTGGACACTCCGAGTTGATTTCAAGCAGCAGCATCGAAAGTTCTTGCGAGTCCACCAAGAAAGACCCTGGGAAGAGTTCACCTGGGCTCGACCAATCCGCCATGATGTCAAAGCTGCCAACCAGACGGGGTCCAACGACAGAGCACAAAGCAACACATTCACTTGCGTTAAGAACCGTTTCCCGTGAGTAGCTCGCTGTTTCCGGAGCATCCGTACAAATAAGCCAAGAAGTAGCAGCTATAGCAAGATGTTCCAACCTGAGTTCAGGAAGCCCGATCATGTCCTTGTCGATTACTCTGCACTCCTTGCGAATGGAGTCCGTCAATCCGAGGAATTTGAACTCGTCGCCCTGCAAGGACCAGCATGAACGTAGCATCAAAATCCTCTCACCAGATGCAGATAACGCCGGTGGGGACTAATAAATGCAATACGCACCGAACGCAAATTGAAGTCGACACGAATCGTCGACTTCATGGCCAAGCGGTGCAGCTCCACATGGAAGAACACTTCTTCCGCTGCGACCAGCGCGTAAGCGTCCATCTACGATATAAAACCCCGCACAAAATGTCAGCACTCCGAGAAGATCAGCCCACAACAACTCTTCCAAAGGTTGCGAGTCAGCTGCTTTAGTTGCCAACATCAACATACCGTCCAGTCGGCACTGCACGAGAACTCGACGTCTTGTGCGCTCATGGCCTTATGCAGCGTCCGAAATATCACCTCGGGCGGCTCGCACGACTCGAACATGGGGTTCACTTGGCGATAGCCCACTTCCCGGGCATCAGGCACCTCTCCAGTGGGCACGAAGATCTGCGAATTGGTCGCACTGTCCTTGTTCGGGTCATGAACGGACTCGGCACTGTCAAAGACGAAGTCCTTGGGCTTGTCCTGCATCGGCCCGAGGCCCAGCACCGTGGAGCCGTCCTCCAGGTCCTGCAGCGTGGCAGGACTGGTGGTAAACACCACTTTGCCCGGCGGTGGCGGCGCGAACACGTCCTCCGTCTGTAGACAGACAAAAGGGACCCATTAGACGGAGATTTAACCCAATTTTTGCCGGGAATTGGGTCGAGCCGAACCTGCGAGTCGAAGCGCGACGTCATGAACTGGGTCTCCACGTTGGCGCGGCGGTAGGTGACTTCTCGGTCCGGGATCTCCAGCGCGCTCATGCTCTGCTGATAGATGCAGAGCCATTCCACTTGAGGTTAGTATGCCGCAACGGTTATGCAGGTGTTATTTGACCTGGCAAAAGTGCGCCACTTGAGCGCGTCAGTTCGCGGCCGCCACGGGGATAAGCGGCGAGCGATCAAGTGGACGGGTTAGAGGACACGGTGGAGAAGGGAGACTCACCTCGTCCAGCACGAAGCCCTCGCGGTGCTGCACCTCATCGATCCAGTCGTCTTCCTGCTCACTCCTCGACATATTCGTTCCTGCTCCTTTTCGTCGGTTTTGTATCGCGGAACTCTGTAGAAGAAACATGTGTTCTCTTGTAAAGGGAGGAGGGACCAACACTCACGAAAATCGTATGGGGAATTTTTTCATGAAAAACCCATTTATTGGGATTTGATGCTCAAAAAAAACAGTTTGGGTCGCTGGAGCTGTTCGCCTTCACGAGCTCGGTTCTTCGACAATAAGCTTACTGTTAGTTGTCGCCATGAACGGTGAACTGGTGATCTGGAAAATAAAGTTGCGGCTAGCAACGCTCGGGTGGCCCTCACCAGTCTGGTGCCTATTTCACGCAGTGTTGCATTCAAAATCAACTCGGAAGCAAGGATAGGAGACCGCGATTCGTACGGAGGTTACTTAGTGTTTGAGTGTTCCCGGTGAACTAATCGACTTAGATACGCATCGCGATTCCACAGCCGAGAGCGACCATCGGATCCTCCGAGCCTTAGTTTCAATTTCGTGTAAATCGGACCATGAAGCTGCGCTCGTTACTTTTCGCCGCTTTTGCCGCCGGACAGCTCAGCTTTGTGGCAGGCGCTATCATCGATCACGACAAGGTGCAGCCGTTTGTACAGCCCGAACCGGTCACCGTATCCAAAAACGCTGCCGTGAAGTTCAAGCCAAACGTCCTGGTCCTATGGACATGCCATCTGAACCCTGCTGTCAATGCTGCGGGCGATACGAGCGGAGGTCTCAAAGGAACGGGGGAGCGCGATTCGGCCTGCAAGGGTCGGTTCTCGGCTCGCAAGTCTACGGTCGAGCTGGATGGTACCAGGACATGTGGGCCATCATGTACGCGTGGTATTTCCCCAAGGACGTTTATTATCGCGGAACCTTCTCCGACAAGGGGTTCCGACACATCTGGAAGAACGCCGTCGTGTGGCTTGATAACCCGGCGGTGGAGAAGCCGAAGATACTCGCCGTGTCGACTTCGATCGGGATCAAAGGAGGACGTTATGGCATTTTGAAGGACGCCCCGCAAGTTTGCGGCCGCAGCCGTTCCGGATGGATGCAGTCTTCTCCACCTTTCACAGGATATTTCAACGACAGCACCCCCATGCTCCTGTCCAAAGCTGATGATGGAGAAGACTTGAGCTCACTGAGCCAGAGTAATGTGGGGGATGGCGAGTTCCAGGACCTCATCATATGGGAACAGTTGACGGAAGAGGCTCGCGATGCCCTAAGTTCGACAGACTTTGGAGAGACCAAGGTTCGACGCCAACTTCAACGCTAACCTCGAGGCAGCTCGCCCGTTTCTTTAGTTGCGATCGGTCCAAGCGGGTACAACGTAAAGGGGAGTGGCAAAACATTGTCCAGGGTTCTAGTGAAAGTATTGGGGTGATAGTGATATGTACCAACAACAACGCCGCCCCTCCTGGTATCTGCAGCGCGGCAAACTATTGCCAAACGTTGGAGCTTAACGTTGAGTCTCACAACGGAATCGCGCTGTTAAACAAACAACTTCAACTTGCCTATCCGAGCCCTTCTACGCTGCAGATGGCTACAGTCGTTCGCCAGAGCGGCAAGGTCTCTCTAGCGGCTCGCAGCGAGTGGGGCCAAACGAAGCGATAGCCCTGGTGTGATGCCGCAAGCTTGCCTTGTATTGCGATTGTGCACCTTGGGTAAAGCTAAACTTTAGCCTAAACGGTTTCTGGTCGCTTCCACGGATTTCAAAATGGCAAGTGCAGTACTGAGGGTCACCAGCCTGGTGCGCTACGCACCAGCATCCTAGTGCCCCCACCGCGTGAATGCATTCAATCACGCAAGCACCGCCATGCTAACTCCCTTGCCGCCGACGGAGGCTCTGTCAGCTCGCGTCGACGCAGCGCGATTGGCATGTTGAAGCGGTCCAGCAGCAGCTCGTACATAGCCGGCGGCCCTTTTATCAGATGACCAGACCACCGGAGCTCGCATTCAAGCAGCGCGTCCGTTCGCGCCATTCTTCAAGTAGCAGCCAGCAAGACACACCACACACCCCTCCCAGATGCCGCCGCACTTCGCGTCCCCGTCCCCGTCCTCGCCCGTCGCCGGCGCTGACGGCGTGCGCCGCGACCTGCTGCTGTACGTCAACGGCCAGCGCCTGCAGCTCGCCGAGAAGGACGTGCGGCCCGAGCAGACGCTGCTGCAGTTCCTGCGCCAGGACCTAAGGCTCACGGGCACCAAGCTCGGCTGCGGCGAGGGCGGCTGCGGCGCCTGCACCGTCATGGTCTCCAAGTTCGACGTGGCCACGGGCCGCGTGCGCCACATGTCGGTGAACTCGTGTCTGGCCCCGCTGTGCGCCATGGACACCTGCGCCGTCACGACGGTGGAGGGCGTGGGCGCGACGGGGGAGGCCACGGGCCTGCACGAGGTGCAGAAGGCGCTGGCCGAGTCGCACGCGTCGCAGTGCGGCTACTGCACGCCGGGCTTCGTCATGGCGCTCTACTCCATGGTCAAGCAGCGTGAGACGGGCGCGGAGCTCACGATGGAGGACATTGAGCACGGCATGGACGGCAACTTGTGCCGCTGTACGGGGTACCGCCCGATCCTGGACGCTGCCAAGAGCTTCGGCGATGATGCGGGCAAGGCCCACTGCAAGGGCACGTGTCCGGGCTGCCCCAACGCCAAGAACGGCGCTGCACAAGTTGATATTGAAGATCTACACGGAGACGGCCCCAAGGAGGTCACGAGCTGCTCGTCGCGCAAGATCCGCGAGCTCGCCAAGCAGAGGAAGCTACGGGGGAAAGATGCAGACGACCCAGTCGTCAGTGACTCGAAGAAGGCCGAAGCTCTGGCCGTGTCGACGTTCCCCAAGGAGCTCGTGGAGCAGGCGATGACGCCTCAAGTGCTGCAGATCGACGGTAAACACGTGCAGTGGTTCGCGCCCGTGACGATGACGCACCTGCTTCAACTCAAGAGTCAACACCCGGACGCCAAGATCTCGGTGGGCAACACGGAAATGGGCATCGAGACCAAGTTCAAGGGCTTCAAGTACGTGCACTTGATCAACGTGAGTCGCATTCCGGAGCTGGTGGCTACGAGAGATGTTACACCCGATGATCACATCAACCAGACAGTGTTCGCTGGAGCTGAGCCGTTTGAAGGGGTCAAGTTTGGTGCCGCTGTCTCGCTTACCGACGTGAAGCAGCAGCTCTCGGAGCTCATCAAGACTCTGCCGTCGTATCAAACGCACGCGTTCGAGTCCATTGTCAAGATGCTCAAGTGGTTCGCCAGCACGCACATCCGCAACGTCGCGTGTATCGCCGGCAACCTCGTCACAGCGAGTCCGATCTCAGACATGAACCCCCTACTCGCTGCCATGAATGCGTACATCGAGCTGCAATCTACGAGGGGTGCGCGGTACGTGCGAGTGCGGGACTTCTTCCTATCGTACCGCAAGGTGGGGATGGAGCAGGACGAGGTCATCACTGGGGTGTATGTGCCCTACACGAAGAAATGGGAGTACATGCTCCCATTCAAGCAGGCGCGTCGGCGCGAGGATGACATCAGCATCGTGACCGCCGGAATTCGTGTGAAGCTCGAGTGTTCACGAGACACCGGAGCTTGGACAATCCAGGACGCGTCTGCCGTGTATGGAGGCATGGCGCCTATCACGAAGCCCGCGTCGGAAACAGAACACTTTCTTATTGGCAAGGCGTTCGACCCATCCACGTTTGATGAGGCTTGCGATGTTCTACACTCGAGCGACTTCAAACTCCCCGATGGTGTTCCCGGTGGTATGGCGAAGTACCGAGAGAGTCTTTGCTCGTCGTTCCTGTACAAGTTCTTCATCGCGTCATCGGAGCGACTTCAGCTGGACTTACAAGCAAACGTGGGGACCGCATCGTTGCTGCCGGAAGCCCCAGCTGTTGACGTCAAGGAACAGTCTGCAGGCAAGTCGTTCTTGCATCATGTGCGTCCTGCTTCGCATGGAATCCAAAGCTTTGGCATGGAGACTGGTGGTCTTCAAGACTCGAAGCACCGGCCAGTAGGCGATAACACCACCAAGCGCGGACCCGTGGGAGATCCGCTGATGCACAAGTCTGCGTACTTGCAAGTGAGCGGTGAGGCACTATACACAGACGACATCCCGAACACACCAGGAACTCTCCATGGCGCGTTGATTCTGTCTACTTGTGCGCACGGTTTAATCAAGAGCATCGACGCGACTGAAGCGCTGGCTATGGAAGGTGTTCACCGCTTCTTTGACGCCTCCGTCTTCGAGACGGAGAAGCTTGGCTCTAACAAGATCGGTCCTGTGCTGAAGGACGAAGAGTGCTTTGCTTCGAAGGAGGTGTTGTGTGTGGGTCAACCTGTTGGTATCATTGTAGCAGACACGCACGAGTTGGCTATGGCGGCTGTCGACAAGGTCAAGGTCGTGTACGAGGAATTGCCTTCGGTGACCACGATTGAAGAAGCCATTCGTGAGGAGTCATTCATCCTGCCAGTGCATACCATTGACAGTGGTAATGTCGAGAAAGGTCTGACTGAATCGGACATTGTGCTTGAGGGCGAGGTGCACATGGGCGGTCAAGAGCAGTTTTACTTCGAGACCAATGTGTCGCTCTGTACTCCACAAGAAGGTGGTATGAAGATTATCTCCTCCACTCAGGCTGCGACGAAGGCTCAGGTGTTAGCTGCAAGGGTGCTGGGGATTAACTCGAACCGGATCACAAGCACGACAAAGCGTATTGGTGGAGGATTTGGTGGCAAGGAGACTCGAACCGTGTTCGTTACATGCGCTGCTGCTGTCGCGGCCCACGTCATGAAGCGGCCCGTGAAGTGCTTGCTGGAGCGCCACGTCGACATGCTAACCACTGGCGGTCGTCATCCATTTTACGCCAAATACAAGGTCGGTATCAAGCGAGATGGCACCATTCTGGCACTAGACGTCGATCTCTACAACAACGCGGGCTACTCGATGGATCTGTCGCTGGCAGTGATGGATCGTGCGCTCTTCCACTGTGAAAACGCGTACAAAATCCCGAACCTTCGCTGCAACGGCACCGTGTGCCGCACCAACCTGGCAACCAACACTGCCTTCCGTGGCTTTGGAGGACCCCAAGGGCTTTTCGTGGCTGAAACGTACATCGACCACATCGCGCGCACGCTGAAGCTCAGCTCTGAAGAGGTTCGCTCACGCAATATGTACGTCGAAGGCCAAACTACGCACTTTGGCCAGCCACTGGAGGACTTCAACCTGAAGACGCTCTGGCAGCGCACAATTGATCGCAGTGGCTTCGAGGCTAAGAAGGCCGAGGCCGAGGCATTCAACAATAACAACCGGTGGAAGAAGCGAGGCGTCGCGATCCTGCCCACGAAGTTCGGAATCAGCTTCACGTCCAAGTTCATGAACCAAGGAGGTGCTTTGGTCCATGTGTACGCGGACGGAAGCGTGCTGGTATCGCATGGAGGTGTTGAAATGGGCCAAGGTCTTCACACGAAGGTGATTCAAGTGGCTGCACGTGCGTTTGGCATCCCGCATGACCAGATTCACATCGAGGAGACGTCAACGAACAAGGTGCCCAACTCGCAGCCGTCAGCCGCCTCGATGAGCACGGATCTGTATGGAATGGCGACGCTGGACGCGTGTGAGCAGATCCTGGCACGTCTGGCACCTATCCGTGATCGATTGGGCCCAGATGCTTCGTTTAGTGATGTCACGAATGCTGCCTACATGGAGCGCGTCAACATGTCGGCTCAAGGGTTCTACATTGTTCCAAACGAGCGATGTGGCTACGACTTCTCCAAGTCTGTAGCGGAAAATATCGAGATTGGGACGGCGTTCAATTACTTTACGACGGGCGTGGCGTGTACGGTCGTGGAGCTGGATGTCCTCACCGGCGACTTCCACATGCTGAGCGTGGACATCCTCATGGATCTCGGTGCGAGCATCAACCCTGCGATCGATATCGGCCAGATCGAAGGCGCGTTCATGCAGGGGTTCGGCCTATTCGCCCTAGAGGAGCTGGTGTGGGGCGACGACGGACACCCGTGGGTGAAGCGCGGCAACCTGTTTACTCGAGGACCGGGAGCCTACAAAATCCCGAGTGCGAACGACGTGCCGCTGGACTTCCACGTGTGGCTCGAGTCAAACCAGAAGAACAAGTTCGCCGTGCATTCGAGCAAGGCTGTTGGAGAGCCACCGCTGTTCTTGGGCTCGAGCGCATTCTTTGCTGTCAAGGAGGCGATTTACTCGGCAAGGGCGGACGCTGGTCTCCATGGCTACTTTGAGCTGCGCAGCCCCGTGACGCCGGAGCGAGCTCGAATGGCTTGTGCTGACGATATGCTGAAAAAGGTGTTCACTGCGCGTGGTGCCGACATGGTTAGCTACCAGCCTAGCGGAAGCTTTTAACCCGTAAAAGGGAATTCATGTATAGTGTCAGACATCAATCAGCCTAGATGTCCCCCATTGTTCTCTCACTTAAGAATCTGCAGCCTCCGACAATGATGAAGCTTTACTGCGTGATCGTGAATGGTGTTTTCCGTGGAAATTGTTTCTCGGTGGAAGTGTCTGAGACTGGCAACGTGCTGGATTTGGTGAAGGTGATCATTAACGCGAAGGCAGTACAGTTGGGTGGCGCGGAAGCGGACGACCTGAGACTCGTCCTGGCGAAGAATGGCGACGGATGGCTGGACTGGGCTGACGCGATACAAGTGCCACTCAATGACCGCCAGCACCCGCAAGGATTTGAGGTGATGAATTCCTTTTTGCCACTCAAGGACGACAAGTACTTTGGAGGTGACTTTCAGACGGGCAATTGCAAAGTCCACGTGCTGGTGGTGGTTCCTGAAACCTCGACGAGTGAGGCTACGACCGCGACAGTGGCAGCGGAAATCTCAGGCAAAAGGGAGAGGACCGAAGTGACGGTGGATTCCATTGATTCGTTGGAAGAATTGGTTCCAATTACCGAGATGGCGGCGCGCTTGAATCCTGAGACTGACCTAGCAGTGGGTAACTTGTTGAATATCCCAGAGTCACCCCTGGGTAGATTCAAAACCGGCCTGTATGTCCGAAAGGAGTATTGGGATCTCCATAAGACGATCAAGCAACGACTGGAAGCAAAGGAAAATGACATCTACAGAATTCTTGTGATTGGCAGTCCCGGTATCGGAAAGTCGGTATTTGGAGTGTTCGTGCTGCTTGTGTCGATGATGGAGAAGAAGAATGTTGCCTACCGCCCGCTTGGAGACCTGGCGCCCTATTACTTCAGTTGGAATGGAACAAAGTACGTGATATCTGAAGCACCCCTGCCTGATAAAAAATACGTGGGGTTGTTTGATAATGATGCGGAGCATTCAGGTCCATTATATTTGACCCCGCGTACGTGTTTGCAAGTCCACGCCGTAAGAATTACAACCATTTCATGAAAGAAGGGTGCTTGGAGGTGTACATGAATCCATGGTCTAGAACCGAGTGTCAGGGGCTCGCCGACGCACTTCATTTAAACGTTCAAGTCAAAAACGAGTGGCTGCGGAAGTACGCTCTCGTTGGGGGCAAACCAAGAATTTGGTTTTCACCATCCAAAACGTATGAGTGTTTGGTGCAGCAACTGAAAGCTGATATTCCTCGCGACATCGACGATTTGAAGCGCATGATCCACCTTTTTAGACAGGGGGATTTTGATGAACGAACGAGGCATAATTTGTTCAGCATTTGTCGCGATGACGACGATCCCAGTCGTTCCTATTGGGTATATTCGTCGTTGGCGGTGGAGGCGAGGATCTGTGCTCGGTAAGATCTTCGCTCAGCTGATCAACTTCGTTCGTTGCTGCAACCGCCACGCCGTGAGTATGCTGAATAATGTCCGACTTTGGTTGCCGAGGTAGACGTCATGGAGGCCGAGATCCAGCAACACCTAAAACTCGGGTGTTACTGTAGCGCACAAGGAAGGAAGGAATACATGTCTGGGCAGTTTACCGCGTAGTATTGATACCTCGCGGTGCATTTATAAATCATCTTCTGTTGTTCGATATGCAAATGGAGCGACCTTAAGCAAGTTTTCTACTGAAGAAGCAAGTATCATACGCAATGAAGTGCTCAAACAGCACTCTCCGTCGACTTATGTTGGCGTCAGGTACTCAGTGCATTTGCAGAGACCACGATCGTACTCAGCCCCAACAAGGAACTCGACGTCCGGGGTTGATGACGAGATGCGATAGATCTGTTGCACAATACGAACCATATCTGTAAGTGAGCAACCATCATCCGCTACATACAAACATCATACGCAAGTGACTTACCTTGTGTCTTCCCCATGTGATGGAGCCCATGATCGTCGCATTGATCCGGAAAATGAGTTCGTTCCTGCTAAAGTCCCTCCACAACGCAATCCCTTCCGAGTATCCTGGCTGGATGTTGATGCCCGCGATGACATCGCTGATCGAGCCCGCCTTCGCCTCCCATGGCTTGTCCAGCTCCCACTTGCCCACGAGCGTCGAGTTGTGGTAAATGTCGGCCCGCCCCGACTCCAGCACGAAGCCGAAGCGGTTCTCGTTGATGACGCTCACAAGCACCTGGTACTCAACCTTCGGCTCCAACCCCATGATGCTGTGCAGAATGGACTCCCACTCAAACTCGCGGTTGCACACGTTGTAGTCCGGCATGCGCGGGTAGAACATGAGAGCGAGCACTGTCATGGAAATGAGCGCCGTCAGCCACGTCACCCGCGCAGCGAACGCCTGCCAGTTGAACTGCCGCTCTTCGTGCTCGTAGCGAGTGCGTAGCCGTTCGAGCGACGCCTGGTCCACCTCGTTCTCGAACAGCCGGACTTCTCCCTCACGGATCTCCTCCAGCAGCAGAGGCTGCCTCTGCGCCTCGGTACGCTCCTCATCATCTCTGCACCATAGCAGAACAAATATCAGCATAAATTACACATAATTGATCAAGTTCAAAGCAGAAAACTCACCTCAGCGTCGTTTTCTTCTTCTTCTTCTTCTTCCGCTTGTCCTTATCCAGCACCGCTGCAAGCTCCGCACGCCTCGACGGCGGCTTCTTGGCCCGACAAAACACCGAGCAGATCGCCGAGATGCCGCAGAAGCAGCAGGTCAACGTCACCATAAGACACAGCACCGCGATCACTACGGACGGCGGCGGTCCATAGCCCACGTACTGCGGATCCTGCCGCTCGCAATCTGCAACAACCACCAGCACCAATTGTCAATCATATCCACTGTATCATTGGGCTTTGCACGTCATTGCTCGTCGCTCGCTGACCTTCGAGGTGGTGGCAGACCGAGACGCCCACGGCGCAGCCGTACGGAGACCCGATGGCGTGGCACTGGAAGTCGCTCTTGCAGAAGTGGCACGCGACGCTGGCGTTCAGACACGAGTCGCAGTCCTTGTGCGTGGCGCAGGCGTCCCACTGCACGCTGTCGGGGATGGCCGCGGCGTCGAAGGGCGCCACCGCTGCAGCCTCGTTCTCCAGCAGATCCAGCGCCGCCACGGGCGCGTGTGTGTCCTCCATGGCGGTGGGCTCACGTGGCTTCTGGCGCCGCTCGCTTTTCTTCCTATGGCTCGGGCTTCAACCTGTGTTGATCTCCCTCCCCGTCAAAACGGATCGCTTTTTGTCCACCACATCAACTACCGACCCATAGAACGTCCCGTCCGTCAAAGACCGCGCCATTCAGTGATCTGTCTCTATCCTCCATCGTTGCTATCATTACCGTACACTTCGAACACAGCGCCGCGCTGTATTCGAAGCTAGCGCCACCTTTGGGCGCCTGCGACGAAAGCTACTGTAGTCCAGCCTCAAGTCGAAGGAGGGAGGGGGCGCAAACCTGTCCTCTTTGGCGGCCTTGCATCTGCGCATACACGCCTCGTAGCAGCCGCGCGCGATGGCCAAGGGCGAGGTGGAGGAGAGCCGCGCCGACTGGGTGGCCGTGGAGGCGCAGTTCCAGAATGGCGAGGGCGGCGCGAACCAGCCCGCCAAGGCCAAGACGGCCTACATGTTCTTCCAGAAGCACGCCATGGACGCCGTCAAGAGCGACCTGCAGGCGCGCGCGGCCGAGCGCAACGAGCCCATGGAGCTGGGCAGCATCTCCAAGGAGATCAGCGCGCGCTGGGCGCAGCTGTCGGCGGGCGAGCGCGAGGAGTTCGTGGAGCTGGCGGCGGCGGACAAGAAGCGCTACGACGACGAGTGCCGCGCGCGCGACGAAGAGGTCGAGCGTGAGCGCGCCAGGAAGCGCGAGGAGCTCTACGGCGCCGTGGAGGGCAAGCGCGAGCGCAAGAAGGTGGAGTTTACCTGGTCTTCCGACGTTTTTAGCCCAATTATTAACAATTTTACGCTGTTTTTGATGTAGAATCAACTGGTAGTGGAGGAGACGAAGCCCAAGCGCCAGCCGCGCGAGCTCACGGAGAAGCAGCTTGAAGCCAAGAGACTGAGACAGGAGATCCGACAGCAGGAGATCGACGAGCGCGACGAGCTCAAGGCCGAGGAGAAGCGCCAGAAGGACGAGCTCGCCAAGAAGAAGTCCGAGATCGCGTCGGCCAGACTCAAGTACCTGCTCTCTCAGAGCGACATCTTCGCGCACTTCAGCGGCCAAGTGAAGAACAAGAAGGGTAAGAAGGGCGCGGCCTTGGACGCCGATGCCGACGCCGAGACGGGAGACGGGAAGGGCAAGAAGAAGGGCAAGAAGCGCGCCAACGACGAGGAAGACGAGATGGACTCGTCCCACCACGTGGGCGTGCGGCTCACCAAGCAGCCGTCCGTGATCAAGTTCGGCACCATGCGCGCGTATCAACTGGAAGGACTGAGCTGGATGGTCAACCTTGCCCACCAGGGCATCAACGGTATCCTGGCTGATGAAATGGGTCTCGGTAAGACCCTGCAGACGATCTCGGTGCTGGCCTACTTCTACGAGTTTGAGAACGTTACCGGCCCGCACATTGTGCTGGTGCCCAAGTCCACGCTGAGTAACTGGCTGGCGGAGTTCGAGCGCTGGTGCCCGTCGCTGCGTGCTGTCAAGTTCCACGGCAACAAGGAGGAGCGTCAGCGCGTTGTGCAGGAGGTGCTGTGCCCTGGTCTGCCCGACAGCAAGCGCAAATTCGACGTGTGCGTGACTACCTTCGAGATGTGCCTGAAGGAGAAGACGGCGCTGTGCAAGTTTGCGTGGAGATACCTTATTATCGATGAGGCTCACCGTATCAAGAACGAAAGCTCCCAGTTCTCGACTGTCGTACGTATGCTGGACACGGAGCACCGCTTGCTGCTGACGGGCACGCCGCTTCAGAACAACCTGCACGAACTGTGGGCCTTGCTCAACTTCTTGCTGCCGGATGTGTTCGCATCCTCGCAGGAATTCGACGACTGGTTCAACCTTGACGTGGACGATGACGAAGCCAAGAAGCAGATGATCAGCCAGTTGCACAAGATTCTCCGTCCGTTTATGCTGCGTCGTCTGAAGGCGGATGTCGAGAAGAGTCTCCCGCCGAAGAAGGAAACGCTGCTGTTCGTGGGCATGTCTGAGATGCAGAAGGTGCTGTACAAGTCGCTGTTGCTGCGTGATATGAACACGATCATGGGCGGAGCGGGCGGTGTGTCCAAGAGCGCCCTGCAGAACATTGTCATGCAGTTGCGAAAGTGCTGTGGCCACCCGTACCTGTTCGAAGGCCAGGAAGACCGAACTCTCGATCCGCTTGGAGAGCACGTCGTGGATAACTGCGGTAAAATGGTGTTGATGGACAAGCTGCTGAAGAAGCTGAAGCAGCGGGGCTCTCGCGTTCTGATCTTCACTCAGATGACTCGTGTTCTGGACATCATGGAGGATTTCTGCCGCATGCGCCAGTATGACTACTGCCGTATCGATGGTCAGACCTCCTACGAAGATCGTGAAAGCTCCATCGATGAGTATAACAAGCCGAACTCGTCCAAGTTCCTGTTCCTGTTATCTACGCGTGCAGGCGGTCTTGGTATTAACCTGTACACAGCTGACGTTGTGATTCTGTATGATTCCGACTGGAACCCGCAAGCCGACTTGCAGGCCCAGGACCGTGCGCATCGTATCGGTCAGAAGAAGGAAGTGAATGTGTACCGATTGGTTACCACTGACTCGGTGGAGGAGAAGATCATTGAGCGCGCGCAGCAGAAGCTGAAGCTGGATGCTATGGTGGTGCAGCAAGGCCGTCTGCAAGAAAAGCAGGCCAAACTTTCGAAGAATGATATGCTGGAGATGATTCGCTTCGGTGCTGACCAAGTGTTCCGCACCACGGACTCGACCATTACCGATGAAGATATTGACGCAATTCTTGCCAAGGGTGAGCAGCGCACCGAGGAAATGAAGCAAAAGATGCAGGCGCACGATAAGGGTGACATGCTTGACTTCAAGCTTGACGGCGGAGGTTGCCAGAACCATGACGGTGTCGATTACTCGAACGAGAAGGAACGTCAGGAGGAGCTGAAGCGTCTTGCGGATGCCGAGCTTGCGAGGCAGATGGCCGAGGGCATGGGCAAGCGTGAACGCCGCACTGTTCTTCGTAGCAATCACGTGTCGCTCGAAAGTAAGCATAGGTCGAAGCAGAAGCAATTGCCCAAGGCTTTGCGCTTGCCTCGCATGGACGAGTGGCAATTCTACAACCGCAAGAGGCTGATTGAGCTGCACGAGATCGAGTGTGCGAACTACGAGCAAGCCAAGGCGGAAATGGAGAAACCGCCTCTTCCGCCGCACGCTCAGTACCTCACTGAGGAGCAGCTTAAGGAGAAGGAGCAGCTGTTGTCCGAGGCTTACGGCGATTGGAACAAGCCCCAATTCTTCCTGTTCATCAAGTTGCTCGCTCGTTATGGCCGCGGAAACATCGAAGCGGTGGCCCGCGAAATGATGAAGCCGCTTGAAGAGGTTGAGCGCTACTCGAAGATTTTCCTTGCCCGTGGACAGGATGAGCTGAGTGACTGGCACAAAATCATGAAGTCTATTGAAAAGGGCGAGTCGAAGCTGCTCGAAATCGAGCGTTTGACCGAGGAAACGGCTCGTAAGGTGAAGCGGTACGCGAACCCGTGGGAGGACATGCCGATCAACTACCAGGGTAAGGGTGGTAAGGTTTTTACCGAAGAGGAAGACCGTGTGTTGTTGTGTCTTGTCAACCAGTTTGGCTACGGAGCGTGGGACCGCATCAAGCAGGAAATCTGCAGCATGGAGATGTTCGCTTTCGACTATTACCTTCGCTCTCGCACGGCGGCTGAGATTGGTCGTCGGTGTGACTCGTTGATGCGCATTTGCGGGAAGGACAACGCCGACCTGGAGATTCGTGAGAAGAAGGAGCACGATGCTCGCCACGTTTTGCAAGAGCAGCGCGAGAAGCTTGACCGCCAACTTGCCGCAGCACGTGCCGATGTGAAGCAGCACCAATCTCGCGTGGATGAGTTGATTATGAAGGAGGCTAAGCGCATGCAGATGCAACGTGAAGCCAAGCGCGCGAAGAAGCGCAAGGAGCGCGACCAGAACGAAGAGATGGTGGACCAGCACACGGAGGCGCTGGTGTCGTTCTTGCTTAAGGCAACGAGCATGGATGCGGCCAAGGTCGCGCTCGACTTCAGTGCTAAGATTCGTGAGGAGAAGCATGAAGAGCTGCAGCCGTCGTATGTGCTCAAGAAGATTCGCCAGGTCGCTGAACAGGACGAGAGAGCCACCAAGGGCGCTTTGGCCTGGACGATCAAGGAGGAGTTCGCGAATTTCGGCTTGAAGAAGGAGAGCAAGGTGCTCAAGCAAGAGCACATGACAGACGTAAGCGGCTCAAGCTCGACACCTGTTAAATCCGAGGACAAGAGCCGTCTGCCCAGGTCGCCGTGGTCTCCGACGGCAATGAAGCACCAGCAAAAGGTCAAGAAGGAGAAAAAGGTCAAGAAGGAAGGCAGCTTGAACCGTGTGCGTAAACCTCGCACTGCGTACGTGCTGTACAGTCTCGCCTCCCGGGTCGAAGTGAAGAAGTCGCTGGGCGAGAACGCGCAGATGGTCGAGGTCATGCGCGTGATCTCGCAGAACTGGAAGGAGATGAGTCCCGAAGACAAAGCGCCATGGGTGGATGCAGCGAGGGAGGATGAGCTGCGCTACGAGAACGAGATGAACGAGACGACGGCGTAAGTTGGAGACAAAGGTGAGAAGTACATACATACCTATCGGATATGCCGCTATATACATTTGTTTTCAAAGCCAACTGCTGCGTTGGAGTGCATTGATTACCGAGGTAGGCCTGCTTGGAGACCTGTGCATTACTTGTCCTGTTCCGTGCGCAGCTTGCGGCCATTGAAGATCGAGGCGGCATTGTCGTCGGCGCTGGCGAAGCTCTGGGCGGCGTCGAGGAGGCTCTGCAGAGCAGCGTTGAGCTCGTTGTTGGCGGCAGCGTTGGCATCGGCTAGGGACAGGATCTGCTGGAGAGCTTGCTGAGCCTGGCCACTGAAGGAGTCGCCGAAAGGGGCGATTGCGTTGCTGACGTCTGTGGCGAGCGATGCTGTGACCGCAGCGTTGCTCGCCACGGTCGAGCTGAGCTCGGCAAGCTGGCTGGCAGCATTCTGGGCGACAGAGGTGTCGAGCAGTCCAGCGGTGAGAGCGAGGAGCACTGCGGTAGGCTTGAGGAACTGAGCGAACGACTGCATGATGGTTGTCACTTGAGGGTTGGAGGGCAAATTGCGGAATGAACAGCTCCCATGACCCAAGTGGCGGAGATTTTGGCCGTGGCCATACATGGTGTACCTATCCCAAGATCTTGTTGAAGTTGTGTGCTGTTAGAAGGGTGCATACTGAAGTGCTGTAAATCCAGGAGCAAATTGTGATCCGATGGCCGCCGCGGAGTTGACTGGCACTTACTTCGCTAACGAATCAAGTCAAAGGTGCTCATGGGTTCGTCTTCAACACTCGTTAGATACTTTTTGTCCCAAACAAATCTACGTATTCACCGATCTGCTTTACACATGCACCTCGCTATCCTTTCGACACCAATTGAATTCTATCTACAACATGCAACATGCAATGCTCATCAAAGACGCTCACACCCGCGTGCTTACGAGGAGCACGACTCCGAGCTGCCGGCGCCGAAGTCCTGCGTCCAGTAGTGCTGGTACGTGCTGTCGGCGTTGTACGCGTACGCACACCCGAACATGGTGACCTTGCTACTGAGAATGTTCGCTCGGTGACCGGCAGAGTTCATCCAAGCCGTCATCACCGCGTCCACGTCGGTTTGGCCCGCCGCAACATTCTCCGCGATGGCCGTCCACGAGTAGCCCGAGTCCGAGATGCGTGCCGACATGGAGGATCCATCGGAGCCTGTGTGGCTCATGTAATCCTTGGCTGCCATGTCGTCCGAGTGACGTTGGGCTGCCGACTGGAGCTTTGAGTTCGTGCACAGCTTCGACAGACCCGCCGCAGCACGCTGCTTGTTAACCGCATCCAGCATTTGCTGCTGCATTGAGCTGGACGTGGAGGGAGCTGCCGTTGGCGCCTTCGTGGCGACAGCGGGAGCCTTTGTGGTGACAGCGGGGGCCTTCGTCGCAGCAGGTTTCACGGTGGCTGGAGTGTATGAGGAGGACGTAGAGCAGGATTCACCGCTGCCAGCACCAAAATCCTGGGTCCAGTAGTGCTTGTAGCTGCTCTTGGCACTGTACGCGTAGCCGCAGCCGAACATGGTGTAGTCCTTGCTGAGGATGTTCTGCTTGTGGCCGGCTGAGTTCATCCAGGACTTCATGACTGCCGCCACGTCCTTCTGCCCGGCCGCTACATTCTCAGCGATGTCCGTCCATTGGTACCCCGAGGCAGTGATGCGCTGCGACATCGAGGAGCCGTCAGAGCCCGTGTGGCTCATGTAGTTCTTGGCCGCCATGTCGTTCGAGTGTTTCTGGGCCGCGGACTGCAACTTGCTGCTCATACAGAGCGACGGGAGGCCGCATGCAGCTCGCTCCTTGTTCACAGCAGCAAGGAGCAGCGACTGGAATCCCGTCTGCGAGTACGTTTGGAGGTGGCGGGAGGTGACGTTCACTGCAGAGCTGTTGTCGTTGCTACCAATCTCTTGGGCAATGGGGTTCCCAATGGCGGTCGGCAGTGAGGCTTCAGCAGCCCAGAAAGCGTTGCTAGCCACGACTAGGAGCCCGACAAACAGGAGAATCGCTCTTTGGTGTTGGAAGGCTGACATATCGCTGAGTGCAGGCTTGAAGACGAAGTGAGCTGAACGATGCCGACTGCGAACGGTAAAAAGCGGAATGACACGAAAGAACGGACCGGCAGAACGCGGATGGCAAGCATCATATACATCTACCCTACCAAGTTACCTGGTACTCTAATACTCCTCTCCATCTCCTCTCCATGGCGTTGCTCAGGATTGAGCATCGATATGGCTTTCGGTTCAGTATCAGGTGCCTTTCGCCACCAGGCGAAAAACTTCTCCACTAGCTGGAGACGCTACTGCCGCCAGGGCCTGTGGCCACGACGCTGTCAAGGACAGGCAACCGAGGGCGAGGAAGTGCCCCGGAAACAGTGATAACAGACGTGCACTTCAACGACCATACCTGCGCGGAGCGGAAACCAGCTGACAGTAGGAATGATCACGTTGGACTCGCTCAGTGAAATGCGACCAGGTGCTGTACCATGCAGAGCCACGAGATCCACGCGCATTGTTCTGCCTTCCTTAGAGGAAATGAATGCAAGTAATTGTGCCCGCTTGATGATCAGAAGTCAGACAAACGGCCAGCCCAGAGCGCAATGTGGTGTCCAGTGGCAGGCACAAGGCCGATTGCTGCTTGTATACATTATCACCAGACCCCTTGAAGGATATCGGCTAGCTGCAAGAACCGACCACACCATCATCGTTGAAGGTGACCAAGATATCGGTGCCAGGATCGACTTCAAGATGGCTAGCAACGCCTGTCTTGTGGCAATGGGGTCGAGGCTCAACGCTGGAGACTTAGAACGCCCCACCAGCACCTAATGGATATCGTTTTTGACTGCCGGGTTCTGGGAATTCGGCCCCACAACCGCCACCTGGACTCAGGCGCCGAGGAATTGGCGCTTCATTCACAGCTTTTACACGCAGCGTTCTCCTTCAGCAGCCTGCGTCGCTCCGTAAACTTTCGCGCCCCTCGGTGGCTTTCGTCGAGCACGTGCTGCACATATGCTGGTTCTGATTGCCGCCTCTGCTCCAAAGCTGTTTTGCGCCGCATGAGTCAGGCTGCTGCGGCGTAAGCGGAGACAGCAAAGGCCGGTTGCGGTTTCTACAGTGCCCCAACAGCTTCTACAGCGGTCTTCGCAGCCATGGATTAAACGCTCACGTGACGTTCCTGCGCAACGGCGGGCATTAATCGGCGCCCAACAACGAGGTCCACGTCAGAGTCGCCAGTCATAAGCTAAGGACATCCTTGCTGCTATGGTCCATAGCAACAATGATATCCAGCGTACGCGTTGCTCCCGGATGCCGGTCCGAATCGTCCGTCACCATCGCCTTTCGCCGCTCCGTTGAGCGATAACTTGGCTCTGATCAAAAGCCCCATTTCAGTGCGTCGTACAATACAATGCCAAACGCGTCAATGTGGCACGAGATAGTCCTGGTCTACGTCTTGCGGGGGTCCCACCGCTGTCTGCGGCGTTGACAGCTCTGGTGCAGAAGCTGCAACCATAACTGTAGTGTAGGTTTCGGGGGCAGCTGGTTTGTGAGCAGCCTTCGACATCGGTTGGCTCGGTTCAGCTGGACTCGGCGTTGCGGCTGTCATGCTGCTGTACTGCTTTCGAACCAGACCACGGGCTCACACTCGCATGAAGGTCTCCCTCTGTCCGGCTTGTCGTCTTATCCCGCCCGTGAACTTGCTGTCCGCAACGCGTGAGAGGGCTCACTCTTCATCTCGCCGACTCGGAGCGATACCATCGAAGCAAACTTAAACATCTATCTTTCGACGTCGGCCATGATGACCATAACGCGTTCCTCTCTCGCTCTACTGCTAGTGGTCTCCGCTATGACATCAAACTTGTCGTCGGCCTCTGGCTACCTGCGCAGCCTGCAGTCGGCCAAGCAGCAGTCGATTAAACAGTCGGTGGACCAATCCACTGAGCAATCCTCGGGCACGGTGAGCGGCGACTACTACCAGCAAATGCTGGACGCGGTGAACGCCGAACGAGCCAAGGCGGGTCTTAAGCCGCTTTGCACCAACAGCAAGCTGCAGGCGGCGGCCAAGCGCCACTCGGATGACATGGCCAAAAACAACTACATGGCCCACGATGGCGCCGACGGCTCGACGATGTCGCAGCGAGTCACCGACGCGGGCTACGACTGGGGTGCAGTTGCTGAAAACGTTGCTGCTGGTCAGGAGGACGTGAAGTCCGTGATGGAGTCGTGGATGAACTCGCCCGGACACCGTGAGAACATCCTCGGCGCCGACTACACCATGCTCGGCACGTCCTACGCGTACAGCGAGAGCTCCACTTACAAGCATTACTGGACCCAGGACTTCGGCGCCGGCGACACTGAGTCTTGTGATAGCGGCAGCTCGCAGCCGACCGAGCAGACTGACCAGACCGCGTACTCTGCTCAGTCCGATGAGACCGACCAGACCCAGCAGCAGGACCAAGTCGCCGGAGAGGCTTCAAAAGACGACGACACCCCGGCACCTGCCACTAAGGCTCCTGCTACCACATCTCCACCCGCAACGACCGCACCGCCGGCCACCCCAGCCCCTGTCGCGACGGAGCCTGCCACCAAGGCTCCGACCCCGACTCCTGCGCCCAAGACGCCTGGTTGTAAGGCGAGGAAGTGAGCGAACGTCATGTTTCTTTAGTGGTGAAGGTGAGACCTGAGTGTTGGCGTCCACCCTCCGTCCCAGTCCCGTGCGTGAACCAGAACGAAGCTGCGGTAGGCAACAGCTATCGATAACAGTAAGATCAATCGCAGAAGTAGCGTGTGTACAATAGATCTCTTATCTTTTTATGCCTTGACATCATGGTCATCATTTTGCAAATCGCTTGACCTTGATCGATGGCCTCTTCAACTTGGTGTTGTGGACATCTCGTGGTGCCACAAAATCGAGAACAGGCAGGCAGGCATCGGTATCACATTCCGCGCAGTTCTGCACGGGCACAGGCAGGTTCCTCTGCTAGCATTCACAAGAAAGAGACATGTTCGACACTCTGACCCGCACGACACCACGCAGGATTCCTCTCGTGCCGAACCAGTCGCTGCGAGGTTCTTTAGGTTGCAATGGCAGTCGCGTGGCCCAGCTGCTTTGGCAGCAGCTTGTGCGCCCTTGTTCTCTTCCACAAACTGCGGCGTGGTCGCTGTCGGCTGGTGCCATCGGTGCAGTGCAAGTCGCGTATTCGTGGGCGCTGCACCAAACAACCGCTCAAGGCGAAGCTGTTGCCTGCTCGCACCGGCTCAGTGAGCACTTCTCGCACTGCTCGAGAGGCATATGCCTCATGAACTTTGCCCTTTCACCACGTTGACTCAGCCTTCGGCCCGAAGGCTCCGGCATACCGCGATCATTATTCATTTCACCGTCTCGGATCAATACCAACAGCCACTCCCAGCCTTGTAGTCGCGATGGCCGCTTCACTCCGCTCATCGATCGGTCTTTTACTCGTGGTTGCCGGTATCTTTTCCAGCGCCGCCGATGCTGCCGGCAATCTGCGCCATACCTCGCGGAGCTTGCAGACGTACACGCAGACCGACGGCTACCAGACCAAAATGCTGGAGCTCGTGAACGAGCAGCGCGCGGCCAACGGCCTGTCGTCGCTGTGCATGAACAGCAAGCTGGCAGCCTCTGCGCTGCGGCACTCCGAAGACATGGCCGCAAAGGACTACATGGCCCACAACGGCTCGGATGGCTCCACCATGGAGGAGCGCATCACTGAAGCGGGGTTCATCTGGACCGCTGTCGGGGAGAACGTCGCTGCCGGCCAGGAGACCGTCTCGGACGTCATGACGGCCTGGATGAACTCGCCCGAGCACAAGGCCAATATCCTGGGCGACTACAAGATGTTCGGCACGGCCTACGCGTACAGCGCCGACACGACTTACCAGCACTACTGGACCCAGGACTTCGGCACGGGCGACGACGAGTCCTGCGAGAGCAGCAGCAGCAGCGGCAGCACCGCTGCCAGCAGCACGGCCAGCTCGGACTCCACCGACCAGACGCAGCAGCAGGACTCCACGCAGCAGGACGAAGTGGCCGGCGAGGCTTCCACCGAATCCACGACGACGTCGCCAATCATCCAGGAAACCTCGACGCCGGTCACGACGGCACCCTCCAGCACGACCGCGACCCCCATTGCCACAACGGCAACCCCTGTCGCCACCACTGCGGCCCCGAGCACCGGGTGCAAGGCCCGGCGAGTGTAAGCAAGTGTAGATCCTGTGGTGAGTGCGTGAAAGTGTAGGTTTTAGAGCGAAAAACTCAATGGCATTTCTGTGACTTTCGACTTCAACTTGGACACCGGTACAAACTTGAGCTCTTCTTTCGTCTCTGTAATGAGCGTGCGCTGCAAACGACGATCGGATCTGCTATCCTAGCTGTGCCGACGCCACAGTGAATCCACTTGAGTTTTATCACCTATCCCGCGCACGTTTCCAGCCAATCGGCGCAGTGCGTTCTTTTTGTCGGAACATCTTTTGTGCATTTGGCCCCCGAACTGTATTTAGTCACTTGGTCTCACTATGGGCTTACCAAATTTTGTGCACATTTCGTCGAAAAAGGCACCTCACCCCCCAACATTACAGAAAGCGCAGCGCCACACACGGCGCGGACGACGACTGCGCGGATCGGCCCCTCCTCGTGCCCCGGGCGACTTCACTGCCGACTCAAGGGCGGCACTGTACGCAGCAGACTCAGAGCTATCTCGTGGTGCTGGAAAAAGCGGCGGAATCGCGCCGGTTGTCGAGATACGGCGCTTTCTGCAACGCCCCAAGGTCGTTCCCATGAGGGTGAACGTCGGAGACGAGAAGCGCAGCAAGCGGAAGCTCCCGAACGCTGCGGCTGCTGCGGACGAGGAAGAAGCGAAGTCGCTTAAGGACAAGACCAAGGCGGCGCGCCACTCGAAGCTGCAGCTCAAGTGCATGGACGGCACCACATTCGACGTGACATACGAGCAGGCGATGATGTCGTCGACGCTCTGGGTGCTCATGCAAGGTGAGGAGGTCCATACAGGGCGGCGTTAGGTGAGGAATAGTGGTCTGATGCGTGGTGCAATGCTGTTGCGGCAGATGTGAGCGGGAAGAAGCCCAAGAGCGGCATCAAGCAGCACATCATCCCGATGGAAGGCGTCCCCACAGAATGTGTGCAGCGCGCGCTGGACTACTGCAGGTTGGTGGACTGCAATGGTGGTTGTATGGAAGGGAAGAGGCGGCTAACAGTGTTGTGATTGCTGTAGTTGTCTGTACATGCAGCAGGTTGACCGCGTGGAGACGGCGATGCTGGACTGGGAGGACGAGTTCGTTAGTCTGGAGTCGAAGGAGCTGTGCGACTTGGCCAAGGTTGCGTCAAACTTGGACATTCAGCCGCTTGTGGATCTCACGTGTCGGTCGATTGCGCAGATCATGTCGGCGACGTCGGAGGCTGACGAGTTGCGGAAAAAGTTTGGCCTGGAAGACCCGCACGACGTCGAGTGCAGCTGTGAGCTGCGCAGTGACATGGCAGGATTCGATTTTGACATGTTCAACTCGCTGGATCACGACCTCTCCACGGAGGAGTATGAATTGGTGGAGTTCGACCAGCCGAGCGTCGACGAGTTAGTTAGTTTCATCAACGGTAGTGACAGCAACCCGAACGCGACACAGGGTCAAGTCCAGCAGCAGCAAGCCGCGGGAGCGTCCAAAAAGAACTGCCATCTCCACGGCGAGAACTCATCGGATCCGGGCGACTCGAATAACGGCAGCACAACGTCCAGTAAGAAGAAGCGCAAAAAACGCAAAAAGAAAAAATCGCCGCCGAGTTCGAGCCAAGTTGTTGACCAAGCGGATACGAAGTCTACACAAGCAGCTGAGGACAGCACAACAGGATCACATAAACACACTCAAGACTCAAGCAGCAGTGATGAAGAGAAGGAGGAGCCCGACCGCGAAGAGCAGAAGTTGCCGAGCCCCGAACACGGCAAGAAGGGCAAGCCTCAGACTCTGGAGGAAAAGGTGCGGTTAGCCCGCCAAAACCCGAGTGCAGTATTCAAGGAGTCGCAATTTGAAGATGATGATGACGAAGATATGGCAAAGGTGATCAAGATGTTCGAGCTCAACCTCGAGTCCGCATATCGCGAGTGCGACAACAAGAAGAAGCCCCGTGTAGACTTTGCACCACGCGAAGTGTTCCGGTCCTCCCTTGTTCGCTCCTCGCAATTTGACTACGTACAACGCCGTCTTTCGGCGACGATGACGTAGCGATCACAACAATGGAGTCGTTCTATGGTTGCCCCTCCTACATGTCTTCAGCTGACCCCTCGACGTTTGAAGGACATCCTGAGACTAATGTTTGCGTGGCCATCTATCATCTCTAAACTATGCCGTAATAATATGACAAACATCTTCACGAACACGAACACAATCGTTTGATTGCATTGTTGGTCTATTGTATGCCAGGAGCCTAGTCGGCCGTGGCATTCACACGCCACTTGTCGATCTTGAGGTTCTGAAGGAATTGGATGCGGCGGTAGAAGAAGAGGAGCCAGACGAACCCGATCACCAAGCAGATGACGGTCTCCACGTAGAAGCCATCACGCACGATGAGGCACTCGCCGCCAGCTTCGGCGCAAGCCTCGCGCTCTTCAGCGTTCGAGCACGTGCGGGAGCCGATCGTCAACACTTCGTCGTGGAAGTAGCCGCCCAGGCACTCACGCGTGGTGAGGTGGTCCACGACAGCGAGACTGAGCGAGTTCGGCCACTTGGAGCCCAGGTTCGTGACCGTGTTGAGGAAAGTCATGTACGTGCCACCAATGGACGGGTCACTGATGCGCGCGTAGAAGGCCATCTGCGGGACGTACATCATGTTGGCCGCGACTTCGTGCAGCGCGCCAATCACCAGAATCACACCGTAGAACATGAAGTGGGAGCTTTCGTCCTGCGCCATGGCCATGGGCGTAATGTACACGAGCCCAGCGTACAGCAGCCCCACCGCGAGCCGCACGGGGTAGCCCCAGAGGAAGAGGTTGAGCGGCTGCGAAGGCTTGATCCACCGACCGATCAAAACCGGGATCACGATGCCGAGCGGGATGAGGATCGGCGTCAGCAGTGCCAGCTTCTCCTTCTTCATGCCGTACTCCACAAGCTTCAGCGACGCGACGCTTTCCGCAGCGGCGAAGCCAATCTTGCTCGTAAGCAGCACCACAGAGAGCGACCCGACGCTGGGCAGACGCAGCACCGAGTACATCTGCGAGTAGGTCTGAGCAATGGTGAGGCGCTCGCTGTTCTCGTCCTCCGGCTTCTCGTGCTTGAAGAGCCACACGCCCAGAGTGGTGAAGAACATGACCCATCCCCAGAAGCTCATGAAGCCCGGCAGCGACACCATCCCTTCGTCCTGCGGCTCGCTGCGCAGGTAGCTGTTGCACGTACCGGGGTCGTTGAGCGCCAGGAAGCCCACGTACGCCACAAAGTAGCCGACCGTCTGCCCCACCGTGTTGCACGTGGAGGCGTGGCCCACGTTCTTCTCGGAGAGCATGGTGATGGCCCAACCGTCCACGGCGATGTCCTGCGTGGCCATCATGAAGTAGAGCACGAAGAAGAAGGCCGTGAGGTAGATGACGTGCGGCTTTTGGCCCTCGCCCTCGCCCAGCATGTCGTTCATGAACCAGCTGCCCACCACCATGAGTGCGGCGCACGTGAACTGCACGGGGATGAGCCACGACTTGCGGCGGCCGAAGCGCTCGCTGTAGAGCGAGTCCACGAACGGCGCCCACAGGAGCTTGAGGCTGAAGGGCCACGACACGAGGCTGAAGGTGGCCTGGTCTCCGTAGCCCACCTTCTCCTGCAGAATGAAGGGGATGCTGCTGGACAGACCCATGGGGATGCCCTGCAGCGTGTACAGCAGCAGCAGGAGCAGGATGGACGGCCAGTCGTTCACTTCCTCCTCCTCGTTCACGCGCGCTACAGACGCCGAAGAGGGCTCATCCGACGCAGAAGAAGACGCGCTTCCTGTGGTGGACGACGGCGTGTCGCTCGACGCGCCCTTGCGCTGCCTCAGAGACGTCATGGCGGAGGTGTCGCTTCGGGGTCCGGCGTCCAGAACGTCAACTTGGCGAGTGACGTGTTCCGTTGTTGGAGGGGTACGTACAGGGCCGATGTGATTGGGTAAAACGAACTTTAATATTAGCGAATCAGAATTCATCAGGAGAAATGTTCTCGCAACTGAGGTTATTACATGCTGAGCATGAGGGCTCGCACCGATGGCTTCCGAGAGTTGTGCGTTGGCATTAATGCACATCAACTTGGAGGCCGTATGCGTTTTGCAAACCACTCGCGCACTGCCAACGCGCGCTTCTTCGAGTTCGCGAAAAGTAGACGCCATACTGTCGTGGTCGTGACTACGCAAGCAATCTTCCCCGGACAGTAGGTAGCCGTGATTCGTGTGTCGCTGCAGAGCCACGGCTTGCGTGCACCGCGACATCCAAGATCAAGAAGACCCGTAGGCTAGTATTGTAGTCAATAAGATCTACGAATACATTTGTGAGCTGTTGCTCGAGAAAGTTACAAGGACTTAAGCATTTGAAGCACGTGGTTTTAAGTGAGGTGCTATACGGTGCAGCTTTAGTGTCTCGTCGAGAGCCGAGGACTCAGCGTAAGGTACGAGGGGGTGGGGCAGGCCGCACAGCGGCGCTCCCCGAGCGAAGCGAGAGAGGGGCGGGCCCCCCAAAGTGCCGTCGCTAAGTCCTCAGGCGAGAGCCAACGCGCGAGTGCCCCTTGTAGTTTAAGGTCAGGTTGTGACTCCCCTCACTTTAACGGGCGACAGTATACCTTGGGGCATCTGGATATGCATTCAGATATGGAAATCCCTCTTCCTCAAGTTGGAGTATTGGCCATAGATTCGATAGCCCGATAGTAATAGAGTTCATTACGTAGGAAGGAGAAGAACATGGGCCCGGGCAAGAGATAAAAGCTTGTTTTGGAGAGCTGGCAAAAGTGGAAAGCGAGAAACCAAGTCAGCCGTAAAGCAAAATGCTACATTTTACACCAAGAGTACCAAGGGACCGAGGTTGTTTAGCTGCGGAGTGTTCCAGCAAAAAAACACGGACAAGATGACTGTGTAAAGAGTGTCGTGATAATCGACGCACCAAAGAGCAGTAGCAAGAGGGGGAAAACATCACAGCAACACTATATACTGAGTCAGCGAGAAATGACATTTATATAGACGCAGTGGAGTATTCAGTCCACTTCGGCAGGGCGTCCGTATCCCATTTCACTACCGGGATGCTGCCATACTAGTCTGTACTTATACAAGTATACAATTGTCAAGTGGAATCATTTATCAAGGAAATTATATCAGTGCGTTATACAGGTGCGCTATAGCGTTTAGAAGGTTATAAGATTTCTGATATGTATGCACATTACGGTAGTACTGCTAAGTATTGGACGAAGCAACTTGGCTAGCGTAAGAAGAAGATCAGAGCTGCAGCCATCGAATTGGGCTACTGACGACGCTGGCGGAGACGGTGACGACGTGCAGCAGCATCAGCAGCCGTGGCTTCATTATCAGCAGCAACAGCATTATCAGCAGCAACATCAGCACCAGTAGCAGCAGCTACAGCAGCAGCAGCATTAGCAGCAGTAGCAGCATCATCATCAGCAGCACGAGCGTCAGCAGCAGCAGCACGAGCAGCAGTTACAGCAGCAGCAGCAGCAGCAGCATTAGGAGCATGGGCAGCAGTAGCACGCTGAGTATCCGCATTAGCAGCAGCCTCGGCAGCAGTATTAGCAGCAGCCCGCGCCTGTGCAGCCTCCTCCTGTGCAAGGCACACTCGCTTCAGTTGAATGATCGGGTTTACAACGTTGAAGAGGTTGAAGCGAACGATATCGTTGAAGCCAGCAGGGAGAACACCACCGCGAGGAATTCCCAGCAAGCGCCGAGCGTCAAACTGCACGAAGGTGTCGTCATCGATGGGTGCGTGCTGCATACCAGGATTCTCAAATTGCCCGTCCACGATGGAGTCCAAGCGGTACTGACGAACGATCAGTTTCGGGCTAACACGGATGCAGAGAACGTATTCCACGCCGGGGCATTGCCGCCACGCATCAGCCTTCTCGTTCAAGGTAGCAAGACTTTTGTGAGCAGCTTGCCCCCGTTGGCCAGCTTGTCCGCGCTGCCTCTGCTGTCCAGCTTGCCCCCGTTGCCCAGCTTGTCCGCGCTGCCTCTGCTGTCCAGCTTGCCCTTGATGTCCAGCCTGCCCTTGTTGTCCAGCCTGCCCTTGTTGTCCAGCCTCCAGCCTGCCCTTGTTGTCCAGCCTGCCCTTGTTGTGGTATAGGGCGCCCCCATTCTTGAGACACCCCAATCTCCACTTTCAGCGTGTGAAAGTTTTCCCAGGTAAATCCCTCTGGAAGATCCACGCCAGGAAGGTAAGAAGAAGGACCGAAGCTAGCGTCTGGCTCGAGGTTGGCTAGTAGATCGTTAATGTCGTTCGGCAAGGTCGGGCGTCTGCCGACATATGCCGCTCCATAATGGTCCAAGTGAGTATCACTTGTCCCAGTTGCTTCGGTAATCGCTTTTCGGACGCCTTTGACAAGGTTTTCGTGCAGAGTGCCCGATAGCTCGACGATGAAGACCCTGTTGTCCCACCACGCCATCCAGCGCGACGCCAGCGCTTGCCGCCCAGACTGGACGTAGCGACTCCAGTCGTCTCGGGTCGCCTCACACAGCTCAAACGGGGCCCCATCGCTGCCGTCTGGAGGGTTCAGCTTGTTCTCCATGCGGGCTTTATCCAGCTTGCCCACGGCGTTATTGATTCGGCGAACACTCCAGCTCCGCATGGGTAGTGCCTCAGTTGACCAGGAGTCGCTCCGAACTGCCACACTCATCTCAGCGGCGGGTCGCAGACGTGAGAGAGCAGCCGGATGGAGAGAAAGCGACGTTGCAGTTCCTGAAGTTGACGGAAGAGTGCGAAGTCGAGAGGAAGTCGAATAGTGATTGAGGTGAGGTCAATGCGCATTGCGCAGCCTGTTCCTCAACTCACGCCCCATGCCGTGCTGATGGCCAGAGGCGATGCCTGATTTGATGTCCCGAGGCGATGTCAGGCTTCAACGTACAACGGTCGACAATGAGTGCCGTAGTCGCCGCGCCGCCATGGCCAATGTGGCACCAGCTTCGTTTCTGTTGCTCCGACAGGAGCTTTGGCGGCTTCTGCGTTGCTTCTGAGCTCTACACTGTATTCGGTTTGGGATCTGGTACTGATCTGGCAAACATGCTGTAGACTTCCCGAGGACGGCTAAGAAATCCACAGAAATACAAGATAATCCACAGCGATCGTCTTAATAATCCACAGAGTTGCAAGGTCAGTCCACACGAGATGGTGACAATCCACAGAACCTGGGGATAATCCACAGCTCAATAAGCAAATCCAAGAGTCAATCCACAAGATGCAGGATGCCTAGTCAATGACTATTCAATGACAATGACTAGTCAATGACAAATTCAATGACTAGTCAATGACAATGACTAGTCAATGACAAAATGACTAGTCAATGTTAATGGCTAGTCAATGACAATGACTAGTCATTGACTAGGCATCAATGACTAAGCATCCTGCATCTTGTGGATTGACTCTTGGATTTGCTTATTGAGTGTGGATTATCCCCAGGTTCTGTGGATTGTCACCATCTCGTGTGGACTGACCTTGCAACTCTGTGGATTATTAAGACGATCGCTGTGGATTATCTAGGATGCCTAGTCAATGACTAGGCATCAATGACTAGGCATCCTGCATCTTGTGGATTGACTCTTGGATTTGCTTGACAAGTAGTCAACAGCTATTTAAGCCAATCAGCATCCTTTCATAGCTAGTTATTTGATCCAATCAGAATCTCTCTCTATCGGTGTGACCACTAAATGCGATTCAACTTCAATCATTGAAGTACCATGCTGTTGCTGTTACTAGCTGAGCGCCGCCGCTACGCGGCGGTAGTTATGTGGTTAGTTGCAGTAGATAGGGCCGCCCACCCCCGCTTCGCTCCGGTGGGCTTTTATCCATTTCAAATGTTATTCATTTCGATTGTGTGCATGTAAGAGTTTTTTTTGGTGACGGAAGTACTCTTAGTAACGTTACGTGGCTGCTATCAGCTTAAAAAAACTATTCCCACGTCGGAGTGACTATGGGTAGATGCATGTTGCAGGGTAAAACATTCTCACTTGTACGGCGTGCCAAATGAAGTCTACGTACGTGCTTTTCTTGAGTTTGTCATGCAACCATAGCTCTCTGTTATTTAGTTTGCAATCTACTAAGTATGTTTTATTATAATACCGAGTATACAACGTCGCTTCAGCCTTTCGTTTGGCCCGTAATGTCTTTGGAGCTGCGAGGTGCACAAACTTCTACGTAACCTGCTTCAACACTCATTTTTTTAATGTGGCTATCAGTTTATTATTCTACTACACAGCAAACATTAGCATTTTAGCGTCTGTCTGCATTTGTAGTAGCTAAGACATTGAAAGTAAGAACCTTGCATCGCGTAACTATGAATTCACTTTTGCGTTATGCTAATACAGTTTCCCACAATAACATGGTTAGAGAGGGAATCTCAGCGTAAACTATGATAAAAAGTTCCCGCTCAGTGAATGTCATAATATCTACTGTACTACCCCACTAAGGCATAATCCTACCGCTACATACTGTACCTTAAAACTATACGAAACACGCTCAAGCAAGAGTAACGAAAAATCGCCCCAAGATGAAGCCGCTGTAGCTATAATATATCCATCCCTCAAGTATTACAGTAAAAATATGTTATGCGTGTCAGTAACAATTTCGTCCGCTACATGTACTCGCACTGCTATATATTACTACGCACTGCTTTGCTTATTACAAACAGTCGCCGCTTACTACATGTTGATATCGCTAACTACGCGGCGAGCCATATCTATATCGTAGTATGTATTTATGTTAAACCAATTTCGCTTCAGTGTATTTATTATAAGTCGTACGGCAAGCGAAGCTATCGTTGCTACTCCGCGGTGGGCCTATTTTAATTAATAGTAGGAGTTAGCAAAATAGCCAAGTACCGCAGCAGCTATAAGGTGTCTACATAAGTATAGTAAAGCGAGGCTGAGCATGATGGAAATATCGATCACCCCCCTTCAGACTCCCTTGTACTGCATGTACTCGCCCGGCTATCGCTTAGTACGCGCTGCCATCGCTTGCTATGCGCTATCATCCCTTACTATGTGTTTATATTATACCAACCTCGCTACAGTGCTATTCTACTAAGTAGTAGGGCTGACCCAGTTTATCCCTTCCATAACGTACTACATACTCGCACTGTAAGTAGGTATTATATCATTGGGTGAGCCCCGCTATCGCTGCTACTGCTCATTAATATCGTAAAGGTTGGTAATAATAGTATGTGGCCTTAGCGGCACAGCGGGGGTAATATGGTCGCCCGCGTTCCGCTCGCCTCGTCGGCTCGCTGCACTACTTGCAGTGTTATTAGTATCCGCTACATGTACTCGCACTGCTATATATTACTACGCACTGCTTTGCTTATTACAAACAGTCGCCGCTTACTACATGTTGATATCGCTAACTACGCGGCGAGCCATATCTATATCGTAGTATGTATTTATGTTAAACCAATTTCGCTTCAGTGTATTTATTATAAGTCGTACGGCAAGCGAAGCTATCGTTGCTACTCCGCGGTGGGCCTATTTTAATTAATAGTAGGAGTTAGCAAAATAGCCAAGTACCGCAGCAGCTATAAGGTGTCTACATAAGTATAGTAAAGCGAGGCTGAGCATGATGGAAATATCGATCACCCCCCTTCAGACTCCCTTGTACTGCATGTACTCGCCCGGCTATCGCTTAGTACGCGCTGCCATCGCTTGCTATGCGCTATCATCCCTTACTATGTGTTTATATTATACCAACCTCGCTACAGTGCTATTCTACTAAGTAGTAGGGCTGACCCAGTTTATCCCTTCCATAACGTACTACATACTCGCACTGTAAGTAGGTATTATATCATTGGGTGAGCCCCGCTATCGCTGCTACTGCTCATTAATATCGTAAAGGTTGGTAATAATAGTATGTGGCCTTAGCGGCACAGCGGGGGTAATATGGTCGCCCGCGTTCCGCTCGCCTCGTCGGCTCGCTGCACTACTTGCAGTGTTATTAGTATCCGCTACATGTACTCGCACTGCTATATATTACTACGCACTGCTTTGCTTATTACAAACAGTCGCCGCTTACTACATGTTGATATCGCTAACTACGCGGCGAGCCATATCTATATCGTAGTATGTATTTATGTTAAACCAATTTCGCTTCAGTGTATTTATTATAAGTCGTACGGCAAGCGAAGCTATCGTTGCTACTCCGCGGTGGGCCTATTTTAATTAATAGTAGGAGTTAGCAAAATAGCCAAGTACCGCAGCAGCTATAAGGTGTCTACATAAGTATAGTAAAGCGAGGCTGAGCATGATGGAAATATCGATCACCCCCCTTCAGACTCCCTTGTACTGCATGTACTCGCCCGGCTATCGCTTAGTACGCGCTGCCATCGCTTGCTATGCGCTATCATCCCTTACTATGTGTTTATATTATACCAACCTCGCTACAGTGCTATTCTACTAAGTAGTAGGGCTGACCCAGTTTATCCCTTCCATAACGTACTACATACTCGCACTGTAAGTAGGTATTATATCATTGGGTGAGCCCCGCTATCGCTGCTACTGCTCATTAATATCGTAAAGGTTGGTAATAATAGTATGTGGCCTTAGCGGCACAGCGGGGGTAATATGGTCGCCCGCGTTCCGCTCGCCTCGTCGGCTCGCTGCACTACTTGCAGTGTTATTAGTAATTATATAGTAGGGCGGGCCGGGCGGCCCGCTAGAACGCACGCGGGTGCCGCCTTCGCTTCGCTCGGCAGCTTGTAATGGGGCCGCCTTCGCTTCGCTCGGCAGCTTGTAATGGGGCCGCCTTCGCTTAGCTCGGCAGCAAATCGTATTTAGAGGGATTCGTACTTAGTGAATAAGCGTGACGATTTTGATACCGACCGACGGACAATGACGCTCTGATTGATTCTTAGGATTGAGCGCGAGGGTAGCAGCAGAAACCAAGTTCCTCAGGCAGAATCATTTGGCCTTGACATCGCACTTCTAATACACTTTATTTTGCTACCTAATTCGCTATATTGGTGGAGCTGGAGCTCGAAACCCGCAAAAGTACAATGAGAAGAAGTTGAACAAATGCAGTGATTCGCCTTGCTGGCGGCAGACTCGAGCTTCGTTCGACACCGCAGATGACCGTGGTGTAGTGCGCAGCAGCGAGCTGAATTATTTACGCCTTGTTCGAGCTACTAACTCTCTAAATTGACGTGTATACGCTGTTCGTAGGGCTGCTCGATGCAGCAGCTCGAGCTGTCTCCGGCTGCCTCTCTCGATTGAGCGCGTTCCTGTCGTGGGCTGCAGGTCCGTTTTGATAGCCTGTCGTAAGGCCCATGTTTAGCAGCATGGTTGGCCTGCTAACTCTCAGTATGAACGTACCTACGCTCTTTTAAAGAGGTTCTGAAGCCGACAGCAGTACACAGAGATGCCCGCGGAGCTCAAGAGCATCATCATGGGGGTGCGCAGCGATAGTGGGGCGTCGCCGTTTGCCTACGCAGAGTCGCGCTACCACTCGCTGTCGGCGTGGGGCTAGCAGCTCGAGCGCAGGGTGCTCTAGCCGCAAGATCATCGAATATTAGAACTCGAATAATGAGCAATACAATACCAGATCATGTAAGCATTCGCTTAGGCATTAAATTTATGCGGCGCATATATCTAGGTATTCCGCATGGCCCGCAAAGACTTTCATCAATCGTCGCAAGCCCCCGCCATTCTGTCCAAGTGGTCCCTCAAGATGAATACAGCAAAGACAGAGCACACAGTTGTTCATCGCAGCCTCGCGGCCCAGTCAAACCGTACGGACCGCGCCAAGGAAGAAACGTGGCGCAACACGCGCAAACTCGGATCTCTACTCGGCGACGCCGAAGATGTCTCCCGTCGGAAAACTCTTGCGACCGCAGCGCTCCACCGGGTGTGGAAACTCTGGTTGCGACCGACAAAGACCAAGGAAGCTACTCGTATCCGCCTCTACAACAGCTTCGTCCTGCCAATCTTGCTCAACAACTGCGGCACATGGGCCCTAACACGCGCCGACCTGCTCGGCCTTGAAGCTTTTCACCGTCAACAACTGCGCACAGTCATCGGCCGCAAGTACCCGTAGTCCATTACAACGACCAGACTCTACGAGCGCACAGGCACCGAGCCTCTTCGATACCATATCCTTCGGACTCGATGGAGACTGTTCGGCCACATTCTACGACGACCACCGACGATTCCAGCATACAGATACATGCTGAACTACTTTGGCCCTAGCACCAGTGGTGGATGGAAAGGTAGGCGGAGACTGACACTCCCCATGGTCCTCGACGCTGACCTACAGACGCTTTCGTCTGATCACCGACTCCAACAAGCCGCTGACCACTTCCTACTTCGCCTCTGCGCGGAAGACCGATCCGGCTGGAGACATCTCACTGGCAGACTCCTCGGCTGCACGCCTACCGACTGAGAGATATCAAGCCACAACATGAGAGATAGCACGAGAGAGAGAAACCCGACGCATGCGGATGTTCGACCTACCACACGTAGAGAAGACTGCTCGCGTAACGCGTTTACAATACAATAAGGATTATGGTACATGAACGACCCTAAGCGTTTATCTAGCTGTAGCTCTACCGGTTCATCCGTCCGCTCGGGGCCAGGCTGAGCAGCCTGTCCTGCAGCAAGCGGGCGAACGGCGCAACTCCTACGACTCGTAGAATTACGAGTCGATGACCTTGGCCACGAACATCTCGCAGAACGCGTCGAGCGCGCGTGACGCGTTGGCTTTGAGCGGCGAGCCCGTGAACATGATGCCGAGCGACCATTTGCTGGCCGAGAGCTCACCGTACGCCTCCTGGTGCACCACCTTCGCCACCGTCGCACCAAGTCGTAGGCGGCCGGGCAGCACCTTGCCCGCTCTGAGCCTGAAGTCGCCAACCTTGCACACGATGCCGCAGTTCTTGCGCTGCTTCTCCTCCTCACTGACGTCCACGTCTAGCGTGCGCAGGTGCTGCTGCCAAATGCACGGGAAGCTGTTAGAATGAGGTTCCCGAGAGACCGTAAAGGCTCTGTAAAGGCTTGAGGGTAAAGTGTACCCGCTGGCATTATGGCGCTCTCCCATTGGTTAAGGGAGAACCAATCATAGGACTACATAACTAGCCAATCTGGGGGCGCCCTGTTGGCGACCGCTCGTGCGATGATGTTTGACGGCATTCGGAGAGAGCTCACTTCTCCTTTTGCCAACGACTGAGCACTAGTCTAATAGAGGGCATTAAGAGATAAATAAAGCTTAAGTTTGACCAACCAAAACTGAGTTTTAACATTTCAAGTACTGAGTGCTCGAAGATGGTCAAGGACACCCAAGTTCCCTTCGCGGGCCTTAAGTTCAATGGGAACCCAAACGACTTCCAGCGATGGAAAGACGCCGTGGTCGCACATCTCGTGAGCAAGTCCAACAGCCGCAAGATCTCTGAGATTCAAGCCGGAAGGGCTGCGCCCCGTCACGGGTTCCAGGATTTGCTCCTGCGTCCTGCCCATATCGCAGATCCGGGACCAGATGCTACGGGTGATGCTCGCAATCAACATGAGTATGAGGTGGCTCTGCTGGACGAAGTGGATTCCTACATCAGCGACATGTTCAACCGGACCCTGCCTCATACATACATGAATCAACTGAGTACGCCACTCTCCGCACAAACGGTTGCGGCGTTTTGGGCGCAACTTGAGGTCGACCTTGGGAAAAGCAACGCCATGGGCATGGTGGAGTTGATCATGGAATTTGAGAAAACCATGACTGAGGACTTCAAATCCGTGGCCGAACTCTTTCAGAAGTTGCGCAACGTGAGAAACCGGCTGAACCGCCAAGGGCAAGAAACGCTGCGTGTGCACTTGCTGCCAAGTCAGCTGATGATTGGGAAGGTGCTTGCGATGCTACCGGGCCATCTTTGGGGACCTAGCGTCACATTCTCGCAGGAGGAATTCACCCTGGAGAAAATTGAGACCAAGTTGAAGTCAATCTTCGGCAACAAGAGTAAGGCCGAGATTCAGGCGATGGGCAAGACGTCTCAGTGCCCGATTGAGATTCCGGTCAACTACGCTGCCAGAGGAATGGCTGGCCCAAAGAAGGGACCGATGAAGAAGTCCGGCAAACGCAAAACGATGATGCTGCCGACGGATGATGAGCAAGCGAACACCTGCTTCTACTGCAAAGGCGTGCACAACGACAAGAACGGGAGTGGGCCCCACTTCAAGAAGGACTGTCCTATGAGAAAGGAGGATATGGCCAAGGGCGTCGGTCGAAAAGACATCTTCAGCGAGCCTCGCCTGCTCAAAGTGAGGAAGACGGACCATGCACGTGCGCAAAAGGTGCAACCGGCTCCCAAGAGGAAGGAGATCCCGGTGGATGCTACAGTCCTTCAACGCCTCAACATCAACAAGCCGAAGGCGAATGAGGATCTGCCGAAGGAAAAGGCGGAAAAGGATCAACCCAAGGATGAAGATGAGGATGAGCCGATGGCGAGCGACACTGCGGTCACGCCGACGGTAAGTCCTAAATCTCCGGTGGTGTCCAGCTCTGCAGAGAGCGGCAGTGAGGACGACATTGACGAGTTCGACGGTAAGACTGTCGTGCCTGCCAACAGCGTCAAGGTCACAGCCGCCGCTGAGGAATTGGAAGAAAAGGCGAAAGCCTTCGAAGATACGGTAAGCCGACTGTATTCCTTTTTATTAGTGCCTATCACTGAGCTAACGGGCAACTCATGGGTTTTGGATACAGGATGCGGATATGGATTGACTGCAAGCGAGTCGGTCTTCGTGACCAAGCAGCCCAACTCAGACTACGTTTTTACATTTGGCCAGGGCTCTAAACTGAGAAATACATTTGTTGGTACTGTTAAGTTGTTTTTGATGAGTCCAACAGGAGTTAAGTCAGTACAGTTTAGTGATATAGCACTAGTACCACATGCTAAGTCAAATATCTTAAGTGAGTTTTGGCTAAAAAGGGCAGGTTATCAGATTGTGGCAAGTAACAGCGGACTGTACAAGTTCATACTTTGGAAGCACAAGTTAATATTTGTAGCAAAGTCTTTCAATGGGGCATACTATGTGCAAGCCTGCACTACAAAAGAAAGACAGAGAATGTGTAATGCTGTTCAATTAAGCCATTGACTATGCCAAGCCTAACCAAAATTTAGAGCCTAATGAGAGAATGGCATGTGCGTCTAGGACACGTAAATAAGGATAAACTGATTGAGATAATGAGTAACCAGCTTGTAAAAGGAATACCGTATATTGAGGGCTCTAAGCTAAGACGAATAAACTTCTTCTGCTCCACTTGTGCAGAAATGAAGATGAGAAGAATGTCATACCGAAATCTGAAGGGTTCCAGAGATGAACAACCTATTAGTACCATCCACATGGATACAAACGGACCCATGAAAACAATGGGAGTCTATGGAACTGTTGGGAACCATTAGATACTTCTTGAGCATCACTGACGACCAAACATCCTGGCGCTGGACCTATGTGTTGCGCAACAAAGGGGAAGTCAATGACAAAGTTAAGACGTTGCTTCTCGAGTTAGAGAGAGAAGGCAAGTTTAAATTCCGACGCATAAGGTCAGATGGAGGAACCGAGTTTGTGAACCAAGCTTTTAAAAGCTTTTGCAAGAGCAAGGGGATCAAATTTCAAAAGTCAAACGCATACTGCCCAGAGGAAAATGGAGCGGCAGAACGCGATCACCAAACTAAGATGAGCAAAGTGCGCTGTGCACTAAAAGATGCTGAGATGGCTGATCGTTGGTGGCCAGAAGCACTGATGTACATGACCTATGTGCAAAACAGAATGCCTATGAGTCGTCTGGGTAATAAGACCCCATACGAAATGGTGCACGGTAAACCACCAGACATAAGTGACCTTCACATTTGGGGAAGTATATGCTTTGCGCATGTACCTAAAGAGCGAAGACAAGATAAGAAATTATCTGCACGAGGGATAAAGTGCAGATTCTTGGGAATATCGGACGAGTACAAGAGTTACCGGCTTTTGGATGTGTACAACAACCGGTCCATATACTCAAGGCACGTAATGTTCGACACACAACACGGGGCTGATATAGTGTTGCGTGCATTTGGAAAGGAACAAAATGAGGAGAATACAGACTCTACCCCACCAATGGGAGAGGCTGCACCAGGCTCAGGGCCAACCCGAGCTGTGGGAGAACCCGATACAGAACAAGTGTCTGACCAAACAGTGGGAGCACATAAGCAAAAGCGAGGGTTAGTAGAGGCAGTGGGAGCCAAGCCGGCTAAAAGATCACGCCGTGAAACACGAAAACCTGCTAAATTTGGGGATTATGTGTGCTACCAAACCCACATGGACAAAGTTAATGGCCTGGAAATTCTCCAGAATAAGATACCAATACCCCGCAACCTTAAGGGAGCATTGCGAGGACCACATAGGAAAGAGTGGAGACGTGCACTTGATCTTGAGTATGATTCCCTAATAGACAACGGCACTTGGAAGCTAGTAAAGCTGCCACCTGGGAGAAAGACACTACCGTGTCATTGGGTACTTGTGGTAAAATACCATGCTGATGGAGTAATAGAACGCTTTAAAGCGCGACTTGTTGCTCAAGGAAATCATCAAGAGTTTGGAGTTGATGTAGACGAGGTATACGCCCCAGTGGCGAGGTTTGAGTCCTTACGCCTTGTCTTAGCAATTGGCACCATTCTAGATTGCTATATCCACCAGATGGATGTTCACACAGCATTCTTGAATGGAACCATGGATGGAGACCAGCGCATATATGAGACAACCTCCGGGCTATCATGCACCAGGGAAGGAGGGCTATGTGTGTGAGCTGCGGAAAAGCATCTATGGGTTGAAGCAGGCTCCTAGAATTTGGTATCAGGTGCTGCATAAAGTTCTCACATCAATGGGTTTTGTACGTTGTGATAAGGAGTTTTGCATCTACGTACAAAAAGTGGGAGATGATTGGGTCATCATCGTGGTATATGTCGATGACCTGACGATCATGTCGAAAAGTATGCGACTGATCAACAAAGTCAAAGCGGAACTATCTATGAGATTTAAGATGAAAGACTTGGGAGATGTCCACTACATCCTCAAAATGGAAGTCCGCAGAAACAGAGAAGAACGGACAATGTCCATCTCTCAACATCAGTATATATTGGAACTACTGAAGAAGTATAACATTGAGAACAGCTCAGCTGTAGCGACACCTCAGATTACAGGTCTTGAGTTAGAACCTGAAACTAAGATGACTGCGGATGAGATAGCAGTTCAGAATTTCGATTACAGAGGTTTGGTTGGGTCGCAGCAATACCTAGTGAGAGGTACTAGACCAGATATTGCTAATGCAGTGAGGGAATTGAGCAAGTATTTGTCCTGCTACAATAAAACCCATTGGGAAGCAGCTAGGAGAGTACTGAAATACTTGAAAGGGACGTCGACGTACGGTCTATTACTTGACGGAAAGTCAAAGGACGTAACGTATGAGGTGTACACAGACGCAAGCTTCGCGTGTCAATCAAAAGAACGTAAATCAATCACGGGATATGTGATTAAGATGGCTGGCTGCAGTATATCTTGGTGCAATAGTAAGCAAGGATGTGTTTCCCTATCAACTGCAGAAGCAGAGCTTATCGCATTGAGCGAAGGTGCAAAGGAAAGCGAATGGTTGTGGAACTTGCTATCGGAAATGGGGTTTCCTCAAGCGAAACCTGTGCAAGTCTGGTGTGATAGCAGGTCTGCTATCAGTATCACAACGAACCCAGGCAACCACAAGGCTAGTAAGCACATTGAGATAAAGTATTTGTTCACACGAGACTTAGTAGACGAAGGCCGTCTGATAATTGTGTACTGCCCAACAGCTAGCATGGCAGCAGACATTTTGACTAAGGCCCTACCTACTACACAATTTACATTTTTGAGAGATAAGATAGGTGTGAAAAGCGTACTACCAGCGGTGAACACTTAGTGGGAGTGTTAGAATGAGGTTCCCGAGAGACCGTAAAGGCTCTGTAAAGGCCTGAGGGTAACGTGTACCCGCTGGCATTAAGGCGCTCTCCCATTGGTTAAGGGAGAGCCAATCATAGGACTACAAAACTAGCCAATCTGGGGGCGCCCTGTTGGCGACCGCTCGTGCGATGATGTTTGACGGCATTCGGAGAGAGCTCACTTCTCCTTTTGCCAACGACTGAGCACTAGTCTAATAGAGGGCATTAAGAGATAAATAAAGCTTAAGTTTGACCAACCAAAACTGAGTTTTAACAGAAGCACCAACACTCAGCACGCACCATGGTTTCTCGAGCGCCGATCCGATCCTTATTTCACCTCCTATTCGTCCACAGCACCACCAATATTGCATGTTAGCCAACCAACGTATAATCATTAGAACAAGTGTGACGCTGCACGCGTACCTGCGGAAAATGGCCACGCGCCATCCTCTACGGCCCCAGAGCCACCCGTGTCCAGCAAGCGAGATCTTGGAATCTGCATTTTCATCCACAGTAACGTCAGTATTGCGAGTTAGCTCGACGCCGACACTACATTATGTTGCCCTCGCAGCCTGCTAACTATACAGCCCATGTTTGTTGCCTGTACCCACCTGCTCGCCGCGCTGGACGCCCGAACCTGCATAGCGCAGCGCCTGCAGCATGTGCTTCCGACCTGGGTACCTGAAGAATGGTACCGCAGCTCGCTATACATGTACCTCAAGAATGGTACAGCCGTCGCCGCATCTGGATGGCCCTGACGCGACCTGTCGCTTTGTCCTTGGCAGCCTGTTACTGGGAGGTGATACCGACAGCGCGCCTTGCGCTGTCTGCAGCGCGGGTTCATACCAAATTTCAGTAGGGCAATTGGGCAGGAAAAAGAACCGAAGTGCAAAGACAATCGTGCGGGAGATATGACATAAGTTGATACCGGGTGGAACACGGCAGCAATCTCCGAATAAACCATTCAGATCGCAAGAATCGCCCCCTCCCCCAGCCAAGCACTAACAATGAGCCCAGCATCAACTCCTCCGAGCGCTAAGCCTGCTCCACCCCTCACACGCTCGAAGGCGGCAATTCGCAGTTCCAGCGGTGGTGAAGCCCACGATGGGAGCAGCGAAGAACCAGCTGCCACTGAGGAAGGCCAGCGTGGTAGCGCCGACAAGCGCGCTGGGAACAAGGCTGTGGGCTCTGCCGACGACGGCGCGCGCCTCCACAGCGGCAAGATGCGTGCCGATGGCCGCGTAAACGGCCGTGAAGATGCCGGCTCCAAGCCCCAGGCCTCCAAGAAGCGCGGCAAAGGCCGCGCCAACAGCGGTGGTGGTGATGTCGGCGCCGGAGGGGGGGGGCAGGTCGCCAAGAAGCGAGGCAAAGCCCGCGCAAGTAGCAGCGCTGGCGGCGCATCGAAGCGCCAAGGTGGCAAGAAGCCTGCGGTGTCCCCTGGCACGAAACGTACCGAGGGCCGCGTGACCAGCAGTCAAGGCGCTGATGTTGGGAGCCTCGGCAGCAACAAGCGGGTGGAAGACCAAGCAACCGGCGGTGGTGATGCCGTGAGCCCAGGCAGTGTGGAAGACACCGATCACCCTAGCACCGAGAGGCCTGTCGAGGCTGGTGTCGGCAGCTCAGAGGTCGCCGCCGAAGCCTCAGGCGGGAGAAACTGCACATGCAGATGAAACAGGAGCCAATGGTAACAATCGATGCGAAGACAGCGCACACACCAGCTCCGCTTCTATGACAAGCATCATGGCTAAGTTTTGGAACCAAGGGTACACTACAATCATTGGCGTGTTGAGCCAAGACGAGGTGGAAATTGTGCTGCGTGTAATTAAGGCAACTCATCCACGACACTGGCTGCGTGAATTGAGAAGCCCCAACCGCAGTCAAATGATTGTCGACATGGTGAATGACGCTACGTCCACCCCTCCAGTTTTCCAGCTCGTCTTAGAGCGCTTCGTCGCTTTGACCTCACGGTTCCACGCTGCATGGAGCGTATTGGAAAGACTGACTATAATGGAGTCGGAGGCTGGCTCCAAGGGAGAAATGTTACACCGGGACTTTCAGTCCAGCGAGACAGCGGCCGCAATAACCGGAAAGGAGTGGGTGCAAGTGTCACTGCTGCTAGTACTTGTGCCTGGGACGACATTGACTGTGGTCCCGGGGTCATTTACGGGTTGCGCACTAAGGGAGAACTGGCTCATTCTGGACGACATGCAACCAGGAGATGTGCTCGTTTTCCGTGGGGACTTGCCCCATGCTGAAGCGGCATACAAACAGAGCAATATTCGTATCCAAGGCTGCATCAACGTGGACGGTGTTGACCACGATGAGCGTGTGGTCGAGCGCGTGGCATTTGTCTTCTTTCGGTGCAGTCACTGCTTCAAGCGTTGCGACAGCAAGCGTGCACTTGCCAACCATGTCCGTTATTGCGACCAAAACCCGGAGAAGGAGGCGATCGCAGCAAAACGCAAGGCAAACAACGACAAGGGCGCGTACTGTGAAGAGTGCGATCGTCACTTTGGCAAGAAGAACACTTGTGACACGCACAACTGTAAGCCCGACGGAAAGGGCGACGGGATAGGCGATGGTGATGGAGAGAGTATTAAGGACAGCGAGTAGATCACTCTATCAGCTGGATATCAATGGCTAAAACGAAATTCCTTTTTGAGTTTTATAGTTCTGTCATGTGTCATGGAACCAGGTTGAATTCAACAGATCTTGGTTGTGGATCCGTGTTATTTGACATGGATAAACTTTATATCCACGCAGTTAGTTTTGTATCGGAGACGTGTATCCAAGTTGTCAGCCATGGACCCGAGTTGACAGTCATGGATCCATGTCGGCTATCACGGATCGGTATTGTAAGTACTGTATATATAATCATGGAGTCATGAGTATGGGTTTCGTGTTAAGGGAATGTAAGCCGTGGGCAGCGTATACAAGACTGATATATTGTATGTTTCGTACTCAGGAACACACAAGAGTGTTTTGTGTTTTTACTCTACGCTTCAAAGTTAGATGGAATGCGCCGAGTACCTCTTGGACCGTTGCCTGTTACGTGCCGACGAGCGCGACGCTCTAAAGCCTTACGAGCCCGGCGGTCTTCAATTCTTTCAGCCTCGAGAATTCTAGCCGGACGCTCACGGGGCGCTTGGTGTCGACGAATCCACCAGCGAGGGTAGAAATCGGTGGGTTGTAGTCCAACGGATGTCGCCACTCTCTGCTGTAGCGTGTGTGCACACGGTATGCCCAAGGTCCTTGCATACGAACCTGTGCAGGGTTTGAGCAAGGTTTCGATGTGCTGGAGTGAATCCAACGCGTGCGTGTGAAGTACACGGATGACGGCAGCAAAAAAACTCTCGCGCAGTCTAACGGGTACGTAGACTTCAGCATTGGAGTGAAGCACCCAGTGTCGCTCGATTGACTGTCTCCACCAATGTTCCATGCGCGTGTGAATTGTTAGCAAGTCGCCGTTAGACATCCCCAACCAACTCTTGAGCGTAGCATGGTAGCCCTCCACACGTGATGTGGCATGCATCCCGAAGTGTAGTACCCGATCTGTCCAACAGCGAACTATCCTCTGTTTCCAAATGTCAAGCCACACGTCGTCAACATAGGCGGCTTCAACTGCAGACAGCAAATGTAGCTCATGACGGCGAAAATGATAGTATTCCTCAGTCGGTGCATACACTACACGCAGAAAGGCTTCGCAAAACGTCTGGTGATCTTCGGAGGCCTGGAGTAGAGAAGTTTCTGGGTCGACTTCTTTGGGGAAGGAAACTCTGCGGGCATGAACCTGAACGTCTTTCATGATGTGCCATAAGCACAGCAACGCAGGCGTGTCAGGGAAAACATCTTCAAGCGCATTCAACAACGCCAAGTCACGCTTCGGGAGATGGAATATCGTGCTCTGATAGAAGTTGCTTCAGTTGTCGTAGAGCCCACTGGTAATCGCGCTCTTCTTCGCCGCTAAGAAATACTTGAGCGATGTGAATCGTTGTGTTCATTCCTGTTACCCCCACAATGTTGAACAGGGGCATGTTGAACCGATTCGTGCGGTAAGTGTAGATCATCAGGACAACGTCATAGTTGTTGCGGTAAATGTCGATGGCATCGTGGCGAGCGAAAAATAGATGCGTCAAGTGATGATTCTCGTTATACTGGTAGCTCACGTGAAAGGTCCCTCTTGTAGCTTCTGAAGTAGCCGCTCGATCCTTGATAGTCCTCCCAGCGTGGCGCGAGTAGCACGAGCTCGCTCGTTATATACATCACGAGGTGTGAGAAGAAGCTCGGGGTCCTCCACCAAAAGCCGCGCGATAGTCTGCCTCGCGGTTGTGCCGGTTTCACCGTCCACAGCAATCGCTAGGAGAACCGCTTCCGTGTGCGATGTTCGCCGATGTATCGGATGGGAAGCTGCGTGCGAGAACGGTGGGTGGTTGTGTTGAACGGCGCGACCGCGGTGTTGAAGCAGCCAGCCAACCTCCCCGTGGTTGCCAGTATCACGGACGAGGTAGACCTCCATGGGACACCCACACTTTCGTGTGCTTACATTGGGTCTTCTTGGTGGGCCTGAACGCTCGTATCGGCTACGAGACACGCCGTGCCTATCTCAACCGTAGCGAATGAGCCGCTTTTGACGGCGCTTGTCGTAGCTAGTACCTTGGTACACGATAGCGTAGCCATGGGGACGCGCAAATGCGTTCAGCGCACGTTGGGCTTCCACTGGGGTTTGGAACAAACGCTCCATGAGGCAAGGCATGCGCCAAAATTGCTCCCCTGCTTCCAGCTGGCTAAACGCGGGGTCTCCAAAGTGCTCTTCGTGAGAGCTTTCGAATCGCGCCTGCGTCATTCGTGCCGAGAGAGCTAGTAGCGGCGGCATCGGGTAGTTGAAGTCGTCACTTGCTCCATCTTGCCAGCTTGCTTGAAGAAACGCACCTCCGGCTGGAACGGTATCGTGGCGCGGAGACAACAATTGAAGCTGCCATAACGCTTCCTCCAGCGTACGTGACGGTAGCAGTCTAGGGGTGGCCGCAGGCCCTGCCAGAACCGGGAAATGAGGTAGCAAGGGTGGCGTCACGCGCAAAGCCCATTCAGCTGGCGTCGCAGCCCGGGTCGATGATGCAGGCCATGAAGAAGAGACTTGGGATGCGGTGTGACTTGCGGTACGACGTGGTGATTGCATTGCTTCGAGCATTAGATCTAGCTGCTGCATGTTACGTTGAAGCAAGGGTCGTTGTTGGAGCTGTTCTGAGCTGGTCGATGGGTACAGTAACAGGGGGAGGTGATACCGACAGCGCGCCTTGCGCTGTCTGCAGCGCGCCTGGACTCGTGCATAGTACATGCGCAGCACAAATTACCAAACGTTGTAGCAACCGGAGTGAAAATCATCGGATGGTGCACAGTGGTGATCAGTGGTCTCGTCTGACAGCCACGCATTACTTCGCTGCTGGCCGTCGTCAATCGCTGTGGACTGGAGACGCAAAGCTGTGGATTATCCCTCAAAATGCTGTGGATTTTTCATATTTCCTAAGACTTCCCTATGTCAAGAAATACATGAGTATATTAGATGGTTTCAAAGTTGGGCTGAGCCTATAGACACAAGAACATAAACAGCTTTTCAGCCAATCAGATCGCGCTGCGGTTTTGCCGTTAAGGTAAAGTGCCAGTTGCGTGCCTACAACCAGTTCCGTGCCTACTTGTTTTAGCCAATTAGCATCTTCTCCTTGTTAAACTCTCGCACTCTATTGGTAGATTTTTCCAGCGTCACATGCAATTTCCTGAGCCTCCTTAGGATTTGCATAGCATACAAAAGTGCTATCAAAAAGAGGCAGGAAACTGGCAGCTCACTCCAAATCAACAAGCTTTTCGAAACAATAACAAAAGTTCTGCAAAATAGACACGGACCAGCGTGAAGTACATAAATTCAGCCTAATCGCGCAGATTTAGCGGGTACAATCAGATTTCAGAATGGACAAGTCAATGAAAAGTTATGCCACAGCGTGTCCGCAAGTTCGAAGGACAGCACGAAACTGACAGAAGACCCTATGTCATGTTTTACTAACGCCAAAATCGAGTTCAAACGACCTATGAGCCTATTGACTTGGAATCCGACGGCTAATCTAGCCATCTCAAAGGCTTATTCCGCCAGTAGCGCGCGCCCCGCGAAGGCGCCAACTGCGGCTCCAGCGCTAGCGCCCATGGCGTCAAGCACACACCCATGCGCGTTGGCTGCGTGAAACATGGCACGCCGCGCTGGTGCAGCCAATATCCGTCCGTCGTTGAACTTGGTCCAAGCCTCACGGCTGGTTCTAGACTTGATGTAGAAGCTGCTGTTGCTGACCTTGATCTTCTTCTGCTTTAAGTCTTGCCACGCGTACTTGCTTTCGACGCTCTCGTGTCTCCTGTTGGCATGAATCACGACGCCAGTGCATTTGTACTTACCCTAGACAACGTCGCTCGTCTTGTACTGTTGTGGACTTGCACTTGGCCTGGTTGCAGGTGCTCGATTTGACCTTCGTACACTTGGCGGAACTGCACAGCCGCTTCGGGGCTTATGTTTGCTTGCTGACTTGTCGAGCTCGGAAAAGGGGGTTCAAAGTAACTTTTGAAACAGCCAATCAGGAAGGCTGGAAATTTACATGTCTTCAGGTCAATATGTTTGGCAAAATCCTACCCCGTATTGTACAATAATTGTTAAGTTGTAGGCAGATATAGAGCGAGTGGCCGCGTACGAGCGGATAGGAACACTTGCTTCCCACGGAGAAAGAATGAGATTGAGGGGGAGAAAACCTCTCAGGTGACAACCCCCTCTACAGTTATACAAAAAGGCAGAAACTGACGATCGCATACAAAGTACTCAGTCGCACACAGGGACTAGACGCAGGCACCCTTGAACTTCAAAGTGCTGTGAGCTGGCGGAGCTCGGCACGCCATCTTCACACTCCCACTTCGAGTCTGCCATGCTCTCAGCTCTCGTCCTTCTAACTCGCAAGCTAGCTGCAACCATCTGCATTGTCATCGTCAATGGCAGTCCGTAGCGGCATCACGTTCAGCTGCTCCCGAAACTTGCGAAACAGCGTCGGACCCAGTGCCTTCGTAAAGATGTCCGCGAGGTTCTCGCTCGACGGACAGTAGACCACTTTAAACTCACCGCGCTCGTGGAAGTCGCGCACCTTGTGGTACTTCAGGTCCGCGCTCTTCGTCTTGTAGTTGCCCTTGATCTCAGTCAGCACGGTGATCGTAGCCTGGTTGTCCTGGTACAGCACCGTTGGGTGGTACCGTGCCAGGTTCAACTCCTTGCACAAGTTGTGCGGCCACACTATCATCGTGAAGCACTCACTCGCAGCGCAGCACGTGTCATCCGTCACAATCCGCTGCTTGCGGGATTTGTACGCATACGTGCAGCCGTTCAACTGCAACACGTAGCCCGTGATCGAGTGTCTGTCGTCCTTCTCGTTTCCGAGATCGGCGTCTGCGTACGCCACAAAGCGCAAGTCGGGCGACTCCTTCTTCTCCCACACGAGACCGAAGTCCGAGGTCCCTCGCAAGTACCGCAGTACCCGCTTCGCCATGGTGTAGTTCTCGTGCGTGTACTTGTTCAAGTACTTGCCCAACGCACGCACCGCGTTCGCCAGGTCAGGACGCATACACTGCACAAGATACTGTAGGCAGCCAACAATGGCACGGTACGGCACGTTCGGGTCGTTCGCATCCTCCTCATCCGACGTGGCGGGCAGCGGCAGTGGTCCCAGCGCCTGTGGCGTAGCCACCGCACGACACTTGTCCATCTGAAACCGTGTCAAATTCTTCTCAATCTGCCCGCGCTGCGAGATCCACATCGCCTGGCCTGGGATGTACTTGATCTCCATGCCCAACAACAAGCTCACAGACCCCAAGGCCTTGATGCTGAACTTTCGATCAAGCTCACCAACGACCAGCTTGATGTTCTCGGCATTCGCAGCAATGATCACATCATCTACGTAGACCGTAAGAAGCATGGGACTTCCTCCCACTACACACCAGTAGACTGCATTGTCCATCTTGGATCCCTTAAAGCCACAAGATCGCAAGTACTTGTCCAGCATCCTGTACCAGATCAATGTCGCTTGTTTTAACCCATACAAACTTCGTACCAGCCTACAGACGCGACCAGACCCGTCGTTGAAGTAGTCAGGCATCTCCATGTAGATCTCCACGTCTTCTCCAATCGGCCCGTTCAGAAACGCCGTCACAAAGTCGACGTGCTCGCACGGCAACCCGTAGTGCAGCGCCAAGAGTAGCACCAACTTCACAGATTCATGCGAGACCACCGGACCATAAGTCTCCCAGCAGTTCACACCGTACTCCTGTTGACAGCCCTTGATTGTTATGCGCGAGCGGTGCCGAACCACTTCGCCCTTGTGGTTTCGGTTCCGCACACAGACCCATTTACTAATATGCCTTTGGGACGCTCCACCAACACCCACGCATTGTTGCGCATCAAATCATAGTACTCCTTCTCCAACGCCTCTATCCACTTCTCAGTGTCGGGGCCTTGCAGGGCCTCGTCAACACTCTGCGGCTCCATGAGTACATTCACAGCCTCAATCACTAAACTCGCAGGGATCTCCACTTTGTAATCCTGGAGTCGAACATTCGGGCGTCGAATCCAAGTAGACCGGCGAAACGATGTAGCAGCCCTTGAGGCTTCACCTCTCCACCCATCGGCTTCGTCGTCGTCGTCTTCGCTGTCATTGTCTATGAAGCCTTCATACGTCGAGAGACGCCCCAGCAGATCAGCGGGGTCTCCAAAGCTAGCACCCGCGTCATCCATCTCAACGTCACCATCGGCAGCCTCATTGCTTGCATCATCACTACTGTCCTGGCCTCCCACTAAACGTGAGACTCCTTGATCCGGGTGCGGTCCGGCCGTCTGCATACTACTGCTGTTAGGCGAGTCTACAGCGCCATTAACACCACTTTCACAAACTCAGTCCCCAAACTGAGGAGCGTTACCTGCCAGCTGAAGCACTCCCTCGGGTGTCGACGGAGCCGCTGCCGCAGCAGTGCTCGTCGGGACCTCTGGCTCACTCACCAGCCAACGTCCAGGCGCACCTGATGCTGTTGGATGAGTCGATCCGCTTTTTGATCCAGAAGCACCACAATCAGCCTGATGTCCACAGCATTGACGCTTCGATTGGCCATTGTCATCACTCTCAGAGCTGCGTTTCAGTTCTCGAGTCACTGGATGCACGACAGGTAGACGCACGTACGGAATGATCGTAGGTAATACGTGGCGGCCCTTTCCGTAATGGTTAGACAGCAACTTCTCCACAAATGACGACTCCACAGTCCACTCTTCTTCAAACTCAACTGAACGCACTTCATTAATTTTCCCAGTCAACAAGTTCAGTATCCGAAAGCTCTCCGAGTGCTTCGCATAGCCCACGAACAGCCCCGGCTTGCCCGGATTCTCCAGCTTGCTCTTCCGCAAGACCTTCGGCGTAAAGATGAACGCAACGCAACCCCACGTTCTCAACGTCGACACGTCCGGTCGCTCCCCGAAGCGGCGATAGTAAGGCGTCTCTCCACCAAGCGCACTGCTCCCACTGATGTCCATCACTTCAATGACAAAATTGAAGGCTTCGCCCCGTAGAGACCACTGCATATTCGCCGCAGTGAGCAGGCATCGCACGCGAGACATCACCACCCCGTTCATCTTCTCCACCAAGCCGTTCTCTTCCGGACTGTATGCGTTCGTTGTAGTGTACTCGATCCCATTTGCCTCGAGGAAGAACTTCAAGTTGTTGTTGAATAGCTCTGGACCTTGATCAGAGCTGAACAATATCAACTTTTTGGCCTTGAGCCAGGATCCACTTCACATGAGCCAGCACAACCTCCGATGCCTCTTCCTTCCTGTGCATCATGAAGCCCCACAGGTACCGACTAGCCTCGTCTTGGACCAGCTGAAAATGCTCAAATCCATTGTAGGTTACTTCACCAACGTAGCACATATCACTCATCAGCTTTTGGAACGGTCCGGTGGCTCGGCGGGTCACAGGCTTCTTGTAAGACATCCGAGTCATCTTGGCAGCATCGTACGCCCAGCAAGGTGAGCTCGTGTCCTCATCCAGCTCCTCATCCATGCCAGCCGCGACCTCATGCATCGCCATCCGCTGCAGAGCAGGCAAGTTCAAGTGGGCAAAGCGCAAATGCCACCATTCCAGTGACGAAGCATCACTCTTCTTCCTCGAACGCTGCGTAAGCGCCGTTGAGTCACTGGTGTGCTGCTGAACTTGCTGCGCTCCGCTCTGCACCGTGTACACCGCAACCGCTGTCGCCTTCAAGCGATACAGACGGTCAGTCTTCAGCAGCAGTAGCTCGACATGGTCTTTGCGTAGCCAGCATACACGTTGAGAGCTAATGAAACCAAACTTCACAACCCATCCGTCACGCTCAAGTGTATCCATGCTCAATAGATTATCCGGAGCATTAGGCGAGAGCAGGACGTTCGTAAACGGCAGCTTCAACTCAGAATGAGGCTTCTTGTTGTCCGTCACCCTCAGTGCTACGTCACCAACATACTCGTTCTCTCGAGCGTTGCCGTCGTACCCTTGGAAGAAATGCACCTCATCCTTCCGGACATTGTGCAACACTGAGCACTGGTTGCACACGTGTACGTCGCTTGCTAAGTCAAGCACCCACTCCATCTCGGTACCAGCACGAGTCTTGACCGACGCAGCAGTAGTCACCGAAACACCTCTAACATGACAGCAAACAGCACTCGTGTTCTTTCTACTACGTTTCACATTGTTACTGTCATTCGCTTTCTTGTTCTCCCACCTCTTGAACTCCAAGATGACTGGCTTTACGGCAGAAGCAGGCTTCAGGCTCGGGCAATTCGCTCGCAAATGGCCAGCTTCACCGCATTCATAGCACGTACGAGTCTTCTTCTTCTTGCCAACCTGCTTTCTCTCTTCATTTTCCTGCTTCGACTTGTACCGGCTCTTTCCTTTTTGCTGCTTGCCCTTGCTTTTGTTCTTCTTGGATTGCTGTGAGTCATCCTGCGCCTGCTTGCCACACGAGCAGATGTGCGCTGGCTTCGATTCCTCCTCACACGCAACCCGCTCATCAAGAGCTGACTCTGCACGCAATGCATTCATCACTTGGGCAGCAGTCGGAACGGGTCTTACGGCTCCACCGTCACGGACGACGTAATGCTTCGAAAACCGTCGAACGACGTCTCGGTGGGTCCGTGATACATGTTCTCGAAGCGTCTCGGCAAAGTCCTTATCCGACACTTGCTTGCCGTAATGCATGAGTTGCCGACGCAGGCTCTCCATCTCCCGTAGCCATTGGTCCATGGTCTTATCAGGCGTGTACCGGTTGGAGACAACTCATCACGGGTAAAGATGTAGTTTGAGTACTCGCGCTTAGTCTGTCGATCGAAAAAGCGGCCCCACATTGCTTCTGCTGATAGTTCTTGACAGATCATCTCAGCATCGGCTGCCGGTACACCATGCAGGATTGCTTCACACGCAGCATTATCGCGCGCAGCAAAGCCAACCAGCCCTTGAGGATCAATTCGATAAGAGCCATCCACGACATTCCAACAGCCAAGGCGGGTAAGAATAGCGCGAAGCTGCACAGTGTATAAATCAAAACTTCCTTTCATCACTGGCGGCTTACGCGAAATGTGGTGTGGTAATTCCACTAAAATCCTCCTCTACCAAAAGGTATTAGAGACACCAACAACACGCTAACCCGCATAGGTAAGCGCTTATTAGATCAAAACCTGAAGACCAGGAACGATCCCTTACACCGGGTCGGTTGCAAGTGCCTCTGTGCACCTTAGGTTATCTTCGGTCAACCCTAAAACCTGTACCACTAGCCACGAGCCAAGGCTAGGATACTATGTAGCGCTTTCGCGCAACCCCACTGCAGTCCCTCAGAAAGGAAGGGTACCGGCGTGATAGGCCTTATACAGGGGGACCAAGGTAAAACCCCGGTAAGTAGACTAATACACTCAGGGACACTCTAATCCCACAAATATATACTGAACGATACTCTAATACCGTTCCTGCCACTCCGGCCACGCCAACTCTTGGCGCTACCAAGGAAACTCTCGGTCAATGCACGATAAGCTCCCTGACAGGCATCCACACGCAGCCGAGCGTATCCAGGCACTACAATAAGCTAGCTACACTTACCGAAGTCGGACTTGACCCTTGTTGGCTTTGGGGGAAAACTGTCTTTTTATTACTGAGTTTTCTGAGGCCCTGGGGCCTCGTTCTGGTCATCCTATGATGAGTCCTATGTCCCTATACAAATATCAAGTGTGAACGATCGCAATAAGGCGATTCCGGACACATCAAATGACGACCGCGGCTACACTAATAAGTGCGGCCGAAGTACGTAACTAAATGCATCTGTACCTAAAAGTGGGTACCATGAAGCCTCGTTCGGGGTTGTATTAGGACCCGACGAGGCTTCTGCCACTATCTGCCACTCCAACGAGGATAATGTCGTCAGCTTCACCAAAGCAGCCACTTCCATCTCGCACTTGGCTGCTCCTTGATTGTACCTTGATTCTTGGGCGACGGGCAATCGCTCCGGTAATCTCCATTTTCCGATACCACAGAAATATCTAGCTTCATGGAAGTCAATCCGGGTTGAGGGGCTCCAACACCGGGATGCTGCACTCCAAGTCCGACCTGAGGTACTCCAGCACCGTGTGCACAAGCTCCACCAGCTACGGGCATCCCAACAGGTGCAACCCCACCGGCAAGACCAACGCCACTGCTTGGCGCAACTCCAGCACCAAGTGCACCCACTCCAGCAACAGGCCACACGTAAGCTCCAGGTGTGAGTTCAGCGAGAGAAACCCCACTCACTCCAACTCCAGGTACGGCATCAGCCACTCCACCAGGAACGTAAGCTCCAGCAGCGTGATCTCCAACACCAGCAACTTGACCTCCCGAGAGACCAGCGACATGACCACCAGCACTGGCGACATAACCTCCGGACACTCCGGCAACATGCCCACCAACAACGGCGACGTGACCACCAGCTCCAGCAAGTCCACCACCAGGTCCAGCTTGGCCAGCATGGGCCGTCACAACAGTCGTCGCCATTGGTGGCACAGACAATGTAGCCGCAGACGTCGCCACTTGCTGCACACTCGGTGCTCCACCCGCAGCAGACGTTCCAGCACCCGTCGCAGACGTCGAGGATGCCGAACTCGGCGGTGGCGGCGGCGAACTTGACGATGGCGGCGTGTTCCCACTCATCGCAGTCACGAAAGGCTCGTCACGTACTTGGGCTCAGTACCTGTTAAGTTGTAGGCAGATATAGAGCGAGTGACCGCGTACGAGCGGATAGGAACAACCGAAAGACACTTGCTTCCCACGGAGAAAGAATGAGATTGAGGGGGAGAAAACCTCTCAGGTGACAACCCCCTCTACAGTTATACAAAAAGGCAGAAACTGACGATCGCATACAAAGTACTCAGTCGCACACAGGGACTAGACGCAGGCACCCTTGAACTTCAAAGTGCTGTGAGCTGGCGGAGCTCGACACGCCATCTTCACATAATAATAATGCTACCCATGAATCACGCCGCGCTGGTGTTCATATTAATAGTCATCGTGGGCCACTTCATCGTCTGGGGCACGAGACTCGTTCAGTGGGCTCAGCGCAGCACCTCGCTGGACTGCGTCTGCCCGATGAAGTTCAACGACGAGACGCCAATACCTGCCGCCAGTCATCGCGCTGCTCAAGCTTTCCTGCTGTACGTGACGCTGACGCTCAACGCGTCGGTCAGCTTGGAGTGGAAGCAGCAGACGAGTGAGCTCTGGCGCGGCCATATGCGAACAAGAAGACCACGATCATCACGGTCTCGTTCCAGAAGTATGGTAGAATATCGTGTCTGTTCGGACATCAAAAATTTCGCATTACAATATGACACTAGCACTTGGCCTATCAGAAGCATTTCTCAGACTTTTTGGACCAATCGGCGTGCATCAAATCTCATGTTGCGCTGTAAGTAACAAATCGGACAATTCGGACATATTTTGTCCGATCCTAAAAAAAATATTTGATATGATCATAGTGAAAGCAAGACAATCTCATATTTTAAAAACACCGTGCTAGTTCGGACAGATATCTATTTGAGCAGGGATCTGCAATGCAGGAAGGTCGCCATCACCAAGAAGCGCTTAGTGTTCTTGCGGTTTGGATGCCGCACGAGCACACCTCAGAAGAAAACAACGCGCGTCCAAACGTCATTACATAATAAAAAATATTTTACTTATTGTGCTTTGCAGTTATTTTGCCGACCATTTTAGACGCTTAATAGGGCAAAGCCTGCTCCTAAATATGTGTGAAAGAAGATACACGACCTGCTAAAATTATGCATAAATCCACCTCCTTATATATATATATATATCGACTTGGGAGGGCCTGTCAGCAGCCATGCAGCACATCCACCCTCTTATGGATAATTGCCGTGTGTGTAGGTGCTTGTGGATAAAAACGACAGAATTGCAGCTGCACAGCCACAATTGCACTTTCAAAAGTTCAATAGTGGCGCTTTTAGCGTAATTCTAGGCCTCCACCCATTTATGCACCTCGATTTATCGTAAATCTAGCAGGTGGTCGCTATAAATACAGCAAATCTCGCCTCATATTGCCAAAATCATTGCAAAGCACAATAAAGGTTGCGCTCTTCCTTGCGCGCTGAAGCCGATCCTTGAGTGCCGCTAGGCCCTGTGCGTTCTCCTCAGTTTCTCTAGCTCTTGTGCCGCCACGATGTCTCTCACCAGCACTCTTCTCGAACCGCACCAACTGCTGCCGAGCGACTGTTCCCACGTCTCCGTTCAGTCTCCTGGTGCTGCTCGGCGCTGCGCCTAGCGCGCTTGCATTGGCGGCTGCCGAGATGCCCCTCTCCTTCTCAGTGCGCAGACCAGCGCCAAGCGCTTCCATGCGGGCCAGCCCCTCCACTTCTTCGTCTGGTTTGGCCTCCTCCTGCTCCTTCCATCTTCGTCCAGCACCGCCGTGTCGCCAACGTTGCGCTCCTCCTTCAGCACCGCCAGCTCCATCTCATCCAGCGTCGGCGGAGCTTCCACGCGTCCTACAGCACCAACTCATCACCGGCGCGCCGCCGTCGTCCACCTCATCGTGTTGCTGCTGCTTCCGCCGTACCGGGCGGGGGACGCAGCCGCCGTCCAAAACCACGTCACCGCCCAGCTTTTACAGCCGCTGCTGTCCAGAGGGACTCCCCCGAGATCACGGCCGCATTCGATGTCCTGCTCCTGCTTCTGTTGCTGCGAGGGCGGGCTCCGGCGCCAACTCCAACAGCAACACCACCACGGCCGTCGACACCAGCGCGAGCATCGACACTGCCTGCAACCCCTCCGTGAGCAGCTCCGCTGACTCCATTTCCGGCACCGGCTCCGCCAGCAACGCCGCCGCCGACGTGGACGCGGACACCCCGCTATCCTGCACCGTGCCCCCTGCTATCCGTGCTGTCCCATCCCGCTGCCGCTGGCCACCACTTGCCGATTTCCTTTTTGGGTGTGTTTTTGTTTTCTGTGTGGCCACATCATTATCACCGTTACGAGAGCTATGTGAGGCTGGGATAGCTAAAAAACTTGGTGAAAGTTAAGTGGAGCATCTCCAGTGGAGAATCTCCACCGCAGCTGTGTTGTCGCGTCAGCGAAAACTACGAGAAATAGCAGTTTACCTCCCACCGGGGCCTCACTGTCGCTCTCCGACAACTTTGAGCGTAGGGAAAGAGTTTTGGGCTCGCTCAATACTTCCAGTAACGCAGCGATAGCGATAGCGCCCGGAAATGCTGTAAAAAACAAAACTTCAAAAATTTGTAAGGTTACTTCGTATTGGGGACCCGGGTGGTGGACCCGGGGGGGGGGGGTCGCAGTTCGAAGCTATTTGTACGGATACTCGTACAGGGAAACGATGTACTCGGGCATCTCCTGCGCCTGCTTCGCAGCCGCAGCATCTGCTTCAACTGCCATTGTACAACCAATTGCACCAAGTCTGATCGGTCCTTTTCAAAGGCATTGCCAGTTCATATATCGTCACTCCGATGATGTGAACATCGCCGCAGAGTTAGTTGAATCGATACTTCAACGCTTGGGGTTTGCCAAGCCCACCGCAGTGATTCTACCTCCCCCTGCTCGTCGGATTAGGCTTCCACGGATTTAGTTTTAACGTAAGCTCGTGTAGTGTGGTGGCTCGTCCCTCCTCTGAGGAACACGAACAGGATCTGCGGAACAGCGTCCAGGTCGTGATCGACTTGACGGAGTAGCTGGTGTGGCACACCGAGCAGCCGTTGGTGACGAAGAGTGTGGGGACGGCGGCTAGTGGTGACGGAAGCGAGCAAGTGGGCTACCGTTACGTGCGACAGGAGGTAGCAGTTGAAGTTGACGGCTGCAGAAGATCGCAAGGCGAGGTGACCTGCGAACAGGACAGAGAACGAGTATGCAAAGAGGGGAGGCGACGCTGGAGAGCGAGTGTGAGGCCAGGAGGCCACGAGGAAGGAGATGAGTGCCCAAGAGGGAGAGGTCCAAGTATGCTAGAAGGCGCCGAGTGGATAGGATAGGGTAGATCGACGGGGGTTAGAAGTAAGTGGGGGCAACGAGCTGCGGTGTGGCAGCTCGACCCTCAGTTGCGATTTGTTGCTGGATAGTAACGAGTCAAGACTTGTAATACACTCAGTTGCGCCGAAACGCGGGTTCCTGTGACCTAGTACCAGGGAAGTGTCTTGCGACCAGGGAAGTGTCGGCTAGACACGGGAATAAGTGGCATAAGGTAAGCGATAGTGGCGGGCGGTGCACAGATGAGGGCGATGTATTGAGTAGGGTGGCGGGACCACGGAGAGAAGCCGTGGGGGCGCGAGGTGCACTCCTGGCAGCACCTTGGCCGTGAAGGACAGCGCTTTCGAGTGCTTGTGCGTGCCCGAGTGCCGTGACGGAGATGCTGTTCGACCTGCTTGCATGTCCGGTGGGGGTCGCCTGTGGCTTGCCGGAGCCCAGGTCGATTGTATTTCCCCTCCCAGCCGTCCCTATCCCCGACACGCCTGGTGAAGGGGCCAGTACCTGTCTGGTTGATCATCGTACTGCCTCGCACCTGCTGGCAGTCGGCGCTATACTGGCCTACCTAGGCGTGGACGCGACAACAACGACGGTGTAAATTCGTAAGGGTGGACGCGTGCAATACTTTGGGTGGTGGACGCGGAACGCTACGGGTGGTCGGGCTGGACGGGACCTGGCTACTTGTAGTAAGGGACGACCGGGCTGGGGATAGACCCGGGAACTTCCTACGCACGTTTGTAGTTAGCAGAACGGTTTTTGGTAACTAGCTAATCAACGTACTTGAAGTAATTTCCTTCTCTCCTGCCACTGAAATGTGCCCTGACCCAGGTCCTTGCTTTATTATATTGCAGTGTTGTGCTCGGAAACTTACCGATGGCGACAAAACAAGAAAAATCCGTGCATTCGAATATTTAGTGCTAGCAGGCTAACTGTTCAACTGAACTTGCAGGGTAACCTGATGAATCCACTGTTACAAGTTTGATAAGCCAAAACTGAGGTCTAGCAGATCTTGATCGCGTGTAGGAGTAGGATACACCTGGTGTTTATTCATCGCTTAGACGCTGTACGCCCAGGCTTCCTCTTTCACAAGAATCCGGGACGTACAGCGACAACACGGGAGCGTTGAAACTCTGTTTGACAAAATAGGGCGCAGCCGCACACATACATACATGTATTTTGTCCGAGTCGCCTGAATATCTAAGAACAGAAGCGTGTCAGCTTCGATTTGTAGCATTATGATAATCTGAACTAATATGGGTAACAATGTGCCTCGAAGTTGTTTTGACAAGAACAGGATCAAGTAGTAGATAATTCTACACCACCAGTAGTAAAGTGGATCTCTGCGCGTCGTCTCTCAAGGCAAGCATAATACTATCCAAAGTCTTAATAGATATAATACCTGAGTTAGTGCAGCTAGCTTCTTAATGCCCCCACACGAGCCATTCATAGCTAGATACATTGGAACTAGCCTTTTTCCGGTTTCATATACGGTTGTCATTATTTTTGCACTACCTTATAACCCTTTCTCCGGAGAAGACATACCATCAGGTGCAGCTCTTTTGATTCTCCGCTAAACGAGTTCGCTCGCGACCGTATAGGACGTAACCGCGTTGCCGGTGGATAGAGTTTGCTGGATTAAAAAATATTGAACGAAAAAAATCAAGCTATACCTCTTCCATCTTGGGTCGCACAACCTTAATTAAAAACTTGAACTAGTTTGTGGCAAAGTTTTAGCGGAATGTTTAACCTAATCCATCAAGGCTCATTCCAATGAGTGTGAATATTCACACAATACTAGCCTGGCGATAATTTATGCCTCGACAAATTCAATGACCACACAATTTTCAATAATCTCTCCGAGAAACTGTGCATACAGAAAAACACTGTGTCTGAAAGAGGAGGGTATTATGAGTTATGACTCATGACTGAATGGACAGATCGAATCTATAGCTTTAACGCAACTACGTCGAGTGCTCTGGAGCTGCATACAGAATAATACGATGTGGTAATGGCACCAGTTGTGCTCAAGGTACTAACACCGATGTCTCTTATTGTCAGAGACACCATTATGTACTACGATGAACAAAGTACATATAGTATAACAGCAAGAATTGCATTCTTTCGACCAATAGATATTTGTGATAGAGCTCCACTTCCTCTGATGGCATCGTCGGAATCTGACATCAATCTACGGTAGAACGAGAAGAAGCTCCGAGGCGAATAGGCATCTGTCAAAACCTGTAAGTATCATTCAGACCGGATTTGATCGAGTGCTGTCTAATGTAGTGTGAATGTTGTTCGATGACATCCGCTGGGGGGGGGGGGGGAGAAGCAACGGATGTAGCGTGAATGTCGTTCGATGACATCCAAAACCCTTCCCCAATCGACAGTTCTTCGAACTGCGAAATATTGCTGGAGTATGATCAACCACTGTCGTTGTTGTCGTTGTAGTCGTAGTCGACGGGCGAGACTGAACGTGCAGCTCACTTATTCGTCTTTGTAGTCGCGAGCGTGACGTATGTGCAGCTTGTTGCTCAACTTGTAGTCGGGGGAGACGGACTTGAACGGGTTCGTAGCCGTCTAAAGTAAGCGAAACTGCACGTACAGTCAGTCCGAGTCCATGGGCGAAGGCCACTGATGCTAAATATGGTTATGAGCGCTCCAGACGTTTATAGCTAAAATACCTGCTATACTGGATATCCCGTGATCTAATCAAATTATGCTGCTATATTGACCCATCCGGTTGAGATTAAGTCAAATTACCTATTATTTATTTGCATACCCTTTAAAGAAGTATATATACCTGTGAAAGATAGTTTATCTGCCACTCAAGCGACATCCATCGGATTTTTTTTTCGCTCCAACAACATGCCGGCGGGATCCCGCCTTGAAGTGTTCAACGGTGATGATTGATGCCTCGCACCACAACTTATTCGTTAGGCATTACGCCGCAAGCATCAGCCACTGGCAGCTACATGATTAGCTATGGCCTGTGGCAAGAGCCATTATGTCCGGCATCATTAGTGAAGACCTAGAGATCATGCGCCTCAGGCCTCGTGCGCAGGCAGCTTCAGCACCGGAGCGGTGTGTTGGAATGCACATTGAAAACCAAGTGGAAGGTCAGAGTTGAGACCCGGGCGAAAGCTGAGACTAGGTACCTGAGAAAATTAGCGGGTCGTTGCATGAGAAACGGGCTCAAGCCCGAGAGTAGTGGTAAGAGCTGGGAGGCTCAGCCATTCAATCTTTTTCCTTTTTCCTACTAGTGGTGGCTCCAGGCCGTACGGACCAACAAGTGCACCATCCAAAAGGGTACTGAGCCCAAGCACCGACGGACTTCCGGCTGCACGCGGGTGATCCAAGATGGCGGAGCCGCTGAAGTACACTAGCGAAGGAGTTCCAAAGAACTGGAACGGAAAAGACTGGCAGCAGTAGTACAAATGGGCGATGATGATTGAAGATAATCAAGACAATATGAAGACAATCAAGACAATCATC